CTCTAGTGCATGCACTCGCTGCACCGAGAAAATCGGGAGTGCGCCAAAATGCAATCCCGTCATGCCTCGCCCCGGTCGAGCCGGCGAGGAGCGGGAGCAGACGACGAGGGTTCGTCTGCTACGATGTGTCGCGGAACCGAACGGGGAAAAAAATAGATTTTCTCATAGATATCGCGTCCCGCGGGCCATGAAATCAAACGCGAGCTTGAATTGTGAGCGTCTGCTATTTCCCGAAGGAAGCAATTGACAACCCGTGATTTATTTGCAGGTTTTAAATCGCTCTGTTGCCGCACAAACGCTGAAATATACCAGTATGTAAAGAAATGCTCAGAACAAACGCAACAGCGGCCCCCGAGATGTCTATCGCCATCCGTGTGCGGGTGAAAAATTTAACATTTTTCGACAAAACTCCCCCAGCAGAAACCTCTGACTGCCCAATGAGCATCAGAGAAAACTAAAGATGGAGACTTTATCCGAGGATTGGGCAACATCATCATGTTTAACATTTACCTACGTCAGCTAACGTACCCCGTCGTATTTTGTTCGAGAAAGCTCTCATTCTCGACACCCTCGCCAAGGCTAATATCTAATCCTGACGATCCAAATCGAAAGTCCCAGTTTTGCTGGATATTCCAACAGGATGGTTTTAAGCCGTACCCTTTCAGTGGTTCACGAATAATACCATGCTCAAACGGATCAAGCTTCTGCTCGGACAGCATCATCAGTTTTCTTCAGTGTAAACGGTTATAAGAATTGAAAGATGGCAACCAGCTGCTTTGTAGACAGCTGGTTGCGGAAATTTACGCCGTCTGTAATTATCTCTACGGCAGCTTAGCTGCTTGAAGTCATCGCAACTATAAACTGCAGGTTGCAGCGACCAACGTTTGTAGATAAACGATGGTAGCGACTGCATTCTCGCATTCCCACGCATCACTCCGAACAGAAAGGCGCTAGTTTTGGTTTGAAGTCGGTACCTTTTCTACAACATAGATGGCGGCAGCGTCAGTCTTGTGCACTCGGTGCATTTGGCGAGTTCGTTTGAGTCCAGTTTTCCGTGCAACACTCTGTGAGTGCGATGCATTCTGGGAGAGAACTTGAACGGTGCCAGTGCGTGTGAAACGAACTCGCTATAAATAACGCTTTCAAAGCGTAGCTTTATTTAGTGACTCTAGTGTTTACCATTTTTAGACCACCTGAGACTGGGTGGAAAAACACGACGACGTCTCAAATTGAGACGTCGTCGTGTTTCTTCGACCTCAGGTGGTGTAAAAATGGCGGGTAACTTTGTTTTTATTAAATTTAATTTCCGCCAGGGCGCGACGATCGGGCCTGTAGCTATCATCATTTCGAGCAATTCGTGATCACGGGATAGCTCCTTCGGAGCAGAGTAGCGCAATCTAGAACGCCGTCTCTCGGCGACTAGCGGCGAACGCCCGGAGGTTCCAACTGCGGTCAGAAATGCATGGAGAACGTGAGAAAATCGTTGTTTCTTCAGTTTTGTGGGGATGTGCGGAATGGAAATCATTTTTGACATAATAATGAAGCATTTTAGAATAATATGCGATATGTTTTGTGCCATACAAGGACGTAACTTTTTTTAAAAAATTGCCTGAGCGGCATCATGCAGCAGACGACACGGCGACGTCACACCATTCACGTGACCCGCTCCGGCCAACCCGAAAAGCCCATCTCCGCTGCGAGCAAAAATCGTCTGCTTCAAACGCCATTGCCTTGGAAGTTGCCTTCTCAAAATTTGCACACGCATCCGATATTATTAAAACTTTGATAAAGTGTTTAGCGCTTTACTAACTTCACGACAGGCTAGTTTTGAAAGATGTGAACTCGCCGTTAGTTTTTTAATCAGCCGTGTTATGTCGATCTCCATGTATTCTCCCATAGGGCGGGCCGCCTCCTGGAACCCTGAGCACCACGTGACTCGCGCCGAGCCGCTCTGTCGGCCATGTTGTCGGCAAAACACGGGGTTCAAAGGATTGCGCTACTCTGCTCCGTAGGAGCTATATAGTGCTCTAGGGCCATGGAGAATAGAAGGGTAGGAGAGGGCGTGACGTCGGCCGCGTAGCCTCCGCAAGCCATGCTCCCTTGACGCCTCGCCTCTTTTTCATTTTCCTCCTTACTCTCCTCACTTACCTTGCCAACGTGACCACATCACGTGACCGTAGCTCGCCTTCGTCTTGCTATGGGGTACTAGAATACACCACAGTCGCTTGCCCCTTTGCATTTAATTGCATTATAAATACACAGTCTACACTTCGATCTGATAAAACCTACCGGACGGAGTGCGCGCAAGCCTGCGAGGAGTCCTTCTACAATCAACCATCCATCTCACACGTGACATGTCACGCGCACCAATCGCCAGAGAGATCTGCGGTCACGCTGGGCACAAAATCGTTTAAACTTTTTATGACTAGGCTTCACCAATATTGCAACGTGCCCCCTCCTAGTACTTCTAACCTCCTTGTCTAGGGCAGACGGGCAGACTCGCTGAGTGGCAGTGTTGCCAGATTTGGCTACATATAGCCAAATTGGGCTACATCTTTTTCTAGTTGGTGTCAAAATTTCGTGGTTGGCTATGTGGCTATTTTTGGGCTATTCCTAAGGGTGCGGCGAACTCTTGTCGAACCTCTGGTTCGACGTCGAACTTTGAGGTTCGACTAGTTAATTTTCGAAATTCTAATCAGTTTCGAAAAAAAATTGTTTCTGTTTTGGCTAGTCGAGAGGAGAGAGAGGAAGGGGAATGGTTTCAAACTTCTACAAACTTCGGGGTTTTCACAATCCGCAGAGAAGTAGTGCTAGCAGAGTTCAAGCGGTCTCCCCACAGCGCAGTGGAACAAATCAAACAAACAGATCGCACTATTACCACAGGCCCGGTAGCGCGTCTTCTACCCGGACGTAGACTGAACTCTCCAAGCGCAGCTTTGGTGCTCATTGTGAAAATTTGTAGGCATCGCCCACTTTAAGGAAAGAAACACAATCAAAAATAGCGTGAACCGGAACGGGGGACGCTCATATTCTACACGAAGAAAATAGACGGGTGGGTTTTTGGTAAGAGCTTTAGATAGGGGGTTCTGGTTTGAAACTCCCAGTTCTGACTGTTCTGCTTCTGCATTCTGTTCTTTTACTGTATGATCATATCTCCCGGGCTTCACAATACAGCTGTCCATGTATGTTTTCTACTTATGAAAACGTACAAAGGATGGGTCATTGTTTCACAAATTTTCATCCTTCTGAAGCTTTTCTTTCTTTCTTTCTTTTTTTATCAGGGGACTTAATGTGCACAAGAAGAGGCGCATCTGAGCGTTGAAAAAGAGAATGTAACGTGTTGTTTTTTACGCGTGTGAAAAATTGTCAATAAAAGGCTTAAAAATCGTTGTTTTTAGTCTTGGCTATTTTGGGCTATATTTATTTTATGACTTTGGCTATATTTGGGCTATACCTCCCGGCCGTTTGGCGATTTTTCGGTGGGACCATCTGGCAACACTGCTGAGTGGTGGTGTGGAGACGAGCGATTCGGAGGAGGAATAATGGCAGGTCACGTGACCTGACGTCACCGGAAGTGACGTCACAAATATAACGTCACGTGACAAAAAAATTTTGTTTTGCTTGTTTTTGTTTGTTTTGTTTTCTCTGACGTCACGGTTTTTAGCGAGGAAACTTTTTGTTATTTTTACTTTGTTGACGTATTATTTTTTTTTAATTTTGTTTATTTTCTTGCTTTTTGCAACCGGGTGACCGCGTTTTCTGCGCTACAGACTGCGTTTTTCTGACTCCTTTGTTTGATATTGTGTCGTATCGTCGTATTTATGTAGTTATTAGGAACGGCAAGCCTACGTTGTTGCGTCCTTTACCTGAATATCGTGACCGAATCGAGTGTCGTCGATTTGAATCGTGTCTTGCGAACCATCGTCGAACAAAAGGTGAGTGATTTACGTTTTCCTGTGATGTGATTTCGATGTGTTCGTTCCACGCGTCCGAGCTGCTTCTTCGTTTCAAATACATTTGGCGCCGCTGCCTATTGTTTGAGCCTGTGCTCACGATTAAAACACGCATCGCAGAAAGCTGAAAGCCCGCCAAAAGAGCTCTAAAAACCGCATGCCTCCGACCCCAGACCTGCCGGCAGACTTCCGAGATAAGCCTGATTAAATAAAAACGTTTGATCCGACGGAATAATGTGTTTAATATTACATCTCATGTCAACAAGGAACTGCGCTGTCTGTCTTCGCCCCTACAGGTTTTATTCTTCCGGGTTTTTCAAATCTTTACCAACCCGCGTCCGATCGTAATACCCCGATCACAACAAACAGGTGGTCGTGCTCCGATGGCTCCTAACATCAGCCGGCAAGGAAGTTACGTTTTGCGCTTCTATATTTTGACCCAAGTAACCTCATATTCTCAAACTATGTCATTCTATCACCACCTCCAATTGCACATTCTGGCGCACTTGCAGCTTCGTGCACCCTTGCGAGGTTTCCTGCTATCGTACCCTGGATATCATGGATTTCTCGCCGTACGCGAGTGCTCACGGAGGCGTGCTATACACTCTGTATCATAAGTTGTGTGCAGCAAAGGCGCAGGCCCGAGCACATGACAATAAAAAGCGCCTTTTTTGCACGAGTACCCGCGCAAAAAGAACATTCTGCAGAGCTGCGCCCTCGCACCCGTGCCTTCGCTGCACACAACTTATGAGACAGTATAATAACCGAGCCGTTTTTGTTTCTTTTGCACATTACTGTGAAAGAAGTGTCATTGCTGTTTTCTTCTCAAAGAAAACTCGGAGACGTTAGACAAAAGCAAACAGATAGGAGACTGCACATTCGCACGTTTTTCCCCCTTGTGCTACAGGTCATGGCTGGTGGCGGTTCATCAGCGTTTGTTTTGAAACTGATGGGTACCACAAGGCATGAAAGAGGTGACTTGCAGCAGCAAGACACCGCAAGCCTTCGCAGCAACTGGCTAGCCAGTGCTGCTCTGTTCTGAACTGTACTGCGTGTCATGCGGAGGGTTTGTGCAAGCTCTCTGGGCGGCGACGCTAGCCACGGTAAGTGCATTCTATGCAGCTTTCTTTTAGGGATATATGTGGCTCGCAGGCCATGTCGTGCCAGCGAAATATCTGCCACCCGAGTGACAGCAGTGCTAGTGGCAAGGGTGCGCTGACAGTAATCAACACTGCACTGTGTTTTCATTCTATAACTAGTGACAAGGAACCAAATACTCTCGAGAGAGTCTCGGTTGTGCTTTGATGAACTCCAGCTCGCTTATGAACAGGTGGATGGCACAGATGGCTTTTCCTGATGGACTTGGTGTCCGTGTTAACAATGCAACCAGACTTTCTTTCAGTTTGTGACGTTTTTTTCGTTGCGGGTGACTAGCATTGCAGTAGAAAAAGATGCAAAATAGTATAATGTTTGCATTCGTTACCTAAATTAATGGCAAGAACAACTGACCTACATTTCCGCCGACTGCATTTCTCTGAGGAATCGCCTGGACTAAAAAGCTCGCTACACTATGTCGTTCCCTCTTAGCCTGTACAACTCTGCGTCTTCCCTCGATTGTCTTATGTGGCTGCTTCTGTGTCTGCCTAGGCACTCGGTTGAAATGGGAAAAGCTGCCTGCGTTGCACATAACCGCCATAAGAGCCAGTGTGGGCGTAGCTGGGGTAGCCCCCGCTATGGCTTCTCCAGCTCGACACAAGTAACATTCCTACCGCTGTCGTGTTAGCAGAAAACAGACCTGCTTAAAACGTACAGTGCACGTAGTACACAGTGGAGAGGTTGCTTGCCAATCATTTTCTTGGAAGTGTGAGTTGAGCCCCTTTGAGGCAGTTTGCTTCCGCACCGTGCACTATAATCCGTCCGAGAAAACAAGATGAATAACCAGTAGGATTTCTTTGTTCCAAGGCTTCTTGACGCAGAAAAAGACTAGGGAACCAGTATTGTTGCTTTTTACTACCCCGTGTGAGACTCAAACCCGACATGCAAGGAAGTGGAAAGGCCTCTTCCTTTCTGCTTTCTTGTGCCTTGGGTTTTAGCTGTGCTCACAATTCACAGCTCGCCTGCATGCCTACTCTTTTGTTCACTGTGTTACTGAAGTTTTCTGTCGTTGCTGTCCCAGATTGGCTTCGTGGATGCACAGAAATACTCAAGGCGCTTGACGTCTGTGGCTCATTTTTTTTTTTTTTCCGGTACCACGGCATGAAGGAGCTGGCCTCCCTCCCTTCCGTCAGCTGCAATATACTACAAGCACTGGGCTACAGCTGCAGCTAGCCCATGGGTACCGTTCTGCGTCCTGTACTGCATCTAGTTCGAAACGCCATGTGAAAGGCAGGTGTGGTCTTTATGGGCTCTGTCAGTATGTGCATTTTCTGCAGCTTTTTCGGGGCAACTTCATATTAAGATTCAATACGGACTCGAGTGAGAGGGGGGGCATTCTGAGAAAGCCAGCCTCTTTGTTAAATCATTGGGACTGGTATTATATCTATAGAGTTTATTTACACCTTACGTTATGTACTTTTTCATTTATTTTTATTTTGCTAGTTACTTATACTTCAATCTGACACGACAGCCACCAAAAATGTTGACATATTGGCCTTTTTTTTTTCTTTCAGTTTGTTTGAAGAGCCAATGTTGGGGGCGGTCATTCATGTTATATTTCCCCACGCACGTCCAGCTTATGTTTACATAAAGCCCCAATTGCCCCTTAGCAACAAAAATAATTTGTGCGACAGACTACACGGCAGCATTGTGGACGAAAACAGGCCAGATTATATCTGCCATGTTTAAAAACTACATTCGGTGACAGGTTATGAATTCAGTGGCAAGAATGCACACCGCCTGCCAATCACTGCCGTCAGTTGTCGTGACGTCATGTCCTGCTAAGAAACTAGTATATATTTTTTTTTAAATGGCAGGTTTTCGTTGCTGATGCCACGTAGCACATCGGCACTCTAAGCAATTCTTCTGCTCTTGGCCTCTCCGGTTTTACCTTGCGAAGTCATGACGGTGTCTGCTTTTGTTTGCGGTATTTCCCGTGTGTCGACGTGAGAAGGCAGCGGTTGTATCGCCAAGGAAGTAGCAATCAATCTGCGCGCATTTGTTCCAGCGGCACAGCGTTTACAAACCGAACTTTGCCCTTCAGCGAGGGGAAAGTCTACCGACTCGCCCTGCAGTTGGTGAGCATTGTGCAGCCGTGAGCGCATAACTTGTCCGAATGCTTTCGTCTGTATACAGTGACAAAATGACTCGCTGAAATGCGAAGTACCATACAGTACCATGCCGTACAGCAAACCATCGATCACTTGCTGCAGCAACTTTGCGTTTTAAGTCGTAATAATAAAGTGATTTTTAAGGCTAAAATCATTTTTTCATACTGCTCAATTATTCGGAATTCTGCACGATCCCCATCGGGTCTGCAATATCGGTCGGTGGCTGTATAACCTTTAAACACAATGGTTACACACCACAGGTACCGGGGACCATGACATCAATGAGCTGGCTTTCACCTTGTCCAAGGCAGCAGCGGAACACTACGGGCGGGACCCTGGATCACTGCACCGTGGATGCCATTCTGTACCCTGCACGGCACTGCGTGTGGCTTAAGTGGCCAAGCAGAGGGTCATTGCATGACTTTTATGAGGCGCCGCTAGCCATTGTAAGTATATTTTGGACACTCATGTCTGGTGATGTACTTTTGCGCTCTACCACAGAGCACATTTAATGGCGGTTCAGTCTTGCCAATTACACCATTTTGAAACGGAACACATTTAGTGGTGGCTCGGTTTAGGTTTCCTGGATCGGTGATCTTGCAACAGTGCCTAGACTTGGCGTAAACCTTTTTGTACTTTATTGTCAAGGCTAGTGTAATTTCTGCAATGCCGTTGAAGCCACTTCTGCACGCAAACAAGATAAAAGACGAAGCCACGTGCTCGTGCACAGTGTATGACTACATGTATGCATGGGCACTCGTGCCCATGCGTACCCACTCGCAACATGGAGCAAGTTTGTTTCGGCCGACACTCCTCGCGTTCATTTCGGCGTCGCCACTCCACACGTCCATGCACTCGCTGCACCTTGAGAACCAAGTGTGCACCAGAATGCACTCCCGTCATGCATCACTCAGGAGGGGAACAAGAGCAGACGACTGCGGTTTTTCCGCCATAAGGAACGAGAACCGAAAAAAAGGGGATTTTCTGCTAAGAAACTGCGTCCCACGGGCAACAAAATCGGACGCGAGCTGGGCTATTTATTCTGTGAAGCAAGCAATCGACGACCTGTGCTTCATTTTCAAGTTTTCTTTCAGTTTGTTGCCACACAGACATTGAAATACATCAATGGGATAAAGTAAGGTTCAGAACCGACATCAGCTACCGCGAGATCTTTCACCATCCTTGCGGGGGTGAAAAATTGGGACTTCAGTTGACAAACCTCGCTTGCCCTCCTGTCCATCACCTGACCCCATTCTGCACATGTGGGTATGCGCAAGGGAGCGTGGTCATGTGGCTGAAGATACAAGTGTGACCGGCCCAACGAGCACATAGTTTCCACAGCACCGTCGGCTTAGGGGTGCACGGAAGATACTGTATAAACTGGAATATAGGTCGAGCCCTTAATTTACAAGTTGCAAGATGCAAAAAAAGTTCTTATGGCAAGAAAATGCAACCTTACCTTGGTAACAAAATTGTCCAAGTATATGGAAGGACGAGAAAACACGGCAGATTTATTTAATTGTTTTGCACTCAATAAAACAGGAAGTATGCGCGTGTTACTACTCAGATTCCTCAGAGCCTTCGTCCGACGACGAGTTCACTAGCACAATTCAAAGGGACAATGCCGTCCCTTTGAATTGCGCCCTCGAGAGCTCGGAGGCACGAGCAACCTCAACGCCTCTTATACGGATGCTCTCCGACATCACAGGTACCGATCTGGCGCACAGATCCCGAATAAAGTTTGCCACCTTCGTTTCCAATTCAGGGTACACTGCAGTCCTTCCACGGAATTAAGTTTTCTTCGCCTTGCTGCACGCCGCCTATTTTTGTCTCTGGTTTTGCCAGTAGCGTATGCGCTGCAAGATTCTTGTGGATCTCTGCATAGGCGATAGCCTTCTTCTAGAAGGCTACTGTGAACTGTCTTCTACTTCCGCTCATTATTGCTCTGGGAACAGCAATGGTAGATGTAACAAACCAAGGAGCACAAGTAAAAGTGAATCGTGACTAGTGGACGAGTGCTAGGCCATTGCAAAGAAAAACAAAATGGCGTCTTCAGGCACTCAGTGTTGCGAGATTATTTTTGTTTTTCCGCTAATGACCGTCATATAAGACGAGGGTCGACTTTTTCAGGTCCAATTTCAAGAATAAATTCGACCTATATTCCGGTTTATATGCTAGTTGTGCGTAGTACTGTGGAAGCCACAGGCTGGGGAGGGGGGGGGGGGGGGGGATTAGCAAATTTTGTCTCAATGTTGAGCGACGAGCATTAAGGGCCAATTTCCTAGGGGGAGAATGGTGACGTGCGAGTACAAAAATGAGGATCCAAGCGCCATGAGCAAGAGGGGAGTTCCTCCTTTTCCTCCTCTTGAACTGCTAGAGGTATACTTACGCCCCTGTACCTTTGGTAACACTGCACAATTTGTAAGTTGAGGAAAGCTAAGAAGGAAGTTGAAGAATCGATTCATGGCCCCTTTAACATTTACCTACACTAGTTATCTTGCACCATTATATTTTGTTTGAGAAAGCTCTCATCCTCACCTCTCCCATAGGGAATAAAATCAGAAGTGTATACAACGATCGGCATCTACAGTGCCACGAAACCTATTGCTGGACATTCTTACGGGTTAGTGATCAATTTTTGTATGAATGAGGCCTTACCAGTGCCTTTGCCTCAATAGTGTGGTAAAAGGGCAATTTTCTTGTTTGTGAACACAAATTTGTTTTGAAACATAACTTGCTGGACTACCAATGCATGTTTCAAGATCTCTGTTGTGGTGAATGTTTTGCTGCCTGTTATATTCTTCAATAGCCAGTATCGTTTAAGTTCTGGAACTCTCACTTGAGCAAACTTCTAGGGACTCAAGGAAATAGTTCCCTTAACTAGGAGTCCACTAAACTGAATATATTCACTGGAATATGGAACAGCATAGGGCACAGCATACATCGGGTCAAAAGGGTATAATGCAATTTATGGAGTCATGTACATTGATATATACAAAGTGTATTACAGTTACGCTGCTGCCTTTCTCATTTTGAAAATAGTCAATAATTTTCATTTGCACCGGCGCTCTGAAAGCACATGAAGTAACAAAGTTGCCCAGAGAGTATCTTTTTTATGCATATCCTCTGGCACGGCTAGTTGCTGTGAGGAAGTCGTACCGCAACGGCACTGTCCACTGGCTTGAAATCTTCTGTGCAGAGTCGTTCCCTGTTGGGATTGAACACAGTTTCTCTTTCAAGCTTCGACTTTTGCTTCACTAACGTTGACAACGTCGACGGTAGCATCCGATAGTCCTTCACAACGTTCACTTGCCTTTGACCGTCATCCAGATGCTGAAAGTATTTCAATTTGTCCTAGAGACAACCGCTTCCATTTCGTCATACTTATTACGTAAGTGGGCGCACAAACTGCCGTTGTTACCCAAAACTAAGATGGCCGAAAGGAACCAATGATAAAGAAAAAAATATGCACCGCATGGTTCGTTTTTGTCTACCGCACCGCTGCTGCAAAGGCGGCGGCGGCCATCAGCTACGCCAGCACTGCAGAGCACAAAACTTCGTTGAACTGATCACAACAGTAATCCTGGGTCCACCGATCAAGTTCGTTGAACTGAAATATTTGCTATTCCGAAATTTCTTTTTCGTAGAGCAAACATTTTTGCATAGAATGCAAAGGAAAACCGCCATAGATTTTTTAAAGTTTGTTATTCTGAAATACTTGTTAAACCGACGTTTGCTCAAGTGCGAGTTTATTGCACCCGACTACTGTACGTTGCCCTACATGTTCGGGTAAGGTACTGTTTCTGTTCACCTGATGGGCACTTTCGTTCTCTGCATACACCATAGGTTTCAAACCGCCCTGAATCGTGGATCAAGCCTTGCAAGATGGAAGTTCTCTTTAGGCCCAGCGCCTCTTGTTGGATCAAGTCTTGTACGCCATTCCCTCGTGTCTTTCATATAGTAAATTGTTGGTATTTCTTTTATGACAGTGCGCACTACCTGCCAACCACGTTTTACAGTCGAAACGCAGTGTACCGAGACTTCTTTTATATAGACCCCTTTCTTTGCAAACGCCACCAGGCGGTGCTCCAGTTTGTTTGACGTCTCAGCGAACTTCTGATTCAAAACAAGAATGAACAAAACCCACTTTGACACTGCTGCCTAAAATGTCGATAAAATGTGTAACCACCAATTCTCCAGATGAGCGCCAAAAGAATGAAGAAACGGGAGATATGTTAAAATGTTTCGAATATTTTGTACGCCAACTTGCCTCCTCCAAGACATTAAATTGTACAGCCAATTGCCCTCATTAAATCTCCAACTTTGATGTATGTGTAGCATTTATGCTTTCTAGCACTGGTGACATGAACAAGCTCAACAGGCTTGCAAAGACTGAGCGACCGGAAGTCACTTGGGACACAAGCAGCAGTTCATGTTTGTAAACAGCAAAAGGGTCTAGATGAACGGCTGTACGCTGCCGTTGCCACGGCAGCTTACGCAGCCGCAATTTTTACCGAGACGCATGCGGGGAGCTATGTACTTCACATTGTTTGCGCGTGCCTTATCATCTATCTTGTGGTTTTGACACTTGTGGTTTTCTTGTTGAAAACTACAAGTGTCAAAACTATGTGATAGAAGACAAGGTGCGGCGCACAATGCTTTTCTGTCCACTACTGTTCTGTTAACAGACGGAAAAAAAACCTGACCGACGGAGTCGTATACAGCTTCGCTGTAAAATGCGACGAAAAAACGAATAGAACGTGAAGTGGAGAAACGAGTGACAATTTGAAGCCACCTAATGGCCGCTGTGTCATGTGATTTCAAGATCGCAGCACCCATGCGATGGAGGGTAAAAAGGTCTAAAGAATTTTAGAAATAAATTGAAGGGATGGCATAAAACCATTTGCAGGGGGGACTGCCTAGCTCGGAGCCCAAGCTACTGTTGCATTGGTAGGAATTTGGCATTAGGAAGATGGTGTGGCTGTAGCTGGCTTCAGTTGCTGCATTGGCATATGCATCTATTGACAATTGGTGACCATAGCATGCAGAATTTACTGTACAGGAGGAGAGACAGTTGTGACGAGATCAGGAGCATGATTGTACTTGTTTGGAGTGCTTTTCAATGTGGCTGCAGGACATGAACATAGAGTAGAGTTTTCAATAAGGACTGAATGTGTATGGCCAATATTTTCCAGCAACTAATATTTTGACAAGCCTTGCATGAAAGGAGTTTCTTACAGCAGAGCTGTTAAGGGCTAGTTTCCCCAGAATCATGTCCGGTACCAAACAAATGTCAACACCTGTGGTCGACACAACACTGTTTGCCGCCGTCGCTCATAGATCGCGGCAACCTTTCTAGCCTTGGCAACCGGAGAACTGGTTGCTGCCATCGCTGATAGATGGCGGCAACATTTCTTAGGAAGAAGAGCAGGATTGGAACGAGCAGTGATGTGCGCAGCAGCGCGAATGGTTCTGCTATTACCTAAAGTTCCACTGCGTCAAGCGCTTCAGATTCCTTTACAAAAGAAGAGCAGATCGCTCTCCTGAAAAGCCACCACCGAAAACAAGCTACAGTTCCGCTGCTCTTCCTTCTTTACCAAAGTGGAAAGGCTAAATTTTTTTTTTTTTTCTTCTTGTTTTGAACATGGTGCTGAAGTATCAAACTGCCTCTGATGTTGCAAACAAAAAAAGATGCCACCAGAACATCTCGGTGCTAATAGTCGCCGACAAGGTGAGAAACGCAGGGCATCTCTTAACGCCCAGCCACCAGCAAGCACTTGTTGCCTTTTCTCATGCTTTGTCTGCGCATGCATTGTTGAGGCTCGCAAGATGCCAAAGCATTGCCAAATGTAGGAGGCTCCTCCCTGCGGTTCTTGTTGTCCTACATTTGATCCTCAAGGCACAACCCCAGGTTGGTAGAAAAACTCAAAACTGGAGTAAAAAGATCCATGTCTGTGTATAACTATCTCAAACACTTTCAAACAAACATACAGTAAGGAAATGGGGCAGTGAATGTCTACCCTAGACATGCCACCCGCCTCCCACACACATAGACTCATGTTTACAAACAAACCAGAGTGCCCCTAGCGGATGCTGCGCGGTGGACGGTGGGCAAGAAGCTCGCCGTCGCCCATAAACAAACCATTGAATTGCGTTGTCAACGTCGGTGTGAGTCCCTGTGCTCTTTTTCCAATGGAATTGTTTATTCTACGTCCTCCTAACAATGTCTGACTACTTGAGCGGCTTCAGCAAAATTAATGAGGTTCGTTGCACCGCAAAACTGCGTAAATAATGCGACGTGTGGCGATTCATTTCACGTGGACGCCGCAGAATGAGCGCAAAAGCCCGACTCCCACGATGAGTCATCTCGCTATTTTCAGTCGCGACGTCGCTCGGGCTGTAAAAGCGTAGGCCGTAGCCGAGATGGTGGACGTCGATACTGAAAACGGCAAGTAGAATCATTACAAGTCGCTGACGGCCGCTGGTAGCAATGATCAATATCTTCTTGTATCTACTTACACTTAGCCTACTTACCCCAACCAACCTTCAAAAGTGCTTTGAGGCCTGCACTTACTTCTTATCACAATTACCGGGTCAAAACTTGGTTTACGGGCAGCTGTCGTTTGAAAGAGCAGACGACAGTTCGAACGGATGCGCAATGGAGTGCGGGCAAGAAGCGCCGCGTCCTGCGTCGACAAACCATTGGAATGTCACGTCAGCTTCCGTGTGAGTTTGCATACTCTTTTTCGTGTTGGAATTGTCGATTTTATGTCCTCATAACAATGCCTTACCACTTTAATCGCCTGAGCGAAATTATCAAGGTTCGTTACGACGCTGCACTTTGCGTAAATAATTTGACGTGCCGCGATTCATTCGCATGAACGCCGCAGAATGGATGCCGAAACCATGATGAGATTCTTCTAGCTATTTTTGGTTGCAACATTGTTTGTGCTGCAAACGTGTAAAAGGTAGCGGCGACGAACAACGTCAATACTGAAGATAGGAAACTGGAACACACCAAGCGTAACAAGTCGGCGATGGCCACTGGTGCCAATGATCAACATCTTGTATCTACTGTTTTCACCGAGCGAACTTAAATCTTTTGAGGCTTGCAATTACTTCTTATTACAATCACCCGGTCAAAGTTTGGTCCGCAGGCCGCTTTTGTTTGAACGAGCCGGGGACAAAAAAGTGAAAGCCGTTTACAAGTAACTCCCTGTAACGCCGAATTAGAGCGCAGCTCTTGAGGAGGAGGAGGGAAGGGAACGGGGGGGGGGGGGGGGGGGGTCATGTGCCGATGCCGATGACGTCATCAGTAACGATGACGACGCGGATACCGATGACGCCATCAGTGATGATGACGATGAGGATGCTGGTGACGTCGTCAGTGATGATGACAATGCGGATGCCGGTGACATCATCAGTGATGATGGCGTCATCGCATCATCAGTGATGATGACGATGTGGATGCCGGTGGGGAGGGGTCATGTGACCTTGGAATGACCTTGGGGGGTCACGTGACCTTGGTTACGCCGACGCCGCTCAAGCTGGGAACGGGCCCCTAAGAGCTGCGCTCTAAAAGCAGACAAGTTTGAACGATCAGGCGGCCGTGTGAATTTGAAGACTCGCTGAACCCCCGGGTGGTCCGGACAACATGGCGGTTTTCTCTCGTTCATGTTGGAACACAACTACATCTGTCGAGCACAAAGCGTTGCCAGCATAAGCAATCGTAGTTCGACAGCGTCTGGTTTGCCCTTGTCACGAATACTATCCACGTTTTTGGACGAATGGAGGGGCATAAACACATGAAAACTGATCTTTAAACCTTTCCAGAGTCTCTTGGTACAGTTCCGTCACAGCATTTTGACGAGAAGGCAGGTTTTTTGTCTGGTTTCTCCCAAAAGAACGCAGGAATGCATGTCTTGCACCGCGACTTCTGCCCACCACCCCAGACCGAAAGTGCGCCCGACGCGCCACCACCATGGCATGACGTAGGAGAGCTGAGGTCATGTATACCGGTACTGCAGTAGACTTTCTCCACAACAATGGAAGAGCATGATTCCTTAGGTGATATGCATGCTTCAGTGATGGGGCAAACAAATCAGTGCTGCCCTTAACAATAAAACAAGATATAAAATCTGCACCCAAGAACAGCCTCGTTTTAATTTCTTTATTGCTTTTAACATTTCGGTGTCAACTTGATTGCTGAAATGTTCCTCAATATTACTGAAAAAAAGATGTGCTTGCATTGACGAAAGTGTGAATGTTGTGAACACATTCCTCTGCAAACAGCAGATCTCCAACAATATCTGGACCTGCTTGGCAATGGTAGCAATGTGTGTACAAATGTTCTTAGATGTAGGTCAGTTGACACACTCGGAAAATGCCCGACGCCCTTTTGAGGCACATCCGCTCAATGGCATCTGCTACACTATCAGCTCGTCCTATGGACAGATCCGGTGGAACGTTGGATGCACATTACCTGCGGTGGAAAGTGGTTTTATTGTGGTTCTTATAGTAAACATAAGGTCTGCACAATACTTAACGCAAAAAGAGTATTCAAAAAATGTTTTTTGGCTGACCGTGGAGGCATTGACGCTGTGGCGCTAAGAACGTTATCCACCCTTACCTGCTTGCATGCTGGCAACAGAAAACTGTTTTTGAATGCTGCTTTTCCGTGGAGCTTGTCAACTGATAGATCCAAGAATGTTGGCATGTATGGCCCAAGGGGAGGCATCTATTTTCCAAAGCACCGGTTTAGAAACCCCTATTTTATTGAATCCTTTCAAAAAGACGCCCAGTTTAGAGAAAATGGCAACGAACCTTCTTTTAGCAAATTTGTTTTTAGGAAAACAATTCACCGAACTCGACTACTTGCTCTAGCATTCGCTCGTTCTGCCTTGGCTAACGGTGAAGCAGAGCCAGTCAACGAGTCGCTCGCTTGGGCGGCCAGCATATTCAGAGTATGATAGACACGTTTTCGTGCATGTCACTACCCTGCGGTTTTCGCAATAGTACTTTTACGTTCTGTTTGTTTTACGGCTTAAATCATGCCTTAGTGAATCATGCGCTAGCCTTTAGGTGCTTCCAGATTTGCTTATCTTAATGCAATCGAATGAATTCACTAAACTGCGACCCTTTTTCAATAAATGATGCTGCTGTAAACTGAGCTTCGATAAAATGTGCCAGTCCTCGAAAACACGCTTCTATGATATGGTGTTCGGTCAAATGCCATAGACCCCTGCACGAGTGCAACTGAGCAGCAGTTGTAGGTGCAGCACATTCCATTAGCATGAAATAAAGGCACACAGTCAAACAAAGCACCTCAGTCATGATGCCTAGGAGATCAGCGAACATAGAAATATTTTACACTGGGTACTATTCAGTTTCATATCTCTAACATTGCCGTCCCGCTTCGGCTAATCCCTAGATTGTTGACAGCTGCCCCGGCGAGGATGCTTTCCGGACATTCGGAAATAAAACATCTCAGCACAGGTGCTATCCACCCCTGTTTAACCACGTGTTCTTTACGAACATAACTCGGCTTCCAAACGATATTATACCGGGTGAAACAAGGAGACGGTAGGCTCTTTAAATCGACCGGAAAATTCGCTTTCTTAACCTATCGCGCTACGACTTTGTGCAGCGTCGCCCACAGATGGTGCATTTTTTCCGTAAAATTTGCAAAGAGCGAACTTACCTGAGGAAAAAGTAAAGAAAGAAAAAGGCTTAGCTTTTATGGAAACGCAGCGACGCCACCGGTCTGCAATCAACACGGCGCCGTTTTGCACGGTAGACAAGAGATGGCGCAATGAACGCCGCCAACGAATGAGCATACGGCGCCGAGAGCCAGCGTTTTTAGCAGACGATCTTTTCGAATCAAAAGCGGCGCGCGTTCCGCAGACGGCGACAGTCGCAGAAACAAAAACAGGCGCGGTAACAACAAGGAACTGCAGTTCCTTGTCTGCTAAATACGCCGGCTCTCGGCGTCGTCTGCTCGTTCGTTGGCGGCAGCTGGCATCGCGACCGCTTGCGCCATCTCTTGTCTGCCGTGCGAAACGGCGCCGTGTTGATTGCAGACCGGTGGCGTCGCTGCGTTTCCATAGGAGCTAAGCCTTTTTTGTTCTTTACTTTTTCCTCAGGTAAGTTCGCTCTTTGCAAATTTTACGAAAAAAATGCACCATATGTGGGCGACGCTGCACAAAGTCGTAGCGCGATAGGTTAAGAAACCGAATTTTCCGGTCGATTTAAAGAGCCTACCGTCTCCTTGTTTCACCCGGTAGAACGCCGTAAGGGGTCCATATCACATGAGCGAATGACATTTTAGCGAACAGCGACATTCGTCACTTTCTACGTTTCCGGATTCATACATAACCAGACTGTCGTTAGCAAAATTGTAGGTACTGAAAACAGGGAAATGAACGAGTGTGTGATGGGTTGGTAAGGAAAAGAAACGTGGACAAAAGGCAAACAAGCAATTTAGGAGACAAGACGACCCACCGAGCTAATGCTCTGTACGAATCTGAACCCCAAATACTACTTTCAGTACAAATACAAGATACTTTCAATATTACGCGATAAATAGCCACCAAAATTAACGTACCAATTGGGCAGTGCTGTTCGTAAATCACGTAAATCGCCGAAATCACAGGACGTTCGCGAAACATGCGCGTAACAGAACGGCCATCTTGAAAAAATAAAAATAGTGATGATGATAGCGATGTGTATTCTGTAAAAACTCCGAGGACAAATGCAGTCAATGTTTTTTTTTTTTTCTGATTTTTCTTCAGATTTATGTATGGCAATTGCAAAACTTTGGAAAACTTACTTCCCCTAGCAAGACCTCATTAAAATAATGGTAACAAAATAGTCTTAAGGTTTAAACACATAGACGTGTTGAAATACACTTGGCAATGTATACGTGGAGTGAGTTTTTCTTTTGCATGGGTTGTGGCGACGTAAGAATGCCAACCTCCGATTTAAAGATAGTGGATAGACCTCAAAGCAGCTAAACCTGATTAAGGATAGTGGATAGACCTCAAAGCAGCTAGCATCGTCTACCCACCATCCTTCAATCAGAGCTCGGCATTTCGACGTAACCACAAGCAGACGAACCTGCGCTCCACAAGAACCTTTTCTCAGTAATTAAATGCAAACAGAACAAAGACTTGGGAACTTTTCTTGCTGATAGCCTTTCCTTAAAAGTGTGAATGGTCAAAAGCCAATGCTACGAAAGGCTGAAACACTTCGGACATAGCATGTTAAGGTGGCAAGAAAAATTAAACGGGGATATCTATCTTCTTTCCATCAAACTTTTTGGGGCTTCATCTTTTCAATAATTACCTTCTCACATGTTTCACAGTGATCTGTGGCATGGATTTACCACACTCCTTTTGTGAAGTGAAGCAAGAGGTATACACCGTCATCAGAAAAACAAACTATTTATTTAAGACAGAGAGCCACGAGAGGGGAAGATGGCAAGACCCGATCTACCAAAAAGGAGAGGGCATAAGAGTGAGGTCTTGCAAGGCTCGGTCCGTGATTCAGGACGGTTTGAAACCTATGATGAATGAAGAGAACAAGGGAGTCCATCAGGTCAACAGCAACAATATCTGACCCAAACATGCAAGGCAATGAACAGCAGGGGCGAATTTGTCAGGCTGGTTGGAGTGGGGGTCGGTGGGAGGGGGGGCGGTTTGCAAGATGGTATCACGGGCAAAATGGTGCCCAGGTGTGTTTTGTTGACCTAATAACCAAAAACTAATAATTTCTTCCTAGGAAAAGCTGGAGTATGTCAATTTTTCATTAAGAAGTTAACCTCAAGGGGGGGGGACGTGACTCCCCCCCCACAAAAAAAAAATCCGCACATGATGCAGAGCACTCGAGTATACACCAAGAAACTGAGGGAGAGGAGGAGACGAGAGCATGTGGGGACGTCAGAATACAGAGCTCTGGTTGGAATGATTAGAGGGTAGACCTAGCTGCCTTTGTATCCACTGCACTCGTCAAAGGCGTTTGAATGTGAAAGCCATACGCTGGACACCAGCGTTCCGCGTTCTAACGTGTTCGAATGAGAGAACAAAACGCTGGATGCCGGCGTACCATCTTCAAATGTGTTCGACGAGTGCAGCAGAGACAGAAGCTATCTTTGTCTCCACTGCACTCGTCGAACGCATTCGAATGCAAAAACCGAAAGCCAGACACCGTCGTTCCGCATGTGCAGAACAGACAAAGGCAGCTAGCTTTAGGTCTACCCACTAATCGTTCCAATCAGAGCTCTGCGTTCTGACGTCCCCGCACTCTCGTCTCCTCCTCTCCCTCAGCTTTTCGGCACAGAGTTCTGGGAGTTCAACACTGGCTAGCAAAAATCCAACAAACAGCACCACATCCACAAAAAAATACTTTCTTTGGCACTTCCCAAAGGTGTTCTAAATTGCATAGCATTCATAGGATCTCTTTGCACCCTACCCGTCGCCTGGAGTTCACTTCAGGACTCCGAGCGACGTCCACTTGGAGGAGGGACCGTCCCGTGTGATCTGGCTGGTCCCTTGAAAACGGGAAATGTGCAGGGAAGTGTGAGAGTAGGCCAGAAGGGTGGTGTACTCTCCCCGACATGATACAGAACGAGCAGGCTCGAGGCCAGACGACTCTGGCCGGAATGTCTGCAGCTTACACCTTCTCAGGGGAGGGAAACCAGTGGCTCTCGCAAGTCACTCGGTTTTTCTCTAATGATCTTGTCAAGACTTCTTCAATACCCGTATCAAATAAAAGCGGTCGTGCTCGGCAGTGTCTGCTTGAATTTTATTCGGAGACCGTCTGTTAAAGGGACCATGAAATTATTTTAAAATCGAATTTCATCCACCGCACGTCGTAAAAGGTGTGAAAAGAAACACAAAAACACAAAAATAGGGAGCCAAAACAAATTATTTGCTATAGAACTTTTAAAAGAAAACTGGACTCTTTTGCGCCTTGTTTCACTACGATGCATCCGCGGAAACGGAGCACGTCAGTCGAATCCACGTCACCTATTGGGTAAGAGCCTACCTCACCAGCACCGCGATCGTAAACAATAAATAGCCGGCGAATGCTTCCTAAAAGTTTTGTTAAATAATATTCAGATCCACATTTTGTAGCATAATTAGAGATGTGTGGCGAAAATTGCCAAATTTGATAATGCTGAGAGCCAAGCGCCATCTATCGTGTGGTAAACGAATCAACTACACACGCGCAGTAGGGCAGCTTGGGTCGCGACGACCGCAACGACCGACAAACGTTTATTTCCTTTGATTTCCTTCCTCTCAAAACTCTGACTGACTGAACGTTTATTTTTCTACGTGTTTTTCTCGCGCGTGCAGACTTCAAGCAGCAAGAAAAAAAGTACAGTCGAATCTCGTTAATTCAAACTCGAGGGGGACCGAAAATTTGTTTGAATAAAGCAGAGTTTGAATTACCGGGAGTTCCCTCCCATAGAGGCGCATAAGATGGGACCTGCATGTTAGTTTGAATTATCGGGAAGTTTGAATTAAGAGAGTTCAAATTAGCGAGATTCGACTGTACTTAAAACAGACCACGACGAACAAGAACGCTGGATCCACAAACACCCGAGAAAAGCGACTCCGACGAAGCGAGCTGCTCAAAATATAGGCCTAGCAGGCACTCCAACTCGGCGCAGCGTTGCTTCGTCGCAAGGCCGTCTGCCTACGACCGGCTGGCGTGCTGAATGGAATATGCCCGCGCTACCCTTGTGGACCCTTCCCGTATTATAGTTTGATCGCTGACCTCAATTTTAGATTAAGAGGTGAGGTCAATCTCTTCCCCTTGTTTTCCGAGGCAGTGTTGACGAATACTCGTCGAAAAGGGACTCTCGCCGATTCTGTCTTCTTGTTTTGTGTGATATAGAGCTGAAATAAACGCCGTATGGATTACCTTCGTAACACGATATGTACACTTTGTTATTGGTGTGCCATTTTTATTCTGACAGACTGCACGTCACTGTCGAGCTATAACCTTTTTTTGCCGAGTGTCGCGTCACAGCGCGAATACAGCACTTCCATCAAACGCGCGCGTCCGCTCAGAGTGTGAACAGGTATTTACGTGGCTCTTGCTGACACTCGTAGTTCAAACGTATCTTTTTTAACGTCGGCTCGCTCCTGCATCTCCGAGGCCGCGAAAAACGCCGCGGCAATTTGTTTCCATCTACGTTGCTTTACAAACGACTGACACTGGCCGCCTTTTACCAACAATGACAGTTGAGTTGACTTCTGGAGTCTTCACCGGAAGGCTCTCTGCACTTCCCAACAGGCATACCGGCGTATGGGACTAGTCCCATGCTGTCGCTGTAGCGCAACATATCTCATTGAATTTCACTCAGCTGTGATGCGGCGATGAGAGGCGCCGATTCAGAAAATACGTCGGTTACATCAGCGCTGTAAAACCTACCGGCGTACCCCAACTTGTCGCCGCTAACGCTCCCATTCTCCTACTGCCGAGAGAACTTCCGGTTCCGGAAACAGCGTACGTCACGGCTTGTTTTGCGGTCAGTTGGAGAGAAAGAAAAAGTCAATATTTCATTAATTTTTTGTGTAGAAGTTAATAAACCGAGACGAAAACGGATGCCTGTTCGGCATTCAGTGAACATTGACGGTTTAATGTAAAAGTTATCTGGGAAAAAGTAAAAAGGTCATTTCATGGTCCCTTTAATCAATGTTGGAGGCAAGCGCAAGAAGGAGGAGAGGTACCATGTGAATGTGCTGAAGTATGTTGAACGTACCGAAAACGTTACCCGAGAGATGTCCTTTGTAATGGAAGCACCCGACGAAATCGGTGACGAAATGGCGTGTTTTGATGTACGGACCCGAGAGAACGGGTCAAGCGGAGGGCTGAACGTGGACGCTGAAGTTCAGGCTCACGAGGTTCAAGAAGTTGATTCGGTCCTACGGTGATGTCTTCGACGATAGGCCAGGTAGAACCACGAGATCCCAAAGAGCGCCGACCCGATTGCGTCGAAAGCGTACAGAGTTCTGTACAGTATCAAGGCGGGGGTACAGGAACAACTGAAGGAAATGCTGGAAATGGGGCATCATACGAACATCGACAAGTCCGTGGGCATCCCCAATAGTATGCGTGAAGAAGAAAGACAACAGCATGAGGATCTGTGTCGACTTCAGGAAGCTGAACGTGACAACACAGGATGATGCCTACCCCATGCCTTCACTCCCTGAGATGATTGAGACTGTGGGGAGAGCCAAAATAGTCGGCACCCTTGACATGTCCCAAGGCTACTGGCAAATCGGTTTATCAGAGGAGGCTTTTTTTAAGACAGCATTCCGTACGGACACCGGCTTGTACGAATTTACGGTGATGCCGTTCGAACTGAAAGGAGCACTGGCGACATTCCGAAGGTTGGTGGACGACTTCCTGAAAGAGCACCAAAACTTCGCTCGGGCATACTTAGATGACATAGGGTGTTCAGCAACATGTGGCAGGTGTTCAGCAACACCTGCTTCATTTGTGCACCATCCTAAAGAAGTTGCGTCAGGAAGGCCTGGCTCTAAAAAATAAACAAGTGCCAGTTTGGGAGGCGGGAAGTGCACTACCTGGGGCACGTGATTGGGAATTGGCAAGCACAACCTGACCCTGATAAGATTGAGGCCATCCAAGCGATCGAGAGGCCCTACACGAAGACAGAAGTCCGTTCCTTCTAGGAACTAGTTAACTTCTACCGGAATTTCATTGAAAACTTCGCGGAGCTGGCCGCACCGCTGACCGACCTCCCACACAAGGCTGAACCTAAGCAAGTAGTGTGGACGCCGTCATGCGAGAGCGCATTCGGCGCACTGAAGGAGAGAATATGCAGCAGTCCAGTGCTGTGGAGCCCAGACCCGAGTCGACCCTATATACTCCAAGTAGACTCTAGCAACAAGGCGATCGGGGCCATTCTAGCTCAAACTAGCGAGGGCGTCAAGCACCCCGTTGCGTACGCCAGCCGTAAGCTACTTCTTCGTGAGAAGAAGTATGCAACAATTGAGAAGTGTCTGGCAATTGTGTGGGCCATGAAACATTTTCATGTGTATGTTGATGGACAAAATGTCACAGCCCAGTCGGACCACAATGCGCTCCGATGGCTAAACAACAGCAGGCAGCGTCTACAAAGTTGGAGCCTGTTGCTGCAGGCCTACCAGATTAAGATAGACTACAAACAGGGTTGCTTGCATTCGAATGCGGACGCCTTGTCGCGTATCTATGGGCACTATGATCAGAATGTAGTGCCCTGCCAAGGCTTGCGATCTGCTTCTCCACTTTACATGTAGTTGCAAAGATTTTTCTTTTATTTTTACAAACCTAAACATTGAGAATGTAGAAAAAAAAAAAAAAAAAAGTTTATTGTATTTAGAGCATTTCACTTGTGCGTGTCTGTTTCGGATGCTTAGTTTTATAGAGCAGTATTACAGGAGGAGTTGCACTGTGCAACGAAAACAATGGGCATTTCGTGAGCAGAGGCTCGCAAATCTTGTTTTTATATGTTATCATTTCGGTTAAAGGGGCGTGTTGTGTAATTTTGTACCTTTTGCCTTCATCGGGGGTTCGAGCATCTTTACTACACCTTGCATGCCCCCTCCCGGGGTCGATGGGCCCCAAGTGGAGGCATCAGCAGAACATTATAACCTTACACCTGTTTATATAGAACTCCGCATATAACTTCTTTGCCTACAAAGGTACTTTCTATTATTTTAGCTGTCCTTGACGCACATTGTGCCGCATTATGCCAATGATGGCATGTCCCATCCCATGTTGTCGACCTTTCGAGGTTGTACGGGGAATCGGCTATTGTAAACATGAGAGGTATATTAAGGACTTGTAAATGCGTTTGTAGGGGTCTATGATTGGAATGTTAACAGAGTCAGCGGTGGAGGGCCGTTTTGTTTTGGATAGCGCCAACTGAACTCATTTATTACTTTGCTTGTCGGGATATGTGTAGCCCTACCACAGAGACGAGAATGCATGTTAGAGGGAGAGAGTGAAAGAGAGAGACGAGGGTAGCTATGTTGGGAGCGGGAGAGTTGAGAAGGGGGAGTTGACTGAGAGACTTGAGAGGAGACACATCGAGAGCGATGCAGCAGGAGTTGAGATAAAAGGCCCATCAAGAGCGATGCGGAAAAATCGAGTGGATAAAGTGCAGGGGTGTCACTTAGAGAGTTAAACGGCAGAGGCCATCGAGTTTTGAGAACTAGCGAACTCTAACTATGCTGTAATTTTTGTGTATAACACCTGTATATTAAGCCAAGTCATTCAACCCTAAGTCTATGATCCCGACATCACTAAAACCCTCGGCTGGCAATCGGCGACAACGACGTCAGCACAGACCCGAAGACGAGCGACTTCATGTCACGAGACGAGACGAGATGAATATAAACTTTACAGACCAGATAAAAGTGAGTGACGCATTGGCTAACGTTGCGTCTTGGTGTCATGAAAATAACATGAAGATTAATATTAACAAAACTCAGTACATGCATATTACAAAAAAAAAAGAACTATCTTAAATTTTAGCTATGAGGTTGCTGGCATAGGATTGACTGAAGTAGACAGTTACAAATATTTGGGAGTGATTTTGTCTTGTGACCTTGGGTGGAAAAGGCATGTACAGTATGTTAAGAAGCGGGCAACTAACAAATTGTGGTACCTGAGGAGAACGCTGGGTAAATCTCCCCCTTCCGTTGAAATTCTTGCTTATAAGACAATTATTAGACCTGTGTTAGAATATGTGTCTGGAGTGTGGAGCCCATGGCAGAGCTCTCCGGTCAGAGAACTCGAAGATATTCAATTGCTAGCTGTGCGTATTGTTTTTTCAGATTTCAGACAAACTATGTCTGTGACCGAATTTAAAAGGAGAGCCAGTATACGCCCGCTGTCAAACAGAAGAGAGAGCCAATGTTTAAAGCTGTTCTTTCAGATTTTCAAGAATAGTATAAAAATTGATAGCGTGATTTACTTAAAAACAAAAAGTTTTTACTCGGATCGCTTGCATCACTCACAGACCGTAGCCCCTATTAAAGCTCGAATAAATAGCCATAAACAATCTTTTTTTGTGCATACAATTGATTTTTGGAACAGCCTTCCCGGTGATGTTATCGATATTGATTCACTTTCTTCTTTCGGAAGAGCCGTAGATATATTTTTCAGTGCTAAGATTGCATTTATTGCTGTTATGACATTATTTTTACTGTCTGTTTTTTATTAGTTATTACTGCTGTACTGTTACTGTTATTACTAGCAATACATTTGGTTACTGTATTACTGTTGATATTGATTGATTTTCTTCTTTCGATTAAGTCGTAGATATTTTTCAGTGCTAAGATTGCTTTTTGTTTAGAACTGTTGTGTTTATAATTTGCAGGTATGACACTGTATCACCCCACTCCTGCCTTGGCCCTATATTGGGCCGGCAGCATTGATAAATAAATAAATAAAATAAAAAAGTCTGTGTGGCAACAAACTGAAAGAAAACTTGAAAATGAAGCACAGGTTGTCGATTGCTTGCTTCACAGAATAAATAGCCCAGCTCACGTCCGATTTTGTTGCCCGTGGGACGCAGTTTCTTAGGAGAAAATCCCCTTTTTTTCGGTTCTCGTTCCTTATGGCAGAAAAACCGCAGTCGTTTGCTCTTGTTCCCCTCCTGAGTGATGCATGACGGGAGTGCATTCTGGTGCACACTTGATTCTCAAGGTGCAGCGAGTGCATGGACGTGTGGAGTGGCGACGCCGAAATGAACGCGAGGAGTGTCGGCCGAAACAAACTTGCTCCATGTTGCGAGTGGGTACGCATGGGCACGAGTGCCCATGCATACATGTAGTCATACACTGTGCACGAGCACGTGGCTTCGTCTTTTATCTTGTTTGCGTGCAGAAGTGGCTTCAACGGCATTGCAGAAATTACACTAGCCTTGACAATAAAGTACAAAAAGGTTTACGCCAAGTCTAGGCACTGTTGCAAGATCACCGATCCAGGAAACCTAAACCGAGCCACCACTAAATGTGTTCCGTTTCAAAATGGTGTAATTGGCAAGACTGAACCGCCACCAAATGTGCTCTGTGGTAGAGCGCAAAAGTACATCACCAGACATGAGTGTCCAAAATATACTTACAATGGCTAGCGGCGCCTCATAAAAGTCATGCAATGACCCTCTGCTTGGCCACTTAAGCCACACGCAGTGCCGTGCAGGGTACAGAATGGCATCCACGGTGCAGTGATCCAGGGTCCCGCCCGTAGTGTTCCGCTGCTGCCTTGGACAAGGTGAAAGCCAGCTCATTGATGTCATGGTCCCCGGTACCTGTGGTGTGTAACCATTGTGTTTAAAGGTTATACAGCCACCGACCGATATTGCAGACCCGATGGGGATCGTGCAGAATTCCGAATAATTGAGCAGTATGAAAAAATGATTTTAGCCTTAAAAATCACTTTATTATTACGACTTAAAACGCAAAGTTGCTGCAGCAAGTGATCGATGGTTTGCTGTACGGCATGGTACTGTATGGTACTTCGCATTTCAGCGAGTCATTTTGTCACTGTATACAGACGAAAGCATTCGGACAAGTTATGCGCTCACGGCTGCACAATGCTCACCAACTGCAGGGCGAGTCGGTAGACTTTCCCCTCGCTGAAGGGCAAAGTTCGGTTTGTAAACGCTGTGCCGCTGGAACAAATGCGCGCAGATTGATTGCTACTTCCTTGGCGATACAACCGCTGCCTTCTCACGTCGACACACGGGAAATACCGCAAACAAAAGCAGACACCGTCATGACTTCGCAAGGTAAAACCGGAGAGGCCAAGAGCAGAAGAATTGCTTAGAGTGCCGATGTGCTACGTGGCATCAGCAACGAAAACCTGCCATTTAAAAAAAAATATATACTAGTTTCTTAGCAGGACATGACGTCACGACAACTGACGGCAGTGATTGGCAGGCGGTGTGCATTCTTGCCACTGAATTCATAACCTGTCACCGAATGTAGTTTTTAAACATGGCAGATATAATCTGGCCTGTTTTCGTCCACAATGCTGCCGTGTAGTCTGTCGCACAAATTATTTTTGTTGCTAAGGGGCAATTGGGGCTTTATGTAAACATAAGCTGGACGTGCGTGGGGAAATATAACATGAATGACCGCCCCCAACATTGGCTCTTCAAACAAACTGAAAGAAAAAAAAAAGGCCAATATGTCAACATTTTTGGTGGCTGTCGTGTCAGATTGAAGTATAAGTAACTAGCAAAATAAAAATAAATGAAAAAGTACATAACGTAAGGTGTAAATAAACTCTATAGATATAATACCAGTCCCAATGATTTAACAAAGAGGCTGGCTTTCTCAGAATGCCCCCCCTCTCACTCGAGTCCGTATTGAATCTTAATATGAAGTTGCCCCGAAAAAGCTGCAGAAAATGCACATACTGACAGAGCCCATAAAGACCACACCTGCCTTTCACATGGCGTTTCGAACTAGATGCAGTACAGGACGCAGAACGGTACCCATGGGCTAGCTGCAGCTGTAGCCCAGTGCTTGTAGTATATTGCAGCTGACGGAAGGGAGGGAGGCCAGCTCCTTCATGCCGTGGTACCGGAAAAAAAAAAAAATGAGCCACAGACGTCAAGCGCCTTGAGTTTTTTTGTGCATCCACGAAGCCAATCTGGGACAGCAACGACAGAAAACTTCAGTAACACAGTGAACAAAAGAGTAGGCATGCAGGCGAGCTGTGAATTGTGAGCACAGCTAAAACCCAAGGCACAAGAAAGCAGAAAGGAAGAGGCCTTTCCACTTCCTTGCATGTCGGGTTTGAGTCTCACACGGGGTAGTAAAAAGCAACAATACTGGTTCCCTAGTCTTTTTCTGCGTCAAGAAGCCTTGGAACAAAGAAATCCTACTGGTTATTCATCTTGTTTTCTCGGACGGATTATAGTGCACGGTGCGGAAGCAAACTGCCTCAAAGGGGCTCAACTCACACTTCCAAGAAAATGATTGGCAAGCAACCTCTCCACTGTGTACTACGTGCACTGTACGTTTTAAGCAGGTCTGTTTTCTGCTAACACGACAGCGGTAGGAATGTTACTTGTGTCGAGCTGGAGAAGCCATAGCGGGGGCTACCCCAGCTACGCCCACACTGGCTCTTATGGCGGTTATGTGCAACGCAGGCAGCTTTTCCCATTTCAACCGAGTGCCTAGGCAGACACAGAAGCAGCCACATAAGACAATCGAGGGAAGACGCAGAGTTGTACAGGCTAAGAGGGAACGACATAGTGTAGCGAGCTTTTTAGTCCAGGCGATTCCTCAGAGAAATGCAGTCGGCGGAAATGTAGGTCAGTTGTTCTTGCCATTAATTTAGGTAACGAATGCAAACATTATACTATTTTGCATCTTTTTCTACTGCAATGCTAGTCACCCGCAACGAAAAAACGTCACAAACTGAAAGAAAGTCTGGTTGCATTGTTAACACGGACACCAAGTCCATCAGGAAAAGCCATCTGTGCCATCCACCTGTTCATAAGCGAGCTGGAGTTCATCAAAGCACAACCGAGACTCTCTCGAGAGTATTTGGTTCCTTGTCACTAGTTATAGAATGAAAACACAGTGCAGTGTTGATTACTGTCAGCGCAGCCTTGCCACTAGCACTGCTGTCACTCGGGTGGCAGATATTTCGCTGGCACGACATGGCCTGCGAGCCACATATATCCCTAAAAGAAAGCTGCATAGAATGCACTTACCGTGGCTAGCGTCGCCGCCCAGAGAGCTTGCACAAACCCTCTGCATGACACGCAGTACAGTTCAGAACAGAGCAGCACTGGCTAGCCAGTTGCTGCGAAGGCTTGCGGTGTCTTGCTGCTGCAAGTCACCTCTTTCATGCCTTGTGGTACCCATCAGTTTCAAAACAAACGCTGATGAACCGCCACCAGCCATGACCTGTAGCACAAGGGGGAAAAACGTGCGAATGTGCAGTCTCCTATCTGTTTGCTTTTGTCTAACGTCTCCGAGTTTTCTTTGAGAAGAAAACAGCAATGACACTTCTTTCACAGTAATGTGCAAAAGAAACAAAAACGGCTCGGTTATTATACTGTCTCATAAGTTGTGTGCAGCGAAGGCACGGGTGCGAGGGCGCAGCTCTGCAGAATGTTCTTTTTGCGCGGGTACTCGTGCAAAAAAGGCGCTTTTTATTGTCATGTGCTCGGGCCTGCGCCTTTGCTGCACACAACTTATGATACAGAGTGTATAGCACGCCTCCGTGAGCACTCGCGTACGGCGAGAAATCCATGATATCCAGGGTACGATAGCAGGAAACCTCGCAAGGGTGCACGAAGCTGCAAGTGCGCCAGAATGTGCAATTGGAGGTGGTGATAGAATGACATAGTTTGAGAATATGAGGTTACTTGGGTCAAAATATAGAAGCGAAAAACGTAACTTCCTTGCCGGCTGATGTTAGGAGCCATCGGAGCACGACCACCTGTTTGTTGTGATCGGGGTATTACGATCGGACGCGGGTTGGTAAAGATTTGAAAAACCCGGAAGAATAAAACCTGTAGGGGCGAAGACAGACAGCGCAGTTCCTTGTTGACATGGGATGTAATATTAAACACATTATTCCGTCGGATCAAACGTTTTTATTTAATCAGGCTTATCTCGGAAGTCTGCCGGCAGGTCTGGGGTCGGAGGCATGCGGTTTTTAGAGCTCTTTTGGCGGGCTTTCAGCTTTCTGCGATGCGCGTTTTAATCGTGAGCACAGGCTCAAACAATAGGCAGCGGCGCCAAATGTATTTGAAACGAAGAAGCAGCTCGGACGCGTGGAACGAACACATCGAAATCACATCACAGGAAAACGTAAATCACTCACCTTTTGTTCGACGATGGTTCGCAAGACACGATTCAAATCGACGACACTCGATTCGGTCACGATATTCAGGTAAAGGACGCAACAACGTAGGCTTGCCGTTCCTAATAACTACATAAATACGACGATACGACACAATATCAAACAAAGGAGTCAGAAAAACGCAGTCTGTAGCGCAGAAAACGCGGTCACCCGGTTGCAAAAAGCAAGAAAATAAACAAAATTAAAAAAAAATAATAAGTCAACAAAGTAAAAATAACAAAAAGTTTCCTCGCTAAAAACCGTGACGTCAGAGAAAACAAAACAAACAAAAACAAGCAAAACAAAATTTCTTTGTCACGTGACGTTATATTTGTGACGTCACTTCCGGTGACGTCGGGTCACGTGACCTGCCATTATTCCTCCTCCGAATCGCTCGTGTGTGGAGAGGCTGGTCGCGGAACACTCCGTGCGACGCGACCGGCGCGCCGCCGCGCGGCCGTTACCGAAGGTAGGCAGTGAGAGCCCCAGAGCAACGAAATCACGCCGCGTACATTGGTACGCATTGAAGTCGGAGCGGTGCGGTTGCGCTGGGTTGACAGCATGAACTGCTGCGTCGTTAAGTGCTCCAATAGTTATGCGTCGTATCTCGTGGGGTCGAAGTGTCACAGTTTTTCACATCGCCGATGTTCTGTCGGACAGCGACAACGATGGACCCGTGCCCTACGACGTGAGAAATTTGGTCTCCCGATCATGTCCGCCACTGTGTCGGCACGGCTGACATATCCTACACTGCCGCTTTGCGCTCTGCGTTTGTTTTCGTACCAGTAACGCCTACATATCTCAAGTCGAACTGAATTGCCTTCCCACACTCGCGGGTATGCAGTGCGAATTTCGTTGAAGGAATGCTCTACAAAGAAGTTTCGTCCCCATCGTACGTGTCGATGAAATTTCCGGACCAGTATGGCACGCAGTCTGCACTTCATGAAGAAAGATTTGGACGGTACAAAAAAAAGTGACAAATATGAATCTAAGGAGAACTACAATGAAACTAGGAATCACTAAACAATCGATGTTCGAGTATGGAAGTTTATGTGGTGTGCTTTCTTTTCTTTTTTGATCAGCCTCCTTTTGGATGTGGAAACGCCGACACCCCGAGTTCTGTAGACAACAATTTTTGTTTCTCGGCTTTAGAGCCACCTATCACAAAGTTGTTCGAACTGGAAGTACCGTCCACTGGTCCCTTCCTACCTGAAAGTGTCCACCTCCCGGCCATGATGAGTAATATTCTCTTGACAGCCTTTGAGGGTCAAACCCAGTTCCCATTTAGTTACGCCCCCCAAAAATATTTCCACCTACTTAAAAAAATGCCGCCTCTTTTAAGTATAAGTGTTTTGTCAAGTTACGCTGGTCAAAGTACCTGTGTGCCGAAAGTCAGCATTTTGCACAACGAGATTACTACACAGCAGCTGACCGCAAAAGCCTCCGACGGCCAAACCGTGTGTTGGGCGGCAACTTGGTTTCCTCGGCTTTGAAACCACCTTTCGTAAAGTTGTTTCAATTGGAAGTACAGTGCATTAGTCCCATCCTACCTGTAAAGCCTCCATCTCCCACGACGAGTGGTATTCTCTTGACAGCTCTTTCACGGTCCAAACCAAATTTTCACCTGGTTTTCTTACGCCGCCTATTTTTGGTATTATAACTGTTGTGTCAAGTTACGGTCACATCCAAGAACCTGTGTGTCCAAATCTGCACTTCGCACAGTCCGGTTATAACACAACATTTTGGGTCCAATATTGGATATTCCTGACAGCTTTATAAGTTTATTCGTTCGAACCATAACTTTCACACCTGCTGTCTTAATAAAACTTAGCCCACTTAGTGCACAAACTTAGTGAACATCTCACTCGCCTCCAAATATCATCGTCCCAGCAGTCCTACGTTTACAGCGACGAGCGAAACAAATTTCCCACTGAGAGCAATTATGGCGGCGGCCGTCTTGCTTTTCGGAAAATTGCTCAGACCCCTTTTCCGACCGCAGCTAAAGAAATTACCCATAATAACTACTCAAACTCAATATATAAGAATCGGAGAACAGCTAAATGCCTTTCTTAGGTCTGCCCCAGCACTCATGCAACGCCACCCTCAACTTATCGGCTCAAAAAGCAGAAGATCGGTCCGTGCGCGCTTCCGCCGCCACAGCTTCGCACGCGAAAGGGCGCCGCAGGCTGCTGAGCGCCAGAGCGCTACTCCAGAGCCGTGTATTGGGAGAGTTTGGCCAATAGGCGGAGCAAAGGCTGCCGCCAGCGCCGAATATTTCCCCCACGCTTAGAGCGTAAACTAAATTTGTGACACAGCGTCAACCAATCAGGAGACCGCGACGTCACAATATTGCAAACGACATTTAAAGCGTGAAATAGAAGCGTTCGATCTCGGCCTCTCTACTCCATCTCACAAATGTCGGCAGTGAAGACAAAGGTACAGACGCGTTAGCCTAGCTCAGCAAAACGCTTTTGTTTGTACGAGAACTCGTGCATAGGAGGCACTTTCCAAAGCCACGCGCTCGTTCCCATGCATTTGTCTGCACTGCTGATGTTTGTTCGCTCTGGCCGGCTTGCTAGAACAGCGTCCTGAGACTGGCTGAAAGAAAACAGTGCAAAAGGTGGGGCGCGCGAGCGTCTTGAGACGGGGAGTCCCGCTCGGCTCGTGCGCTGGCTTTGGCAGTGCTTTCTTTCACCGTCTCAGCTGAGACGCGGTTTGTAGCAAGTTGGCCCTGGTTTGTGGCGCACGTTCGTTTATTCTACACTTGAATATTGGCGTGACTAAAACCTCACACGCACAAAGTTTTCAGTCACCGAGAGTTAAACCTTATCACTCTAGCGACGCTAAAACGGCTTAAATTAGTCGTGTCACAAATCTAGAGCTCACGACCACCGCTAGGGTCTCTTTCGAGGCCTGTGGTTGGCCCCGAGATGCTCGCCTATTCAAACCAATGTATGGCCAAACTCTCTCAATAAACGGCTCTGCGCTACTCCAGAGCCGTTTATCGAGAGAGTTTGGCCATACATTGGTTTGAATAGGCGAGCATCTCTGGGCCAACCACAGGCCGCGAAACAGCCCCTAGCGGTGGTCGTGAACTCTAAATTTGTGACACGACTAATTCAAGCCGTTTTAGCGTCGCTAGAGTTAAAAGGTGTAACTCTCAGTGACTGAAAACTTTGTGCGTGCGAGGTTTTCGTCACGCCAATATTCAAGTGTAGAATAAACGAACGTGCGCCACAAACCAGGGCCAACTTGCTACAAACCGCGTCTCAGCTGAGACGGTGAAAGAAAGCACTGCCAAAGCCAGCGCCGGGACTCCGCGTCTCCAGACGCTCGCGCGCCCAACCCTTTGCACTGTTTTCTTTCCGCCAGTCACTGGACGCTGTTCTAACAAGCCAACATCAGCAGTGCAGACAAAGGCAAGGGCAGGATCGCGTGGCTTTGGAAAGTGGCTCCTATGCACGAGTTCTTGTGCAAACAAAAGCGTTTTGCTGAGCTAGGTTCACGCGCCTGTACCTTTGTCTTCACTGCCGACATTTGTAAGATGGAGCAGAGAGGCCGAGATTGAACGCCTCTATTTCACGCTTTGAATGTCGTTTGCAATATAGTGACGTCGCGGTCTCCTGATAGGTCGACCAGGTCGACGCTGTGTCACAAATCTAGTTTACGCTCTAAGCGCGGGGGGAATAATCGGCGCTGGCGGCGGCCTTTGCTCCGCCTATTGGCCAGACTCTCCCAATACACGGCTCTGCGCTACTCTGCTCCGAAGGAGCTATATAGTGCTCTAGTCGCGGGTAGAGCACTATAGGAGCTATATAGTGCTCTAGTCGCGGGCACGGTCGCTGGTGTCCGTGGTGTGCGTTGTTGTGGCTTGTTTCGTATTCCAGCTAAAGAAAACACTGCCCGTACAGCATCGTCGAACGTCAGCCGTCTCTAGAAAATCCCAATCTTTTCCGCGATCTGAGGCGTGCGAACGTAACTGCGGAATTACACAAAGAGCTCATCGCCCCTGCTTGTTACCGGCCAACGTTACGTTACTGGTTATTACCGGCATGTTGCCGTTTCGAATGTCTGGAACATTTCGAGCACCTCTGATTCGGCACCCGGGCAGGTACACCTGCTGTCGATGTCAGCCGAAAAATGCGGGCTGTCGTGCCCTGGCGCAAGGAAGGACAGCGCAACAGGTGCTCTTCAGGCAAAAGTCAACGGCGGGGGCGGTGTCTTCGACGCAAGTTCTTTTCGTTTCCTTTCTTTTACATTGTCGTTGTACGCAGCTGACAGTACGGAACAGCTTACATAACCTGCCAACCCATAACAGGCACACGCTATTCTAAAGTAAGCTGGATCCAAAGAATATTAGAACCTAAAATTTTTATTTTGAAATACCTAAAGCTATACACAAATTAAAAAAGAAAAGTACTGTTTAAAAAGAAAGGTTGTTTGGGGAAAGATACATGGAATCAATGTTTACCTACCATGTCACACAAGTCTTCTATACTGTGTCTGACCATATTTTCATATCATTTTTGTTATGAACATTACATGGTCTTGGTTCCAACCCGTCGTTTGTCTTCAAGTGGCAAACGATTTTGCTGTCACATGATGAATGTTTGAGGGTTGTTTGTACTGAGTTTGTACGAGTCCTATGCAGAGGTGGATACAGTTGTTTTCGGAAGGGGTGGGGCAGCATGCCAGGTGTTTAAGAAAACACCTTCCCTCCCCCCTTTTCACTGCCCTAAAATTTTAGACATGCAAAATTCAAGAGGAGGGTTCAGGACATCCGGACTTCCCCTCCCCCTCTGAATCCACCACTGGCCCTATATAAGCTTCACTACCATGTCACCGGCCAATCACCACCTAGCTGGCTTTACGGGCACCTATGCGTGGTCAGTACTGCCTTCCACGGGGCAATCAGTAACTTTGGTGCAAGCATAAGTTACCACATGCCGTAATATCCTGAGATCCCCCCCTCCCCCCCCCTTCCCCTAAAAGATAAGACGCCCCTATTTTTGACCTAATTTGCTATTTATTCCTAAACACCGAAAACTTCTAGTAATTGTAGTGTTCGTATCAATGATGGCCTCGGCACGAATGCAGCTAGTTAGCTATGACAATATAAGCAAACATTGCTCAGTGGGAACTACAATCGTTTGATTTATTGCCCCTTGTCGCATGAACAGAGACACAAGATTGAAAAATAGCATTTTTTCAACTTTTCTCGATTGTACACCGAAACTTAGCCCACTCCTTATTTTCACTCTTGCTGTCGATTTTTGGCGGGCTATCTCTTGATATTACGGTAGTCCATCATAGTGAAGTCACAATGTGGTCAGCAGCAGCTAGATAAGGTGTCGGGAGCTCCTTGCACAAGTGGAGAAACGCATGAATGTGATTCCTCAAGGGGAACAGAAAGTGATGATCAGAACGTAGCCTGACCCAAAGAGGAACAAAGCACATTGTGTCCTCTGAAAAAAATCTGCGTCAACGAAGTCCTGCGAGTCAGCTGGCACCAATGTCTGACGTATCTGATGTATTGGCAGTTATTGAGCATGTAAAAGCGAGCCTCACATCTGAAAGGTAACACATTTCTCACATGATTCACTCTGGGGGTTCCCTAATTGCTCCAATCGAAGATTTTGCACACATGATTTATTGAAAGAGATTGTAAAGCGAAAGCTGACAGTTGAGAACGGGATAATCCTTCTCTCCTGCGAGCAATAATCTTGTCAAAATGAGACCCTGTTTCCTAGCTCTTTATTGGCTGCAGTGTTGTTTTTTTCTTCTTGTTTTGCTGCTTTTGAGACTCGCATCTTTGTCTTTTACCTACTACCAGAGGTCGGCATTTTAGGTCGCCCTCACTCACCCTCACCCTCACAGCCACACTCACCCTCACCCTCACAGCTGCACTCACCTTCAGTCCCTCACTCTCCCTCACCCTCACAGTCACACTCACCTTCAGCCCTTCACTCACCCTCACTGAACCTCACGCCCCTCACCGCCCTCACGCCCCTCACTCACTCATGGCCCTCACGCCACTCACCACCCTCACGCCACTCACCGCCCTCACCGCCCTCACGGCCCTAATGCACTCATAGCCCTCACCGCCCTCACGGCCCTAATGCACTCATAGCCCTCACCGCCCTCACGGCCCTCACGGCACTCACGGCCCTCACGCCACTCACCGCCCTCACCGCCCTCACGGCCCTCACGCCACTCACCGCCCTCACGCCACTCACCGCCCTCACGCCACTCACCGCCCTCACGCCACTCACGCACTCATGGCCCTCACGCCACTCAGGCCAGCTTCAGATGGGGCAATTTCGCCCAGAAACTTTACGTCGCAACACCAGCAACACGCGCCGCCCACGATCACACGCAGCAACCAATTGCTGCAATTTGCCATCGTCATCATAAAATTTTATTTTTCTTGCACTATTTAGACACAATTACGCGTTATAAACGTGTTTTTATGCATTTAAATCTCGTTAAGAATACTAATGCACCTTTCTGAAACAGTTTATTTCCAAAAAAACGATTGATTTCAAACGAGAACCAAGTCTTTCGGTGTTATCATCACCAGCACGAGGTATCACGTAAAAATTTTGCGTCCCTGATTAGATGCAGCCGCTTCAAACGTATTGGAATTGCTCCGAGTTGCTTGATTATTTCGAGCTGGACCGATCTCAGCAATTCGTGTCGATCTAAAGAAAGCTTGAGAACAACCCGCCATTAACACCAAAATTGCTGAGAAAGATGCTCGATCTGAAAAGGGCCTCACGCACTCACCGCCCTCACGGCCCTCACACCACCTCATGCACTCACCGCCCTCACTGCCCTCACGCACTCATGGCTTTCACACCCCTCACGCACTCACCGCCCTCACACCACTTACGCACTCATGGCCCTCACGCCACTCACCGCCCTTACGCCCCTCACGCACTCATGGCCCTCATACCTCTTACCGCCCTCACCGCCCTCATGGCCCTCATGGCCCTCATGGCCCTCACGACCCTCACCGCCCTCACCGCCCTCACCGCCCTCACCGCCCTCACCGCCCTCACAGTCCTCACCGTCCTCACCGCCCTCACGGCCCTCACGGCCCTCACTCACCCTCACACTCATGAATTTTCCTGGTTCAGAAACTCACTCACCCTCACCTTACCTGTGAAGATGAGGGTGAGTGAGGGTGAGTGAGGGCCCTCATGAGTGAGGTTTGCCGAGGTATGCCTACTACTAGCCAGAAAAAGCAGATCATCCAGTGCCTAGCAGTAATACCTTTTTCCTACAATTAGCAAAACTGTCCAGTAAAAAAAAGATATTGGTAGTGGTAGTGGAGAAGGTAAAGGAATCCAAACCTATGAACATGCTTGTTGCAAAAATCAGCGTTTGCAAACAGAAAGTGGTGCCCATTGTACTTGATGAATGTAAGGTGTTCATTTCGAGTACTAGTAAGAAATGGAGAAGAAAAATTATTTCACGGTCCCCCAACCGACAGGTTACCATGCGAACCAGGCATCACTTGCCGAAGCCACGAATTTATTGCAAATTTACGATTCCTAGCCGCCTCGGCAGTTTCAACGCAAAGCATAGGCCTATGGATTTCCACATGTTGGGTTTGAATCCCGTATAAAGTGCCAGCAATCTGACAAAGGCTCGTTGCAAAGAAGGCACCGTGCAACCGAGATTTCAGTCACACAACAAAAGAGCCCCGTGTGATCTAAATTACTCCTCAGTCCTCCGCCAGGGCATGCCAAAAGCCCTCCGTCGGCTCGGCACGTGAAACCCCTGGATTCGATTGATTGAACCCACGATTCCTGCAGGGGACCGGACGTCAACTCCCCGCAGTATCAGTTCCTGCAGCAGAGCGTAGTCCCGACAATGCACTTCCAGAAGAGCCTACCTCGCCTGCCCATCCCAAACCTGGAGAAGACGTGCGAACGGTATCTGAGCGCGCTGGAGCCCCTGGTGAGCGTGGGTGAGCTGCAGTCCTCCCGACGGCTAGTGCAAGAGTTCAAGGACAAGGACGGCCCGGGTGAGCTGGAGCAGGCAATAGAAACATTTAAGTTGACGTAGTTATAGTCACTGACTGAGTGAGAGCAGCAGGGTCTCCTTTGGACACCTCCAACACGCTCTCGTTAACTTTGCTGCATGCAAAAGCAACGGTGCATGCTCGCAGCTCGCGAGACACTGAACCGTTATCGAAGGTGTGCAGCTCACGCCGGAGGCAGGGCAACTAAAACTCTTCCATGCCGCTCTTGTCTTGCCAGCGACTATAGCAGCCACTCTGATAACTAGAGGCTTCATTAGTTACAGTGGAACTTTTCGGTAGCCTGGCTGCATTACATGGCTGCATTTGCTGTTATAATCCTCGACTCGGTTTGATTACAGATACCTCTTAAAATCGTCACGACAAATAGAAGCTTGATTAAAAATATTTTAAAATTTAAGTGAAAGTACTTTAATCGTGCGCATGTAGACGATTGTAATCAAGGCAACAGGCCGCCGCCGTGCTTCTGCTCGTGCGGGCACGCCTGTTCAATTGCAAGCTTGTCAAAGCTATGCGCCCACTGCACATGCTTCCATGCATGGGGCACTGGTCAAGGCTTTACGCTTGCAATTGTCTATATTGTGCTGACAAATACGCAGAACCGATTACAAGTATTTAGGTTATTGGGATTAGTTAAAACTTGACTAGCTATATGCTTTCGGAGTTACGGTGAAATTTCGGTAACATGTGGCTGTAACCTGGGCTGCGTTTCAGATCTTACCCAATCTTACTCAAGTGGATCCAAGTTCATCCAGTAGGTCACATCACACAATTACCTGGGCAGAGCAATGCTGGGCCGGTGTAGTTCTTTTATAACGTCAATACCTTTCACTCTGGAGCAAGATTGAGTGAGTTCTGGAACACTACTTTCATATGATTTTTTAAATATAGCTTTCAGCGATTCACTGTAATAAAACCCATGTTTTACCAATTTTATTGATTTTTTAGAGCGTAGCTCTTAGGCGCCCCTTTCCGGCTTGAGCAGCGTAACCGCATGGTGTGTTATGGGAAATGTCCCATAATGGACCGCGCGAGGGCCACGTGACCTCGGGAGGGTCACGTGACCCCCACACGGTGCATTATGGGAAATGTCCTATAATTCACCGCGCAAGGGTCACGTGACCTCGGGCGAATCACGTGACCCCCGTGCGGTGCATTATGGGAAATGTCCCATAATGCACCGCGCGAGGGCCACGTGACCTCGGGACGGTTACATGGCCCCCACACGCTGCATTATGGGAAATGTCCCATAATGCACTGCGCGAGGGCCGTATAACTAGGGTCACGTGACCTCGGGATGGTCACATGACCCCCGCGTGGTGCATTATGAGAAATGTCCCATAATGCACTGCACAAGGGTCACGTGACTCCTGCATGGTCACGTGACCCCCCTTCCCCCTGAGGTTGTGACCCCCTCCACTCGCATGACCTTTGGCCATGCAGGGGAGGAGGGAATAGGGTTATACCCTCCCCTCCGTACCCTTCCCTTCTCCTCCTCAAGAGCTACGCTCTAATTCGGCGTTACAGGGAGTTGTACACAGCTTTCATTTTTTTTATTAATGAAGATGAGCCTTTGGTTACCCCTCAAGTATTCATAGTTCTGTATTATAACCACAACTCACTCTGAGCAAGAATAAGGGGCAAACATAAGCAGCCAGTTGTTGGCTATAAAGTTTCGGATATAAAAAGAACAGATTTTGAGCTTTCAATATTTATCCACGATAGAGAGGCTTCTGTAGGTCGTGTTTACTGGCCAAAGGCTAGGTGTGCATGCCTCGTCAAAGGGCCCTTTAATGTCGTATTTCTTTTTTCCCTATAGAGCTGGACAAGCTCCTCAGGGCAAGGGACAAGGCAAACAAGCACACCAGCTACATCTCTGGTGAGCAGTGCTGCCTTTTTTCGCCAAGGTGCGGGCGTGAGACGCTCGGTGTTTGGACAGGTCCCTGGTTTGACATGTACCTGAGTTCTCGCAAGCCCCTACCCCTCAACTTCAACCCATTCCTGGCGCTCAAGGATGACCCGCGGCCAGAATACAACCAGCAGGTGAGTCTTCCAGCGGTCGGCTGGGCCTTTTAATCTTTTAAAGGGATACAACAAAGAAATTTCGGCACTTATTTCTAGGTTTATACGTGTTCAAGGGATCAGTATTACATCAGACACTCCAATCTCTTGTTGAGAAAGACACGAAAAGGAATTTTAAAATGAATTATACGATTATCAAGGGGCCCCTTGTGGATGTTGCCAAAGCCTCTTTTGTAATGCCTGTCTAGGAACCTAGGCAGGTAGTGAAGATGCCTGTATCACCTAGAACTATACATGCCTTAAACCTGACATCATCGCGCCAGCTCTTTTTCCACCGCAAGAGAAGAGGGGAAGGAAGAACTCACACGCCGGGGCACGCCGGGGCGGGGACGCGATTGCAGAGTGTCCGAACAGGCCGCGCAAGCAAAGCGACGGAGGCCGCGGTGGCTGGATTGGATTGGCCGCACTTCCCAACAGGCATGCCGCAGCTTGTTTTGCGGTCAGTTGGAGAGAAAGAAAGTCGACATTTCATTCCTTTTTTGTGTAGAAGTTAATAAACCGAGACGAAAACGGATGCCTGTTCGGCATTCAGTGAACGTTGAAGGTTTAATGTAAAGACCCGTTCACACTCTTGCGACCTCTTAAACCTGGGTTCCTTAAAACTTCTTAAACCAGAGAACACACTGGCGTCACCTATTGGGAAGCAGTGGAAACTCGGCGGTCCGGCATATCTTTTTTTATTTCTCGCGCATTATCCTTTCTTTCTTGGCTCGAAAAACTTTTGTCAATGTTATAAACAAGCCTTTCTATGGGTATTACGCACATTTGACCTCGGAAATTCCGCAAAAGCTTCGCTCTTGTGAAATGCAGTTCCAGGGTCACCGCATAGATGGCGCCACAATGCCAGTGTGTTCCCTCATTCTAAAAACATTTAAGAAGTTTTAAGAGATCTCGTTTCTCTCAGTCGTACTCGGTCGCGAGAGTGTGAACGGGCCTTAAAAGTTATCTGGCAGAAGGAAAAAGGTAATTTCATGGTCCCTTTAACCGAAAAAGGTCAGTTTGTAGGTTCGGCGTTTTAAATTTAAACCGAAAAAGGTCACCGATAAAAGTATGTCTAATCCGTTTTCTAAAATTCGGTTGTAACCGAAAAAGGTCACTTTTTTAAGGCCGCGTCGAAGTGGGTGGGGGAGGGGGGGGGGGGGGACAGAGAGAGAGGGTTTTGCAAGGTTGCCCTCTTCCAAGGTTCAACATGCAACAATGGAGGTCTTGAATTGGCCTTCAAGGGACATCTGTGTCCTTTGTGATAGAGCTTAGAGTGTCAAGTCAAAAATAAAAATCCCGGCCCTAAAAAAAAAACAGATGTGGGCTAGTATAAGGAAGGTTTTTGCTTCATGACATTGAGGAAAGCCGTTAGTACATTTCTTAACACCCTTTCTCAATCTTCCTTGTGGTTAAAAACATAAATACAATAGATTTTCTTTTTGCCCATTCCGCTGGTCCTTGTACGGTCATCCCCTCAGACGGTCACGTCGTCAGAATGGGAAGGAAAAAAAAGTGTGCTAAAGATTATGCCCGCGAATTCCGCAATTTTGAAGTGTGTCCTGACGGAAGTTGTAGCGAAGACCACATATGTACAGGGTGTCACAAGAAAAAATTTACACATTCTTTTTTTTTATTGCAAAAATAAACAAGGCATCACCGAACGCTCATTCTCCGCCCGAAGGTAGCGCTAGAGGTCAGAACCAGATGCCAAAGTTTCAGCCTGATCCGAGAACTTATTTAAAAGTTATAAGTCATTTTCTCAAAATTTCAATGGGAAAATGGAGTCCATTTTTGCCCGTTTTCGGTTTCTGGTGCCATAAAGCCCCATGTATTTGAAAACTCCATCGGCCGTTATTTTCCCATTGAAATTTTCAGAAAATCACTTATAACTTTTGAATAAGGTATCGGATCGGGCTGAAACTTTGGCATCTGGTTGTGACCTCTAGCGCTACCTTTGGGTGGAGAATGAGCTTTCGGCGATGCCTAGTTTATTTTTGCGGTAATAAAAACCGTGTAAATTTTTTTTGTAACACTCTGTATACACAAACTCAACTCTGTGACGTCACGGCGCGGTGGTGGCGCGTCGGTCGCACTTCCGGTCTGTGGCTGTGCGCAGAAGTCCCCATGCCAGACGTGTATTCCTGCGTCGTTTTGAAAGGAACCAGACAAAAACTTGCCTTCTCGTCAAAACGCTGCGACTGGGGCCGTACCAAAAGTATCGAGAAAAGTTTGAAGGTCAGTTTTCACGAGCTCGGTTCGTCCGAGGATCTGGATATGTGCCGTCAAAAGGGAAAGCAGACGCCGTCGGACAATGATTGCTTGGGTGGGAAGCACTTTGGGTTGAATTCACGGATACTTGTGGTCATCAGATTTATTTGTTTTGTTCCAACATGAACGCCTGAAAACCGTCAAGTTGTGCGGACCACCTGCGGACTATGTTCAGTGCGTCTTTAAGTTCAAATGGCCGCCTGATCGTTCGAACTGTCGTCTGCTCTTTCAAACGTTTCTGCTTGTCGTCTGCTCTCTTAGACGACGCCGGCCTGTAGACCAAATCTTGGCCTGGTACTTGCGATAAGAAGTAAGTGCAGGCCTCAAAAGACTTAAATTCGAAGGTTGGTGAGCAAGTTCGATGTAAGCAGTAGATATAAAAAGATGTTGATCATTGTTGCCAGTGACCATCACCGACTTGTTATTCCTAATTCATTTGGTCCGATTCTGCTTGCAATTTTCAGTATCGACGTCGACTATCTTAGCTACGGTTCACGCTTTTGCTGCCCGAGCGGCGTCGCGACTGAAAATTGCGAGCGAAATCGCATCATGCGAATCAGGCTTTAGCGTACATACTGCGGCGTCCGCGCGGAATGAATCGCCACATGTCACATTATTCACGCGAAGTTTTGCGGTGTAACGAGCCTCGGTAATTTCGCTGATGGCGCTCAAGTAGTCAGATGTCGCCAGGAAGACGTAGAATCAACAATTCCAACGCGGAAAAGGGCAGGGGAACTCACACCGACGCCGACAACATCGCATTCCGATGGTTTGTTTATGGGCGACGGCGAGCTTCTTGCCCACACTCCCATCGCGCAAGCGCGGCGCCGGTGGCGTACGCTAGGGGCACTCCGGCTTGTTTGTAAACATGAGTTGGTGTATATGGGTCTTTATTCTTTGAGTGATCACAAATATGATATCACAGCTACAAGGATCATCTGATCCGGTGTCCGACGGTGTTTCTTTCATATTCACGGAAAAAAACGGTAAACTTTTTTGGGAATAAATATAGATGAAAAAAAAAAAATTAAATTTTTAAATAAACACCGAAAAAAGTATGTTGAATTTCGAAAAAATAAAAATCGAAAATGCAGAACTCTACTTATAATTAAATTCCGTGTTTTCAATTTTTTTCTTTTCTTTCTTTTTTTCAGATTGCGGGTGTTTTTTGAGAGTTTTCAGTTTTAGAGCACAGCTTTCGGGTGCCCGTTTCCGGCTTGAGTGGCGTCGGGGTAACCGCTCGTTGCATTATGGGACGCTTCCCATAATAACATCACACATGACGTCACATGTGGTGTTACGAGGCTCACTAGGGTCACGAGTGGCATCACGAAGGTCACTCACGAAGGTCAGAATGAAGGCCACGACCTTCACGGGGCCTTCACGAGTGACGTTTCGAGGGAGGGAGGGGAAGCAGGGCGTACCCTCCTTTCTGTACCCTCCCCTCCTCCTCCTCAAGAGCTGTGCTCTAATTTGACATTACAAAGAGTTGTAAATGTCTTTCATTTTTTCCTGCAGAGTCAGTGTTTTTTGTGTAAATTTATTCAGAAAACGCCAAATCTTTATAAAAAGAAAATAAATAAATAAACACCCCCTCAAAAAAATTAACGCAGAAAACACGGAACCCTACTTATAGTCAATGGCAAGGGAGTGCACAACACCACTGCAAGTAGTCATTTATCGGTGCTCTTTGTGTGCCCTTTCTCTTCCCGATGTTTTTATTAATTTTAAAGTTGTTTGCCTGTGACGAATTGAAGCGAGTTCTCTGATGCAAGCGACTGGTTCGAATGCCCAGGTGGTGCGAGCAAGCAACATGGTGGTGTCGTCGCTACGTTTCCTGCGCTCGCTTCGGTCTAACCAGCTGGAACCCGTGGTCTTCCACCTCAACCCCGACAAGAGCGACACTGCCTTTTACCGACGAACTATGAGGTGACAGATGCGACCTCTGGAACTGAAATTACCAAACAGAGCGGTAAAAGTTTCCCTTGAAAAAGTATTTAAGTTACGGTCATTTGAGCTGAAATGCAGCCACATTTTTATAGGTCTTTTTTCAAAAGTCAACCAATTCACCCTCTTTGTAGCCAAACCTGATGGTGGCTCTAATGGTGGTGTTAAACAGCTTCCCTATACACTCCGTGCGACGCGACTGGCGCGCCGCCGCGCAGCCGGTACTGAAGGTAGGCAGCGAGAACCCCCGAGAAAACAAAACCGAAACCACGCCGCGTACGTTGGTACGCATTGAAGTCGGAGTGGTGCGGTTGCGCTGGGTTTACAGCATGAAGTGCTGCCTGTGCTACGTCATTAAGTGCTTCAATAGTTTTGCGTCGTATCTCGTGGAGACAAAGTTTCACAGTTTTTCACCTCGCCGATGTTTTGTAGGACAGCGACAACGATGGAGCCGTGCCGTACGACGTGAGAAATTTGGTCTCCCGATCATGTCTGCCACTGTGTCGGCACGGCTGACATATTCTACACTGCCGCTTTGCGCTCTGCGTTTGTTTTCGTACCAGTAACGCCTACATGTATGGCACGCAATCTGTACTTCATGAAGAAAGATTCGAAAGGTAAAAAAAGTGACAAATATAAATCTAAAGAAAACAACAATGAAACTCGGAATCACTGGAGAATGGACGTTTGAGTATGGAAGTTTATGTGGTGTGCTTTCTTTCTTGACCAGCCTCCTTTTGGATGTGGAAACGCTGACACCCCGAGTTCTGTAGACAAAATTTTTTTTCTCGGCTTCTTTTTTCTCCACTGGTCCCTTCCTACCTGTAAAGTGTGCACCTCCCACGATGAGTGGTATTATCTGACAGCCTTTGACGGTCAAAGCCAGTTCCCATTTAGTTTCGCCGCCCAAACTAAATTTCCACCTGGTTTCGCTATGCCAACTCTTTTTGTTATAATAAGTGTTGTGCCAAGTGACGGTCATGTCAAAGTACCTGTGCGCCGAAAATCAGCACCTCGCACAACAGGTTATTACACAACAGCTGACCGCAAAAGCCCTTGGCGGCCAAACCGTGTGTTGGCCGACAACTTTATTTTCTCGGCTTTGGAACCACCTTTCGTAAAGTTGTTTCAATTGGAAGTACAGTCCACTAGTCCCTTCGTACCTTTAAAGTCTCCACCTCCCCCGACCAGTGGTATTCTCTTGACAGCCTTTTCATGATCAAACCCGGTTCCCATTGAGTTACGCCTCCCAAACCAAATTTTCACCTGGTTTCCTTATGCCACCTTTTTTTTTTTGTATAATAAGTGCTGTGTCATGTTACTGTCAAGTCCAAGCACCTGTGTGCCCAAATCTGCACTTTGCACAGCCCGCTATAACACAACATTTTGGGTCCAATATTGGGTACCCCCGTACAGCTTTATTTCTTTATTCGTTAGAAACATAACTTTCACACCAGCTGTCTTAATGAAACTTGGCACACTTCGTGCACAAACTTCGTGAACCTCTCACTCGCCTCTAAATATCATCGTTCCAGCAGTCCTAAATTTACAGCGACGAGCGAAATAAATTTCCCACTCAGAGCAATTAAGGTGGCGGCCGTCTTGCTTTTCGGAAAATTACTCCAACTCCTTTTTCGGCCGCAACTAGAGAAATTACCCCTAATTACGACTCAAACTCAATATATAAGAAGTGGAGTACAGCTAAATGCCCTTCTGCCCCAGCACTCGTGCAACGTCACCCTCAACTTATCGGCTCAAAAAGCAAAAGTTTCGTCCGTGCGCGCTTCCGCCGCCACAGCTTGGCATGCGAAAAGGCGCCGCAGGCTGCTGGACGCGCCTCACAGTCGAACGCCAGCTCCTCCGCTAGCGGCGCTGCGCGCGTTTATCAAAGCGCCCCCTATAGTTCCCGCACGGAGTGTATACCAGGAAAAGGGAACATATACGAAAACATAAAGCCAAAGTCGAGGAGTATTTTAACAACTTTGGTCATTGTATGTTGACTTAAATTCATGAAGTTGAGGGTGCTTGGTTTAGGTGATCTTGTTCTACTGCCGCCATTAAAGCAACAATATTGGATCTTTTGAGGCTGCCACTACATGTCCCTGACTTTCCAGAAAGGTCTAGTTACTCTAGGAAAATCTCATGACATTGAGCTGTACTCTGATTACCGACCAACAACATTTTTGTTTCCAACAGAGAAAACATATTGGGAGAGTTTGGTTTTGATTTATTGCTGCGACTTGGCAGCGACAAAATGTGGCACCAATGTTGAGACTGATTCAACGTGAATGTGATAATATCAGTTAGCTGTAATCTAACCAAATTGCATGTCACTTAAAAATGGGACTAATTTATAGTTAAGGACATTTCATCATGACTTATTCTAAGTATTTATTTACTGAGAGTCTAACTAATTACGGTAAGTTAAGGGACGTCTATCCAGATCCTAGTACAAGGCTTTGAAACCAGTAATTTACCAAGAAAAGCTATGCACAGCTCACAATCTGTCTTTATGTCACACAAATATATTGCTGGTTGATAACTAGCTTCTGAGAGCGATCCTCCTTTTTTCCTGAATCACAAGATATGACATTGAGTTCAGGATATTTGAGATCAATGAGCCATCTGGACATCTTGGTAAGAAAACAGTAAAAAGAAATCAAATTTTTTTGACCAGCTGAACACCTTGTAACTCTTTTGCATACCACGCCCATCTGCCATTGATCACTGGCTATAAATGGATTCCTTGCACCGCCAAAGATTCGAATTTGGCGTGCAGGAACACGTCGGACCACCTCGTGGATGACCAGACGAGTACAGCGTCGGTTTCAATTTTGTTTCATGTTTTCTCTCAATTTAGTGAGTTATCAGAAACCAATCTCTGCTCGACGGGGGCACTTGCCAAACTTGGTGTCCTGCTGACAATAGGGACCGCTACAAAGATAGCCTCAATTGTACAACCTAACTGCTTTGGTTGCTTGTTTTTTTGAAGGACAGCAGCATTGAGGACTGTGTATGATGTTGGATCATTTGATTTGAGCTCCTACAGCGACGTTTCGTCTTCAAGGTGCAGAATATCTACCAGTGCTTGTTGGGGGGCGCCGTTTTAGTTTTCTAGGCTGTCCTGGCCGGGACATGCATTTTATGTGCCTCGTGCCATAAAAACACCAGCAGATGACAAGTTAGAGTAGTGCTACAATAAACCGAGGTGATTTTTTATTTTTTTTAAATGTTCTGGAGGACATGCACTTCCACATGCAACTGCGTCTCTGAGTGGCATGACGCCATGGAAGCACTTTTTGACGTACCAAAGAAAGACAGTATTAGCTAGAGCTCTCTAGCTTGCAGAAGTGATAGTGGTGTGTGTGGGGTACTTTGTATATTTAGAAATTTTTAAAAATAATAGTATGATTACATATACTGTAAATGACTTATTTTTCGCGGGCTCAATATTTTGCGATTTAGGTCAAACCTGAAGTTTTGGAATAATTCACGGGTCCTAATTTTTGCGACGCGGTGGGATCTCAATATAGATTCCAATGTGTTCATATTTTACCAGAATTGTTCGCGGGACCTATTTTTCGCGAATGGCAGACGACTCGCGAAATTCGTGAAAATTGGCTCTCGCTAAAATTAAGTCGTTTACAATAGTTCGTAGCCGCAAATGTTTGAACCTTTCATTTTTGTTTTTGCATAGTTTCCGAGTTCCTCATCCACATTTGACAAACCTTTTGTAGATATTAGTATAAACCTTTTTTTCTTCTAAGGAGTGGCTTGTTGGCTACATATAAGTGCATCATAGTTAGCCTTGTGCCGAGTAGTTCTTTAAAAAGAATGTTTTGTTGATCCCTCAAAAGTTGTCACTCTTCCCCATAGTATGGAGAGAGTTGAAAAACCCTCGAACACATGGTAGTTCCGGGGAGCAAAACGACCCACGTGACTTCCTAAGTCTCTGTCATTGCATTTCTCTGCACCGGTCATCCAGTCTTCGCACGACTTTCTTCAGGTTTCTTTTCATTGAATCCGTCGCTTCGTTGCAGCAAATACTAGCAACACATACAAATAAAAGAAGCATTCTTGGTGGGCGTTGAAGGCCCATTGGTCAAGTCAGGGAGGTAGGAAGCTTCTGGAGGCAACATGAAGCCAACAAAAGAAGAGCTGGCTCAATAGCTGTTCTGGTCACCCTCGGGGCCCTCCTGAGGGTGACCAGAACAGCTGTTGGCACCAAGTCAGCTCTTCTTTTCGTCCAGTAGCATCTCTTTGTTTTTGGTCATCGTTCAGGGCGTGTCCCTCCCCCCTTCTGGCTCCAGCTCTGCTAGCCTCGTGTTGCCTCCAGAAGCCTCCTACCTCCATAGGTCAAGTATTTCGATAAGTTGCTTTGCAGATCTGCAGCCAGACAGCAAGCACCGCTGTTGCCCGCAGGTTTCTCCCCGAGGCTGTGGCCTGGTACGGCAGCGCCCTTGCCTGGAAGGCCTACCCTCTGGACATGAGTCAGTTCGGAAACCTGTTTGGCAGCACCCGCGTACCGCAGCTCGGGCGGGACAAGCTTGTGGCCGACGGGAAGTCCAGGCACCTGCTCGTGATGCGCAACGGCCACTGTTACTCTGTGCAGGCCCTCGACGAGCAGGGTGAGGGGAGGGGAACTGCCCGCACTAGCTGGAAGGGCCTTTGATTCACGCTTGCCGAGATACTAAGGTTGACTTGTACAAGATACGAAGGTTATCTCGGTATTCGTGAGTCCAGCGACCTATAGGGACCCCACTATCGGGCAAATATGGCGACCTAATACAGGCCATGTGGTGCCATGTACCAGCTCAACACACAGCGCTGGGGCATCAGCAAGCAAACTTTTGACTCAAAATAGTTTGCCCCGTTTTTGTCCTTCACGTTTTGAACCTGCGACAATGTGTTGACATAAGTGAGCTTTCAGAGGCTTGAATTTTAGAAAGAAGCGATGAAAGGGTTGCCTACTGCCCTTCCACAGTACTGGTGAATCTTGTTAGCGCGGAATGTCTGATTCACGTGGTGGCATAAGTTGCGTGCAGAGCACCCTGGGAACAAGCTGATTACTACAGTTAGGTCAGAATCACGGGGGGACAACTGTTTTATTGCGACCACCGACGGCATATAATCATGAGAGCCACAAGAGACAAACAGAAATCGCGAAAGGACGTGTTTTGGGCAGTTCAGTGTTTCTCTGCTTGGTGCCATCCGTTTTGCTGGAGTCACGAATACACGGGATGTGTTTTTGCAGCGTTCTTTAGGGCTTGTGGCAGACTTTGCAGTTATTTTCTGCTCCTTTGAGTGGGGACGTCGGAGCGCAGAGCTCTGGTTGAAATGATTAGCCACTGCCCCTTTGATACCCAAGGTAAAAAAAAAATGTAAATAAAATAAATTTGATTTTTTCTGAAATCAGATTTATTTGAATTAAATCAGATAAATTTGATCACTAGCTAGAAAATGGTGATTCTCTATCACCAGATTATTTTTTAACATGGCAGATTGATTGATCGATTTGTCCGATCACTGATAACAATGCGGAAGGAAGAATTACTGTAAATGTAATGTACAGTTTTAATTAGCGAACTTTTATTGTTGTAATCCCTGCCATACTAAAACAAAAAGCACTTTTTTTTTTTTCTGGTAAAAAATTTTGCACTTGATCCTTCTTTTGAGGTCTTACATTGATTGTAACAAGGCATCCTTTTCTAGTTTTCATTTCTTTCTTTTGCATTCTGGTTATGTTAAAATAGGCTGTTAAGTAGCTGACAAAGTGGAAGGTAGACAAAAAGCTCAAAACTCAGAAGAGCACTCCTTTTTGCTCGTTTTCAGCCCTAATAAATACTTCTTGCTCATTGATCATTCAATTTAAATATGAAACAAATGTACATAGAAATAATCAGTTGATAGACAAACGGTAAATAAAAAATATTTTCAAAATTATTTTTGTGGAAAGGTTTGATTTATGTCGCCCTAATAAAAATTGTCTGATATAAATAACGGTTTAAATCGTTGATTTTTATTTTCCACCCTGCAGTAGTGCCGACAAACTATCAATGCCACTTTGGCACAGTGGTAGAGTGTTGGGCTCGTAATCATTGGGTCATGAGTTTGATTCCTGTCAGTGCATGTTTGAAATTTTCTTCTTTCTTTTCAGTTCATTACTATTTCTTCTCAGTTGTGTGTTCTTTTGTAAAGATTGTCCTGTGAAGTATGCTTTGCACATTTCATAAGGGTTTTTATGGCATTGCGTCGCACTTTCTTTGGGGATCCCAGCATTTAAATGCATCCTCCATTAAATTGCATAAAGAGTAAAGGCCAACCTACACAATTCTCTTCTGCTGGGCAGAAAACAGGCTTCCAGTTTCCTTCCTTCCATTCCCTCTAGCCCTCCCCTCTCTCCTTGTGCCCACAGGAGCGGGTCTCTGGGCTAATCCCCTCAGAAAGGAGGATAATTTCCTCCTTTCTCCGGTGGAAAGAGGGAATTGAGGGAGCGTTTCCTTTTTTCTGGCTGTTGGTTGACCTTTAAGCTACTAAATACTAGGTAAAATAGCAGCTTAGTACTCAATCCTGGAAAGAATCTGAGTAAAATATGAGATACAGTGCAATGCACTTATAACAATAATGAGAAAAGCCGAAAATGCAATCGTTATAACCGATTATCATTCTACCTGAACTCGAAACCAATCGTTTCAAGTTTAGAAACTCTATATACTGATCATTATAAGCGGTATAACGTTATATGTGGTATCGTTATAAGTAATTCGTCATTTTTGAGATCTGTCGGAGCAGAAGTACGCCAGTAAATTTGGGTTTCCCGGCCGTGCAGGCAATCTGTTTGCCCCAGAACACTACCGGGCCTGCCTGGAGCACATCCTGGCAGATCCGAGGCCCCCTCCGGCGGTGGCTGTGCCCGCCCTCACGGCGGGGCCCCGGGACGACTGGGCACGGGCACGGCAGGCGCTCGAGGGCGCTGGCAACGGGCAGACGCTGCGCCGCCTCGACAGCGCCCTCTTTGCCCTGGTGCTGGACCAGGAGACGTTCCCTGGCACATCCCAGGAGGAGAAGATTGCACACCACTTCCTGCACGGCCCAGTTCACAACCGGTGTGCAGCATGGGGGCCGGGGTCAACTGATTTTTGGAGGGCAAAGTCAGGCATCGCATACCAAGGCGTTGCTTGCTGAAGCTCGGTGCAACGTCATCATACCAGCACGTGCCTGCTCGCGTTTCTGAGCATTGTATTGGCAGTTGGTCGTTTGTTTGGAAGGGCTAGAATGTAGGGTTGTGCGCATAGGCGTAGACTACGGGGAGGTGGGCATCAGGGCTCGTGCACCCCCTGGTGAAATCTGAAGAAGAGGGGGGGGGGGGGGGGGGGCAGAGCCCCCCCCGGGCCTGGGCCATGATCCTTACCGAGACGCTTTTTACGTGCCATTGAACGAGCTTCCAGTAGCGGCACGTAAACAAAATAATGCCCACGTTGCCTTTAGTGACAAAATACATGGGAAATGGAATCCCAGCATGCTTTCGTTAGCTTCAATCTCCAATTCTGGCGAGAAGGCCCCCCCCCCCCCCCCTACCCCCCCCGGGGAGAACTCAGCCTGCGCCCCCCGGGTTAATGGAAAGTCTACGCCGTTGGTTGCGTCAATACTACTAGAACTTTTAAATAGTAGTTTCGAATGATACGCTATTCGACATTCGCTTCAAAGTGAACCGCAAAATTCATACTTTTCCGAGTGTCGATCGCGGCCGATTAATCTTGTTGGGCACGCTCTTCTTATCGAGCACCAGTGCACTGCAGGGTTCCGCGTGTGTTGTTTCTCCGCAGTGTACCAATGCTCAGTAAGAAGTGCACTCAACAGCATGAAAGCACCGCGATCAACACTTCGAAAAGTGCAAATATTTCAGCCGCATGCTTAGGAGGAAAGCACGTTTTTCTAAAGTGGGGTGGTGCAAGCACATGCCTGGTGTATTTAAAGAGAAATGGAAACTTGGTGAATGTCAATATCTACACTGCGGTAAAAGTTTCAAAATTAAACTGGCTATTATATGCACAAGTATATGTTAGGCAAAGACACCCTGACAACCTGTGTTTATCACACATGACCAAAGAAAAAATGTCTGCATAGAGCAAGAATATTTATAAATCCTCTCGATTAGGTATAGGTGAGCATCTCTAGATTTATTTTTGTGTCAAATGTTTTCTTTACTTGCCATCTCAGTGTAAGCACTGAACTTTCTGAGGCCACAATTAGATCTATAGTTAAATTTAAAATAACTTAAGCTTAGAATGGACAAGTGGAAGTTTGGAAACAACCTTCACGAGTTTAGCTGGGTTTTCTTTTAAGCATGGTGCAGTAATGAAAGGCCTAGACTATATTTTATATTTGATTTGAAAATATTAACCCAAAAACCACTATACGCTTCGACCGAACTAAAAATCCACTGTTGGCTTGTGCCGACTATATTCTAGAGGAATAGTATTGTAATTTTGAAGCCAACATAAAAATAAATGAGCACAGTATGTACCGTATTTACTCGCAGAATGAACACACTTTTTTTTCCGAAAAATCGATGCAGGGGGGGGGGGGGGGGGGGGGCGTTCATTACGCGAAGTAAAATTTTTGCATCCGTATTTACTTGCGTAATGAACGGACCTTTTTATCCCGAGAAATCGACGTAACTTCTTATCTCCTTGCGTGCAGCGCGCAACTCTAAAACCAAACTACAATGTGCAAAAAAAATAAAATTGCTCCTTTTTGTGTGTTTTTTTTTTAGCTTTTGTGGTGTTTTTTTCTGCCTTTCGCAAGTTGTTTTGTTTGCCCATGCTGCCCATGCATTTGCGACCGCGCTGCACCAGGATAGAAAAGTTTGTTCAATTCGAGGGCTTCTTGCTTCTCTTTCCAAAGTGCGAGGAGGAGGCGAGGGCAGGATGCCTTCATTATATGCGCTTTGCTTAGGCGAGGGCTTCTCCGCTTCTCTCTCTGTTATCTCCTTGTGCGCGGCGCGCGACCCAAAATCCAGACTGTGCTGTGCAAAAAAAAAAAACAACAACAAAAAAAACTCCTCTTATGTTTTTTTTTCTTGCTTCCATTACATCGTTTTTCATTTTTTTAGCGCCTTTCGCAAGGCTTTTTTTTTGCCCATGCTGTCTATGCATTCGCGACCTCACTGCACCAGGATAGAAAAGTGCGTTCACTTCGCGCGCGCAGGGGGGCGGGGGGTCAAAATTTTGACGTCCGAGTTGGGGGGTGCGTTCATTACGCAAGTGCGTTCATTTTGCGGGTAAATTTGGTAGTTGGGCATGTCGGTGCATGATCGGAATCAGTAACAGCGCAGAAAAGGACACAAGGACAAGCAGAAAACACACAGCCGATAGTCAGCAGTGTGCTTGTCTGTGCCTTCTACTTGCCCTTGTGTCATTTTATGTGCTGTTTTATTTAGTGTGGATGAACTCCTCCTTTGTGAGATGCCTCTTTCACAATCTGTTTGCTTGACGTGGTTTACTCAACTGGCATTAGTATCTATGATAAACACGAGCATCTTCTCAGCAGTGAAACTTCTTTATCACTGATCGGGTTCATTTTGGCCCCAACTGACACAGAGGAAGGTGCTAGCTACTTTGGCGATGCTGAGCAGCTCTAGTCTTGGGCTCGTGCTTTTCCTGACGGGCCATTACAATGCCTGCTGCAACCCCCTTCCATCTTTCAAAGGGGTTGGTAACTGCGTTCCATGAACCATCCCGAAATGTCATGGCCCGAGAAAACCAGTCGGAGTGGCTTTACAGTGCATATGTCTGAAGGATGGGCAATGGGCAAGGGAGCTCATGTTGTTGGGACATTGGGTGCGTTAAGTAGCAACACAAAGAGTCACGACTCAAGCCACTCCTTCCTCTAAATGGGCCATCCCCACTTTCGGTACCCGTGACTCGAGTCAGACTCCGGAGCTCCGTCCTCAGGCTCTGTGCTCATGGAGTCGAATAGTTCGACTTCCGGAAGGGTGGTGCAGTTTTTCCTGGTCTCGCTGAGAGAAGACGCCAATTGCAAAAGGCTCACACTTTTTCTGGTTGCCATTTTGCTACTTTTGGTTCATCCGGCAGAGGTACTTGATAAGCCAGCGGACTTCACGATGGATGTATCATCGCAGAAGCAACGAAATGTGATCCATATCGTCGTGCAGCCTTGTGATGAAGTGGGCATGTGTTGGTAGTCTTGTGTGATGTGTTCAATCAATTGTCTGCGTTGTTCTGCCAATCCTTTCATGTAAGTTGCTACGCGTAAGCACGTATAGCTTTGTAAACAGTGTTACTTCCCCTTGCTGGTATCCATCAGGTGTTTCTCGTGTTCATTGAATCTCATTCGTGTGCGGTGCGTTTATGGCAAACACAGACTTGAGAACGCAGTGGTTCTTGTTTGCACCGTACATTGCATTTGTTCTTTGTTGCTCAGGTAGTTTCACTAATTGATTTCATAGCTGCTTAGTTTAAGAAAGTGGAGCGGCTTCTGCATTCTGATACGGTGCGCACTACATGTACAAAACTTTACGACCCTACTTTGTTTACGACTAACAAAATAAAGCTCACAACGTTACCTTTGTTTGCAATAAACATTGTCAATTGAATTCTGGCATGCTTATGAGAAGTTGCATTCGCTTCATTCCCGATTTCAGGTGTCACAAAGGGCCAACAACGACACAAGTGTACACTTGAACAGCTGCAGCATCAAATCAGCACCTTCTGTGTTCTTCTTTGTCGGCCTGCCAGCCATCTTGCAATGTCCCCTGAGAAAAGCGAAACGAAAGAAATTGACTGGAAATTCGCATAGAGGGTGCAAACAGCGTCCGGAGGTGCTCTAAAAGCATGTTTAGTGCTTACTCCGAAGGGGTAACTCAAGTTGAAGTAAGAGAGTCCCCATGTAATGCACCCGTTGTTGAACTGTAAACTGAAGATGACAAACCGCATGAATTGGTAGCTCGTTTAAATGGTCGGTTTGCTCCTAGAAGCCATGGTCTTGCTGCCCAGGTGGTTTGACAAGTCCTTCTCGCTGCTCCTGACCGGCGACGGGCATGCGGCCGTGAACTTTGAGCATGCCTGGGGAGACGGGGTGGCTGTGCTGCGCTACTTCAACGACCTGTTCACCGACTCCACCGAGCAGCCTCGAGTGCATCCGGGCAGCGCACCAAGCACAGACGCCGGGCAGTTTGTGGAGCGGCTGGGTGAGAACCCGAGCGGGAGTCTCACCACCGACACCATAGATCTTAAGATGGCAAAAATTAGCAAAGAACAAAGACCAGTTTCGAGGAAAATGGCCACTTGCACACCTGAATACACCAAACTTCATTTGGGAAAAATTGTATTACTCTAGTAATCTGTAAAAAAAAAAAAGTACTAGTACCTTCAACAAATTTAGTCTTCAGGGAATATTGCATCTAATTTGAACATAAAACTTCTACAGTAGAACCCCGTTATATTAACTCTGCATGTACTATTTTTTGAAGACTTTTCTAGATTGCACACCGAAAGTTCGCCCACTCCTTATTTTCACCCGATTTTCTCTTGATTTTAGGTGGGCTATCTCTCGAAATATTACGGTAGTAAAATAACTGCCAAGTCCCGACAGGTTTACTATAAAGGGGTTCTATTGTGGCACCTCTTATTAAAGGTTTCACGAATCAGTTTTTAGTAATCACTTTAGCTAGTGGGGCTCACATTCTTTTCCTCCTCAGCGTCCCATTTTCTTCTTTTCTTTTCAAGTGTAAACAAAAGAAGGACTTCTCTTGGTGATACATCATCGCCTAATTGGGCGTGCCAGAGGAGGAGCTCAAGGAGCTGTAATCCTTGAAAGTAGCAAAACAAGAAAACAAAAAAATTGGCTGCAGAAACCACTATTGTTGGTTGTCTATGAATTGCAATAGCATTCGTCTAGGATAACATCAAGGACTACGTCTAAGACTATGTCCTAGCAGACAACATCAAAGACGACCTTGAGGACGACCTAATGGACGACGACTAGAGAGACCTCTAGGGCAATCTTGAGGACGACCTCTAGGATGACGTCCTAAAGAACGACATCTAGGATGACCTCTAGGACAACCTCAAGGACAACGTCGAAGACGACCTTTAGGACGACCTCAAGGTCGTCAGGTCCTTCGAAGAGGGTGCGAATGTGAAGGAGTGTGACAATGACTGGGAAATGGTCTACTGTGCATACCTACTGTGCATTAGAAGGCCAAAAGTTTTAAAAAAATTCAGGAGGGGTATTTAAAGAATGTTATCGCATTAAAAATGCTTACACAGTCAACATAGCCACTTCAATCATCATACTGGGGACCAGTGGTGTCACTAGGGGAAGGGGGTGGGGGGTAGCCAGATTGCTTGGCGCAGTGCTCAGAGGGGTGCAGCTGGGCAGTGAAAGGGGCAAGGAATCTAATGGCTTGTTTGCCAAGTCTCCCGTATTAACCGGGAGATTCCCGAATTTCGACCAATTTATACGGTTGTACGATTGACAGAAAAATCTCCCAAAAAACGCATATTCCCCCCTCCCTGCACTTACACAAGGAGTTTTTGGCCGTCACAACAAACGGCTGCAAAGATAGCAAAGCCCAGCTGTTTCTTGCTAGGATGAGCAGTGCAACATAAATGTAATGAAGTTGTGTTCATGTATATTTGTTGTCAATTATTCCTTTCTAAAAAACCAGAACCTCCCCCTTAGAAATTCTCCCGGATTTGGTTTGTCCGAACTTGGCAGGTATGCAATGGCATATTGACAAGACAATGTTGTATGCAAGAGAGAAAGACGAAAGGTACCCTGGTTCCCAATCACCAGGTGCCATTTCTTGGTTGCTTTTAAGCATTTTTATACCATTTGACAGTGGTCAAGGTATCGTCAGTGAAAAGGTGATTGCAGAGTGCTTGACTGAATGCGCTTGGTGACCATGCAGACTTCAAGGTGAACGACAGTGTGGCCGAAGCGGTAAAGCAGGCGGTGAACGGCTACAAGGAAGCCACGGGAAGTCTGCAGCTGTCAGCTTTGAAGCACGCCGGCCTGAGCAGGGACCTCATCAAGAGCAGTGGCCTCAGCCCCGACTCTGTGGCGCAGCTCTCTTTCCAGGTGAGGCATTGCGGCATGTCCAGCTGCCGGTCCCTGAGGTTAGAAACCTGGAAGGCCTGTATGGGGAGGTGGGAATGTGTGTGCAATTTGGGCTGGGGATAGCAAAGTCACCTTGAGCGGTTTAAGAGCATTGCGTGGAGGCCTCGGTTGTATGGTGTCCCAAGAGTATTGCGACATGTCCGAAGTGTCGGCGAAGCTGCAAAAATTAGTAGTACACTGCAGTGTGGACCCCTCCAACTAAAACTCTACTGCACTGCACCAATGTGCTGATGCAGCCATTGCTACGGTCGTTTCTTTTCTTGCGACCCGAAGAATAATGGTTGCGGCCTCCCGATAAATGTGCATGTGGTGCAGGCAAAATGTCTCCGACCAGTATGTTTGCCCTGTGATGTCATGTCACAGGTGGGGTAACGTGCTTCGGATTACAGCGGTCCTGACGGGGGCGCTGCAGTGTAGGGTGATGTGGCAAACACCCGTTCTGCTGTAGTTCACTCTGCAGGTGGCCCAGTTGGCAGAAACTACAGTTACTACTAATGGAAACACTGTTACAGCAGTGACACATCTTTGCAATTCAGTTGCAAGGATTCCAATAGCCCATGGCATCATTCGGCAGAACCTGCAACATGTTCTTCCGTCAGTTCACAGGCACTCCAATGCGGGGATGGTGCTATACGTACGTAATGCTGAACACACAAGGGGGTCTGAGGCGTTTCAACCTCTAGCCTAGCTGAAAGGGTTGCAGACAGAGCTCTGTGACCGTCAAACCCTCCACACCCATGCCGTTACCGGCGCTAGGTGCACTCGGGGGCATTTTTTTGTGACGTCGACAGAATGCGACTTGGAATCTGCATGCCTCAGGGGCCTATATACCTGTTGTGGTATGTACAGCGCCATGACGGCAGAGAATATTGAGAACCCTCTAGAGATCACGGGCTTTCCCATTGCGTCTCTGCTACTGCACATGAGTCAAGGCGGCTCCCGCCGGAAGCAGCCGTCGCTGCCATCCGCCATGCCGGCCATCCGCCGAAACATCATACATCGCTGGTGGCGTACCGTGTCTGTACTGCATGTGGTACTTGGGTTGACTCTTTTCTGCATATGCTATTCACTTATTTGAATACGTAATGTGTCGTAACTTAACTTTGCATCTTGCAGTGTCACCGAATCCACCTATCTTGCACCGCCACTGTGGCAGGGTTCGACCAGGTCCAACAAGGCGTTGGTGTAGCAGTCGACAGAGCTGATACAAAGAAGAGGGTTGAGAAAGGAGCAGCCTCGCAAGCTAGCCAACACAATACCCTCTCCCCCATTTCCGTGCTCTCGTCCGACTCAGCTGCTCGAGCATTGTTGTCTTGGTAACCTGCGCCTGCTCGCATATGTCACTTGGTAGCGGGAGGGAAGATGATGAGAGGGGCATACTAACGACTCCCATAATTTTTCGCACAACACGCACGGGCTTTTGGGATTTTTGCAAAGGGTCTATTGGTGCTTGATGGGTAGGTCAAATGTTCTGAAGATTGCATGCCCCTACACTCACACGTGTCTTAATTGTTTTTGCAGCTTGCCTATCACCTGGAGCATGGAACGACGCCGGCGACGTATGAATCTTGCAGCACCTCAGCCTTCCGGCACGGGCGCACGGAGACGGTGCGCCCAGCCACCATGGCCACCAAGCGGTGTGTGGAGGCACTCAGCTCTGGCACGTCACCGCAGCGGGCCAGGCCCCTCCTCGAGGAGTGCTCGCGTGTGCACAGCAAGCTTACGAAAGAGGCAGCCATGGGTGGGTGCACACTTGTCTTTCGGCAGCAGCGCATGTGGCTGTCTATAGACCCTTTTCTTTGCAAGTGCCACCAGGCAGTGCTCCAGTCTTTGACGTCTCAACGAACTTCCGGTTCATAAAAAAGAATGAACATGGCCCACCTTAACACCGCTGCTTGAAATGTGGACGAAAGATTTAACCACCAATTCTCCCGGCGAGCGCCAAAAGGACCATGAAGCACAAGATCTGTTTGAAATTTTGTGAATGTTCTAGTAAACCAACTTGTCTCCGGCAAAATGTTAAGTAGTACAGCCAAAAGCCCTCGCTAAATCTCCATCTTCGTTGTCCGTGTAGCATCTATGCTTTCTAGCCCTAGTGACGTAAGCAAGCTCGACAGGCTTGTAAAGATGAAGCGACTGGAAGTCGCTTGGGACGCAAGCGGCGGTTTGTGTTTGTGCGACAAAAATGCACCCACAACTAATTTCCTTTGCCAAGTTTACCTTTTTTTGTGTGAAGTTTTAGTGTGTGTTGTCTAGATAATAGGTAAATAGTGCTTGCTAGACTCCCGTATTTTCCATGAAAAACAAAATCTGGCTTGAGGAGGACTGGTGCAGAAAAATGTGACACTGGAGATTTGGACCTCATTCTGCATTCAATGTTTTCATAATTCGAGATATCTTCTCTCGGTAGCCATAAAAATTAAAATATGCAAGTTTTATTATTTATTATGGAAGGTTTTTGCAAGACGGCTTCTTACTTTTCAAACCTTCAGTGTTCTGTGTTGTGGTTGCACATAACCAAGGAAGAGAGTGTGAGGGGATGCCACGAGTGGCCGGTGCACGGCAAGCAGTTTTCTGCACAAAAAGACTCAATTGGAGCCTCAGATAATTTTTGACTAATAAACAAGTTCTTGTATTTTTGATGAAAAAAAGATAGACCCAACCTGAAACAAGAATTCTAGATCATTTATTGCAGGTGACCTCAACAAGCAACTGAAGAGAAGTTTCATGCAAATACTGTAACTAAGATTCTGTGTTTTCAAAAGTTGATCTTAACGAAATTTGGAGGATGTTTTCTCTAAGTTTATTCTTCGCTGAAAATTTGGGGTTTATCTGAGTTTATTTTGATTAGAATCCCAGTTCTCCGAAATTCAGAGCTTAATTTTACTGTGTTCTCAATTTTTTAAAACTCAAAAACAAGGGAAGTAAAGTCTGGCCACAAACCTACCTCATATATTTGTCAAAACTCGCCTGTATCGAATGATATTCCAGCAGCTAGCTGCCTTTGGCATTGGCACCCTTGCCGTCAGCAACATCCCACAACAAATTTTGAAACGAAGTGTTGCCTCAGTAACAGTCGATACTTTGAAATGAAAAGACAGTCTCTTAATTTCACCATGCCTCGGCCTTTGAAAGTTGGCCGGCAGTAGTTTCAAAATAAAATAAATAAGATTCTGCTAGACGTGGTCGCCGAGAAGCATGGAAGCTTAAGCTGCCCTCCCCTCCACTGAAATCTATGGGCTCATAGCTTTCACTGCTATTGAAACACTGTCCCTCCTTCCTCTAAGCACAAGCGGCATGATCCAAACTGGAAACCTAAACAGTGGCTTTTGTCGCGACCCAGAGGTCCCAAGTGAACTTTGACGAGCCGAGAGATAAACCCACTTTTTTTTCGGTAGTCCAAGATTTCAAAGGAAACTGAAGTGGCTTCTCAGAACCACTGACCTTGTGCTCTTACAAAAAAAACATTTATAAAACAGTCTTTTTTTTTATTTATTTTATGTTTTTGCCACTGTAACCTTAAAATTTTTAGGGTTTTTTTTTTTTTTTTTTTATAAATTTGAATTGATCAGCCTGGCGAGTATTTTTCCAATTTCTTTTTTTCGGGTTCGTCCGAAAATACGGAACTTAACTAACTGTTGAGTTAGTTAAGTTGTTTTTTTCTGAAAATTCGGAGTTTATAGGAGTTTATTTTTGTTTGATTCCAAAATCTTCGAAAATCGGAGCTTAATTTCCCAATGTTTCTTATGAAAAAAAAAAAATAATATCCAGGTATATACGTATGCTAGATAAGGAAAAATAAAATGCGCTTATATCAAACAATATTTCTTCAGCTGGGTTTGGTGTTGGTGCCATTGCCATTGGCAATACTAATTTGTCCCATCGCAAAAGTTGCACACATCTGTGGCTCGGATAAACGCCGACACCTTAAAAATAAACTCGTGGAGGTAGTGTCGCTGGGAAGCACGTATTCATTCCATCTTATTCCATGCTACCCCGTGGCCGCGCAAGGTGGAGTGATGAAGGATGGAATAGGGAAGTTTCAACTGCCCCTCTTTCAATTTTATGCAATATCTACGATCCATATATAGCCTTAGGTGTTACAAAAACACAACCTCTCTTCCTCTTAAAACACAAATAGTATGGTCCAAACTGGAATCCAATGCAGGGGCTTTTGTCGTGACCCGAATGCACAATGACATGTCGTTCTGAACCTTGACGAGATGATCGGTGAACCCCTTTTGTCGATGAACCGAGATTTGAAAGATAACTGTGGTGACATTTTCCCGGGACCCTTTGCGCTGATCAAACTTAATTATAAAATACCGTCTTTATTTAGTTTATTGGAAGGAGGGGGGGGGGGGGCATGTGGCACATCAAAATTCAGGGTTTATAGGATAAATCCGAATTGATTAAATTTTAAAATTTTACCTGCGGGTGTTTCTTGGTGTTCTTCAGATTTATTCGAAAACACTGAGCCCTAGTTATATCTAAATTCAATTATAGTTACACGTAAGAAAAAAAAAAAAAAAAAAGATGGTCTGCTACGGGCATTTGTTTATCGTGCCTGCAGAAAGCAATCGAGGCTTAACTGCACACGCAGTCTGCTAGTTCGGTGCCGCTTCTCGCCAACTGCGGGAAGCTTCGATCGAAAGAAGATTTTGTGAGCTACGTATGGACCGTGTCGACAGCTGCGATGGCTGCCGCGGGGGACGCCGGCGGTGGGCAGCATTCATTACGCTGATGCACACTTTGTCGAAGATGGTGGCAAGCTTTTGCTTCAAGAAAATTGCCATTGTCTTTTGGTCCGTTTGCACACTTGCGACATCTTAAGGTGCCGCCTCGATCGCTCCGAGGCAGGGCGGCGACCTACCTATTCCCAGGTGGCAGGTTCGAATCTCAGCCGAGGTGCCCGCAATTTGATGGAGGCTTATTGCAGAGAATGCGCCGTGGTAACCGAGTTTTCGGTTGCACGTCAAAAGATCCCAGGTGGTCGAAATTAATACTCAGTCCTTCGCCGGGGCATGTCAGGTGCCCGTCGTTGGCTTGGCACGTAAAACCTCGAAATTTGATTGATTAATTGATTGACTGATTGACTTCTTAAGATCAGAGAGGCTAAATACCTGTTTTTAAGCCTTTTGTGACGACTTGAGACCGGCTCCGCAGCAGCACAGGCAGTCGTAAGCCGTCACAAGAGGCTTAAAAAACGGTCCTGTCGAAGTCGGTGGTAGTCAAAGGCGAGTGTGTGAACGTGCCTTTCCTCATCGATGTGTCAGCAGTGACAGGACTCGCCATCATTGAGTGGCAATGAATCATCGAGTCAGTGCTTGAGCGAAGCTAGACTTTCGCGCAGAGAGCGACCACACTGATTAGTAAAGCCGACTCGGAACACGAAACAAACAAAGAAGCACACAAGACACCGAGTTCGCACTTAAATTCGTGTTTCGTCCGTATATGTAGAGCCTAGATTTAAAAGAGGGGGACGCCACAGAGGACGCCAGCAGTGGATAGCATTCTTTACGTTTAAGCGCACTTCGTCAATTTTGGCAGCACGTTTTTGTTTTGAGGAGATTGCCTTCGTCTTTCTTGCTGAGTTGCCGGCAGTGCCGGGACTCACCATCATTGCAGCGGCAATGATTTGCCGAATCGGTGCTTGAGTGAAGCTAGATTTTCGCGCAGTGAGCGACCAGATGACCAACACCGACTATACTCCGTTCACCCTCAAGCTGAGCTGCACCTTCAGAGTGAGCTCGTTGGCTTCTGCAGCACTTTGCTTGTGTGTGCCCGTGCGTTCACACTCGTGTTAGCAAAGGCAGAAAGCTCACGCTGAAGGTGGAGCTTCTATTCGCAGCTTAAGGGTACACTCAGTATAGCAGCGCCGACACGGAACACGAAGCAAACAAAGAAACGTGCATGTTGCACACGGCACGCTAAAGTTTGTTTCGTGGGTATAGAGAGCCTACACTTAAGAGAGGGGGCAGCTGCTCAATCGGGGTCAACGTGGTTTATGGGGTGCATTTGCAAAACGAGTCGCAGCCAGCAAGAAGTCACAAGCATTCACCATCTGGAAACTTATCCGCCTTTCCGCCCAGTTTCCTCGCCACGATGGCCACGAGACAACCAAATGCAGGCCCACTTGCGCCAATCTGCCCAGGAGGCATCCTCCATTAAATTGCAAATGCTCTCCATGGCTGGAATTGCTCTCTCTCTCTCAAATCTAGGCTCTTTTCATCGTCTTCGTCGGTACATTGTCACTAGCGCTCCAAGCATCCCTATCGGCACGCCACTACGGCTTTTCCGCATGTGATGCAGAAAAGCCGCTTTCCAGACAATGAGCGGGGAGCAGACAACAATGTTGAAGCTGCTGCCGGCGGCCTCCGCAGCAAGCCTGCGGCCCGTTCCGAGTGGCTACTCGGCCGCGGCAGCAAAGTGCAGCAGTTTGCAACTTGGTTAACTTTCTGAATTTTATTATTTTTTAAATTCTCTAAAACTTTCTTTGCTATTTCTGCGGGAGCCGCTTAATTTCTTTCACTAAAAACACACAAATGCATTGAAAATGTGCAAACGGGAATGGGAAATTGTGATTGCTTCACTATAGCCGCCGTTTCGTTATAACCGACTTCGTTATAAACGATTGCAACAGTGTAACCTGCCCATTTGGCCAGGATCTCAGAAACCGGTTTACTCCCAGCTTCCTCGTACCCAGAATAAAAAGTAAGCTGTCCAGAGCAACAACAAATGTGTGGCATATTGCAGGTCAGGGGTTCGACCGGCACCTGTTCGCCCTGCGGCTACTGGCAGAAGAGCGAGGTGGCCCCATGCCCAGGCTCTTCGGGGACCCCTGCTTCGTCAAGGCCAACCACTTCTGCCTGTCCACATCCACCCTGCACGGAACTGCCTTCAGTGGCGGCGGATTCGCCCCCGTGGTGCCGGACGGCTACGGCTTGGGCTACGGAATGGTGGACGGCTGCTTTGGGGTGCTGACGAGCGCCTACGCCCCCCATCGAGATGCAAGCCGCTTTGCGAGTGCTCTCACGGAGGCCCTAAACCGCATCTGTGCGGCCATGGCCGCTCGCTAGACATAGCCCGGCAAAATGAAGGTGTACAAATCGGCGCTCGGAAAGTGCTATAGAGCGGTGGTTCTCAACCACCGATGTTTTGGAGACCCCTTGTGGATTAGTGGAAGTGATGGGGGACCATGTCTACTGGGGAGGAGGGGGTATAATAAATGATTACGATGACAAAAGGGTAAATAAAAAAAACTAAATGCATGCAAGCGAACTTTGAAGCTCTAAAATGTAGACTAATCAACTCTACTCGCTCGGTGGACATGCAAGACCATCAATTTAAAAAAAAAAATATATATATATATATATATATATATTGGCTCACTTGAGCATTTAGGGGACCCCAAAGTGTTTGCAGACCCCCATCTGAGAACCACTGCTATAGGGGACAAATAGTAGTTGCTATATTAAAGGATGTATTAGATTTATAACGGAATAAAGAAGTGTTGGTTTTATAGACAGAGTTACGTCCTGGACTTGCGTAGGTTGCAGTTTACGTGCAAGACTTGTATCAAAGAACACTGCCTAGGGGGTGATGCAACCCTTTCCAGTACAATTTTATGCCCGTTGCAAGTTCAAGAAACTAGAACGTGAGCAACTGTAAGTGGACAGGCTTATTGTGGACCGACTGTCTAGTTGGTCAATGGACAGTGGACAAACTGGTTTACATAGTTCTAGTTTCTAATCCCTATGAATGTAAAATATATATGTGATACCAAGCAAACATCCAATTGAAATCTTAACTGTCAACATGAGGCTAGGTACTTACTAAAGATTAAAACAGCGCAAGGACACGGACAAGAACAAGAAGGTAGACAAACAAGGCGCTGACTTGTTTGTCTACCTTCTTGTTCTTGTCCGTGTCCTTGCGCTGTTTTAATCTTTAATCATGAAATACCAACTAGCCCAAACTTCTACTTTAATCTACTTACTAAAGTCAACTTTATGTACTAACCTGCCCACAAAAAAAAATTAAAAATTGTGCGGGTGGGCACCTATTTAGTATTTTTTACAGTATGCTCGCAAACGATATACTTAAAACATTGCATCAAATATTTTCGCCATGGCTTTTTTCGAGCATTGAAAATGTAAGAGTTGATATGAGCTACTGCCACTTCACAGATCCGAGGTGACTTGTTTGGAGCAACACTACTCACCCCAGTAAACTATACACGTCCAGTAAGTTAGTCTAGCACGCATAAGGAACACACCACAGCATAGTTTGCCCATTGTTTTGGAGATCAGTTCCACTAGGCTTCACTTCTCAGACCCCCAATCTCAAAACAAAATGACAAGGTGAGTCAGTGCTTAAACTATCAAAAAGGTGCCATTTATTTTACTCCAGCAGTGGCTGTCGGTCGTCTCCAGAAGCCGCGCCTGTAGGCGGCGCAGTTCGTCTGGTGCCGAGTGAGTCGTGCCGTGCTGAATGAAGCCGTGGCTGGCAGCGTTGCAAATGACGAAGAGTGTGCCCACAGGGGGGAAGGGGGCGCCGCAACAGTGGTGACGTCGCCCACCCCTCTGGACGCCTCCGAACATGTGCCTACGGTCCATTGTGACAAAGGGAGGCAGTGCTAACTGTGACCTTCGGAAGGAGGAAGTTTGCTCTTGGAAGACGGTCCCCCTCGTGGGAGTGGCATCAGTGTATGGAAAGGCTGGCGGCCAGGGGTGCTGAACTGGGGTGTGCCAACAGTCCCAGCCGCTGCTTCTGCTTGCGCTGTTCCGTCATCTGTCGCAAAGGCAAAGAAGGTTTCGAACAAGCTGGTGAGCTTGGCAAGAAATGATGATGACGCATTTAATGCAAAGGTGCGAGCGAGCTGGGCAAAAATAACTATAATCCCTGGAGAAGGGGAACAGGGGGGACAAAAAGCAAACACAAGATCTAACACTGCTAGGTAACTAGTGCGCAACTTAAAACATCCACCCGGTCCTGGTATCGAACCAGGCCTGTAGACTTATGAAGACATTGGAAACATTTTACCATCACTTTGAATATTTGATTCAACCTTTCACTTGAAAGTAGAATAGTATTAGAAAATTTCAGAGGTGTTAGAATTATTTCGACCGGTATATTTGAAGAGATTTTTTTTTCGAAATGAGCCAAATCCATGTGAAGCGAAACTGAGATAAACAGGAATGTGAGCTTATCGGACTAGCTTCGAGCCCTGTACCACGGCCACCTTTCCGTCGGTTTTTCTCTCATAATACGACAGATTTCAGATTAATACCTTTTGGAAACAAGGAACCCCCAGGATTCCTGGATTTAACTCGTTTCGAGAGAAAATACTCCTCATTTTCGGAATCCATGACGAACTAGTATTTTAGCTCCGGTGTGCATTTCCCTTGTGGCAAACGTGTACACCGGCAAAGTGACGCCTGTGAGGGCAGCGTTGATTTTTAATTTAGGCATGTGCGAATAGTGATTTTCGCTGAATATTTTATAATCCAGTATCGAATAGTTTCTTTAAGCCTTCCAGTACTGCAACATGCTTAAATGAAAACCCAGCTGAACCTGTAAAAGTTGTTGCCAAGCATCCTCTTATCCATTTCAAAGATCAGTTCATTTTAATTGAACTATATTTATTGACTGTGGCCTCTAAAAGCTCAGTGCCTACATTAGGATGGCAAGTAAACGACAGATTTTACATGAAATTAAACCTATAGAGATGTCCAGCAAGAGAGGGGATTTATAAATATTTTTGCAATAGACAAATGTCTTTTCTTCAATCACATATGATTAAGATGTGTTGTCAGGGCATCTCTGCTTGGCATATCATCAAAAGTATGCAGATCAATTAGCCGTACTTGATCGACTGAAACAAAGTCCACAAAGCCATCGAAAGACAAAATATTTGGCTCCGCCAAAGATTTTGACAGTTTAATGCCAGTTTAATTTTTAAAATTTTACTGCAATGTAGATTAACATTTATAAAGTTTCCATTTCTTTTTAAGTGTGCCAGGCACGCATGTGCACCATCACGCTTTGGAAATTAGCTTTCATCCTAAGCACTCAGCTGTGATCTTTGTATCCCAGTTGAGTGCGCTTCTTACTAAGCACCTATGCACTGCAGAGAAGCCACAGCTGCGGAAGTGAGCTCCGCAGGTGTGGATTCTCCGCACTGCACCGGTGCTCATTAAGAATTGCACTGAACGGGGCTAAACTGCTGCAATCAACAGTTCGAAAAGTATGAGTATCGCAGTTCATCTCGAAGCGAATTTCGAATAGCATATTATTCGAAACTACTATTCGGATATTCGCACAATATCATGGTCAGGCAGAGATCCAATCTGTGCTTGCAAAGAACTTCCAGATGCACAAAATTTGAGATTGTAATGATGTGATACACAGCTTAAGAATAAAAGAGAAGCCAGGAAGGTGAAACTAATTAGAGCTACAAATGTGGTCCCTCCAATTGTGAGTGGAGCCCCCAACCTCCGTGATGGTTACCTCATACGTTGTCGCCGAGTTTGGCCATTTTAATGCATTCACAAGAAATAAATTATTCACAAGAAATAAAAAGTGATGCATTCTAACTGTAATAATAGAATTGTGCACTTCCTAGATGATGTCAAATCAAACACTTGAATGACTGACCTTACACTGATGAAGTGTACATTCAGTATTAACAAAGAAGGGACAGTTCAGACTCTTCCGACATGTAATGTTCATGCGCTTACAACTTGAATTTCTGGGAATGATAAGAAAGAGCTAAAAAAAGCAGCAACACTGACAAAAGAAAAGCTTGTGCAAAGCCTTGAATATGCTGTCAAGACATTGCCGCAGAACTTATTTCGCTGCAGTTGCTCGTTTGCGAAGAAAATCGAACAAATCCATATCATAGGTAACCGGGGGAGTATTGCACAGAAATCTATGGCATCGGGGTGTATGAGAGTCGAGGAGAGTCACTCCCCAGAGAGTCCCTTTCTAGGAATACATGCTCAAAGTTATGGAACAAAGTTAATGAATCAAAGCTATGTGGTCCACAACTTTTAACATATTTCATACACTATGTCATCACTGCGCTTGGTTGTGAAGAAGAAAATTGAAGTAACTTCAAATACCCGACTTGATTGGCGGCCTACATGTAGAAAAAAAAGCAAATTTCGAGGCGCAAGTATTTTTTTTTCTGAGCCATTGGGCTTTTGTCAATTTTCACAAACCAGTATCTTTCCAAACGCCCCCGAAGTCCCATCCACAGATGGCTAAAAAAAAAACAGAGAGACGCAGGAGCCCCAAACATACAATTCTTGATTGGCAATTTACGTGCATGAAAACCACATTTCGAGGTGCACATATTTTTTTCTTGCATAGCTAAGGACTTTATTGCTCCCGACAAATACGAGCGCCCCTTCAGCGTCCCTTTGGGACACCACCAAAGCCCCATCAACACCAGCTCCCGAGAAAAAGGAGGAGCGGAGCCCCAAACACACGATTTTCGGCTGGCAATTTATGCGTATAAAAAACCAGATTAGGCATAAATAATTTTACAGCGGTAGCTGTTGCCCGTCCCTTGGCTTCACAACAGCGTGAGCGTAAACAAAAAGTTACCCCACTAAATCTGGCGGGAAAATTGATGTCACATGACGTGACATCATGGGACCTGCTGACAAATTGAGGTTCCCCGCTAAATTTAGCGGACAAGTTGACAAAGTGACCTATGCACCACTTCAGTTTCCATGCTATATTTGGCATGGAATTTATTCATCAACAGCGTATCAACACTAAATCAACACGTCATTTCAAGATCGGCACAAGGTCAATCGATCGTCGTCATCATATCGTCGAATAAGCAGCACAGCTGCACCGTCTAACTGCATCGTGTCGTGTGATCATTGCGCAATCTTTTTCAATGTAGCAAGGGCTTTCGTCAGTCTCAACAAACGCAGACGCCTCCTCGTCGTCCCTTTGAGACACCCCCCAAGCCCCGCCCACAGCCAGTCCCCCAAAAGAGGCCCACCTGATCCCTCAGGTCGGCCAGCTGGCGAGAGAGGGTGGCCACCAGTCGCTGAGTTTCTTCGAGCTGGCTCTGCAGGGTCCGCATCTCGTTCTGCTCGGACTCGGCCTCGTCCGCAGCTAGGGACATGGCCCGCATGCGAGGGAACCACTCGAGGTTCTTTTCCTGCAGGGGGCGCCCCCGGGAGGGGCTGTCGCAGCCCCTGGCTCCTCGCCCACCACCAGACGCGCGCTCCTACCTTGATCATCGTGTCCACGTAGCTCTCGGGGCCCGTGAACTCCGTCGGGTCCTTGACCCGCACCAGCACTATGAAGTACAGGTAGTGCCAGAGGTTGTGCTCGCACCGGATGTGCTCCTCAAACGACACGCTCTTGTTGTCGAAGGCCGACCGGTCCAGGCCTGGGCAAAAGACGGCAGGCGGTTGGCCCCATGTTCCCCAGCGGTGCCTCTCATGCCCCTTCTCCACTGACCGCAAATAAAGCATGTGTTGCGCAGCGTCTCGTCCTTCTGTTGCTTCTCGCTACGCAGGTCGGCGAACGTGTCGATGATGACGCCAAAGATGAGGTTCAGCACGATGATGATGACCACAAAGAAGAACAGCAGGTCGTACACCACACGGGCAAAGTAGAGCGGTTCCTGCGAGAAGGGTTCCTCGTCACCAACGAGGAGGCGGACAGGAACTAGGCCAGCCGACAGTTCCGTCAGACACGGCAAAAAATTATCGTTAAGCCTTGGAGTTGTGTGCATATTAAAAATTTCTTATAGTAGCTTAGAGCAATACGCTATTCGATATTCACTTCGAGATGAACTACGATATTCACATTTTTCGAAACGTTGATCGCGGCAGGTAAGCCCTGGGGAGCGCGCCTCTTGCCGAGCGCTGGTGCACCGCGGAGAAGCAACACCCGCGGGAAGGAGCTGTGCAGGTGTTGCTCCTCTGCAGTGCACCAGTGCTTGACAAGAAGCGCACTTAGCAGGGTAACCCGCCCAGTCCGCCAAAAGGGGCCCTGCAATCATATATAAGCGTCTACCTTTTTTGCAGTTTCCACGTCTCTTGGGGTTGGGGCAAGCCAAGCGGGCACGGAAAGAGTAACTAAATATCAGTGCATCATACATTAACCGGACGACATGGAAACCTCCTCCACCTACGCGGGCGACCCATGGTGCCGGAAGCACGCGATATATGATGACATTGCAACGTTTTTCATCCTGGCCTTACTACTGGTCAGAGCCGCTAAAAGCTTTTTTTTTAGTCAAAGTGCAAAACATAAGTGGCGCAAACTGTTCCAATTATTTATGAAAGTAGTTTTTCAGTATTTTAGATCAGAAAAGAAACAAATGTAGTTTATAAAGTATGGAAACAAGAAATGAGCCGTCGACATCCCCGCCACCAAGCAGTAGCGCATACTAGGGAGGGGTAGTGGGATCAGGCACCAACGAGCGGTGAGCGTAGAAAAGTCCCGGATGTACGCGGCAGAGCGGCGGTCTTATGGGCTCAAGGATCCGACTGGTTCTGAGCATTCCGAAGGCCACCGGCGAGCAGGTCTAGCTTGCGGTTTGGCCATTTGGCAGTTTGGCAGCGCGAAGTGGCTCCCGTTCTGAACTGATCTTTACCCCGTGTTTGCTGTCATTTGTAGCCAATAAAGTGTCATGCCGAATTAGTGTTTAATCGTGCAACAAATGCAATAGGAGCCGCTCTGGCCGCCCGCTTTATCCAGCCTATCCAGAACGCGCTTTAGTGGCGCCCTCTCGAGCTGTCGACACGGAGTGCGGCAGCTGTGAGCGCTCGCTGAGCTCACTGCCCCTCCTCTAGTTCACGGCCATTTAAGCCACGACCAAGGACGTCATGAAGGAGGTTATTTTTTGCTTGTTTCTATAATGTTAATTTGCCTATAACTTTTAAAATAAAGCGAAATTCGAGAAAAGAAAAGTTTCATCACGTTACTATGTTCAGTGCGCTCAGGTTCCGTGCAAATTAAAAACCAGTCAAAAAGTCTTTGCGGGGCCCCTTTAACACTTCCCCTAACCTGGGGCTGTTATGCAAGAGTAGAAATGGGCAGAGATGCCCAACAACCTGCATCCATCATTCACAATTTTTTTTTTTTTTTCTTCATTTAAGCTTGGTGCAACAGTAATGAAAGGCTAGGAGAACCTATTCAATATTAGATTCGAAAATATTCGACCGAAACCGCTAATAACATTAGTGCACAAACAAAAAGCTTTAAATACTGCTTTGTCGTCGGGGCTGTCGAACCTAGCAACTGAAGTACCCTTTGGCACGTTAAGGCTTTCACACATTTGCATTTGAGTGTGACCAACTGTGCCGCAACCGCTTGTGGTGGCATAAAACCAGATAACACAACGGCGCTACCCACCAGGTATTCCTGGAACAGCTCCAACCTGCACATATTTCCCTATTTTTTACGGATCATTCATTCACTGTGCTCTTGAAATAATTCTGACAATGATCTAAGCGACCATTCCTCGTAGCTAGCACACAGATGTGATGTCACAAATGGCACAAAACCTTCAGTTATACGCAGATCTGAATGTGTTTTAGGGCCACCTGACAGGTGGCGTCAGCGTGTTCTCTCGCCATAACCAGTTGCAAGCGGTTGCAACGCAGTCGGTTACCCTCGAGCGCAAATGCGTGAACCAGCCTTTACGGTATTTGGATTACGACAGCTCATACTTGAGGCTTTATTCGCCGCACGATTTTACTCCCTCCGTCGTCGTCAAAAAGCGTATCGTGTCTCCCCTCTTCAGCGCCGACCAACCCTTGGCCAAACCAAACTTTACAATGCGACACGTCGACGGCACCCACCTTGGAGCTGGGTGGCCGCAGGACGTCTCCGATGCCGCCGCCGTTGCGCAGGCCGTGGTTGAGGGTGGTAACGATGCACATCACCAGGGAGTCGCAGGCGCGCTCTCCCACCGTGTCGTCGCCGGAATCCCCATCGTCCGCTCCTGTGGTGAGAGCCTCTTGCGGGCACGGCTCCTGTCCGCCGTTCGCCGCCTTGCAGAAACCTTCCAAGTAGTTTGGGTCAGCGTGGGGCACTGCAAACAAATTAGCGCAGAAATTTGGACAATAGTCATTGAATAGGACACGCGACGGCGCCGGAAAAACAAAGGTAAATTCCTCCACTACTTCGACTGGTTATGACCACCATATATTGAGTAGCCATAGGGCACTTGGCATTTCCGAATATTTCCTATTTTTTTTCGCGCATCATTCTTCCTTTTCTGGCTCGAAAAATCTTCTGAAAAATGTTATAAATGACCATTTCTCATGATAGTATATGCATTTGACCTTGCGTATACCACAAAATCTTGGCTTTAGTTAAATGCTGTTGCAAGGTAATCTCATAGTACATGGCACCAGCGTGCCAAAGATCACGAGAACTCTGTCATAAGCAAGTGCAAGTGTGTGAACGGGCCTTTATTTGGTAAGGCTGTAATCAGGATTGGCAGGAAGTATGACCAGGAATGGGTACTAACATCAAACTATAGTACCATATAGTGAGGCTAGATCTGCAGTGTGCCACCACTGGATGTCAACTCCATACAGGTATTTAGGGAAAATTGTAGAGCCCTTCCTCTTCACGTGAAGATGGAGGACCAACGAAGCTATTATCTTTACGACGTCTAGGACGATGCCTAGAGGACTATGTCTAGGACGACCTCTAGGACGACCTCCAGGAAGACTTCTAGGACAACCTCGAGGATGACACCTAAAGGACGATGCCTAGGACGACCTCAGGGATGATTTCGAGGACGATGCCTAGAGATGATAACAAGGGATCGGGACATCACTATCTAATAATGCCAAGGAAGGCTGACTTACGCTGGTTGCCCCCTCTTTTTATTTTTATTTGTTCATACTTGCCACGACCAATGGAGTTTTCTGTCGACATATGAGGGCACATTTTTTTCCCAGACCCTAGCGTATAACAGCTTCGCTGTAAAAATACCTAGTTTGAAATTTAAACCCAGTGACTCAAAGATATTGACAAGAAAACCGAGGGGAAGGAACCGGTAGAATAGGATGGGGACTCAACATGCGGGATGTGACGCCTTGTAAAGACGTCCTCTCCAGCCGACACCATGATGTAAGTGTTTTGTTTGAACACGGGTCGAAAGATGGAGCTCGTAAAGATCTTCACGGTGGCCAGTAATGCAAAACGTACGGGGGACACATAAAGATGCAAGTTCTCACGAGGCTAAAGAATGCAACCGCTCACCGTCGGCAGCGGTGGTGGTGCGCGAAGTGCTGCTGTCGACCTGGATGAGGAAGTCGTCCCGGAAGAAGAGGAAAGCGACAATGGAGAATAGGTAGACGAGGATGAGGGCCAGCACGGCCGTGAGGATGATGGAGCGGCCGTTGCGTGTCACCGATTTGATCACGTTGAGCAGGGTCTCTTCCTGGTACAGCACGTCAAGGAGCAGCACGCTGTAGAAGAGCGGGTGGCCCACCAGGCCCAGCACGCACACCGTGAGGTAGCTGACATGGTACAGCAGCTCCATGTCCGACAGCATGTGGCCCAGGCTGCGCGCAAAGGTCCCGTGGTTTCCCACTATGCTCACCAGGTGCACAGTGCTGCAAAGGGCCCAGCCGGAAGAAGAAAGGGGGGTCAGGTCACGGGAAGAGGAGGGCCGCGAGGAGTGAAGGGACGCCACTTCCCAAGTGGTCCCTTCTCCCTCAGCAGCCCGGCAGAGAAAGACTGTGAAAGAACTGCTCCGAGATATTGTTCCTTGAAAAGAACCTCCTAGAAGCGCCAGTGTCACAGCCGATTTGGCTAAGAGACTTAGCCGAGTTGCTTAGCGAAGCGTCTGCCGCCACTCTAAAGGTTGGTTCATGCATTTGCGTTTGACTGCCCGAATGCACTGCATTCTCTTATAAGTAACCGCTTACATACGTGTTTTTATATTTTTACGAATCATTCTTTTAACGTGGGGTTGAAGTAACTCTGACAATGTAAGGGACCATTTCTCATAAATAGTGAGTGTAGTTGATCTCGCAAATACTACAAATCCTTCGGTCTAGTTATACACGGTTGCAGAGCTGCTCGATAGATGGCATCGGTGCGTCCTCTGGGCGTAAGTGGCAATGAGAAAATGCCACGCACCCTTGATCACAGTGAAACGCAAACATGTGAACCAGCCTGAAGGCTCCCAAGGGAAATTCCTCTTCAAGCCATTCCAACCAGCTCCGACCACCTATGTGCTCGCTCGGTGCAACGGTTTGTCACTACTTTTTATGTGCATGCGTGCAGTGCGTGTGCCACCGCACTTACCTTATGGCGACATTCACCGTGCCCAGCAGCCACAGGGTCGGCTGCAAACCAAGCCAGGACATGAGTCTCAGGATGCAGGCGCAGGACAAGGCCCGAATGGATGACGGCCGCGGAGCCAGGACCACCCCGGCGAGGGACACCAACATCAGTGCCCAGCTCAGACCGGACAGCCGGGGATCCAGTTCTGAAGCACAAGGAGACAGGAACTTCGGCACGACTTTACGCGGTTGTAGGTTGATGCCACAACTGCGTAATGCTACAAATCACGGTGAAGATCCAGGTGGCGGCACAGCTGCAGAGCCAGATGTGGCAGAGGCCTTCCCTTCTGCAGCTCACTCCTCAACTACCCCATTCTATGGAAACTCTGGCAGTTACGAGTTGGGATGCCACAATGACAATGCTGCCCGCGCAAGCTTATCCTCCTCGCGAGTGCTGTTACAACCGACTGCCGGGACAGGACGAGTCATGACATTACCAGGCGGCTTCTGCGACATGTTTTGTTACCACTTTGAACACGCCTCAAGGCACGGAGGGTGTGGCTAAACACACCAGTTGGAGATGCATTCCTTGCACCGTACTGCCACAGCAGTCTTGTTGAGAAACAGATGCTACAAAAGTGCAACAAGATCTATACAACAGCCTTACCTCGCTTCACCCTATGACGGACCACGGAGGACACCGTGAGCCACCTAAGCGAATCCAATGCTATCTGAGCGTCACGCGACCTTAGAGGCACAACAACGCGTGGGACGCGTCGTCAAGCAATACGTTCGCGGTGCAAGATTAGCAGAAATGGCTCATAGCACCAGCTGCGGTCCATTGTAAAATAAACGGAGTATAAAATTGTTCCAAGGGAACGGTCTATTCGAATAGTGTTGGATGGTGTCTCAAGCAACGCTGCTTTCGTTGCCTGCAGCATGGATCTTTCAGCAATGATTTCCAAGAAACTGTGCAGTTTGACCGAGCATTACGGTCCCATTCAATGTGCTACTCAAACCAAAGGCTCCACTTCTCATCCAGGATGTCAAACAAAGGAATCGTACGCTGGATCTGCATCGAGTCATCAAGTGGCGCGGCTGAATTGCGTCGTCGTCGAGATCCAACAGAGCTGACGGAATACCCGAAATCTGTGCCAGTGACTGGATCCAGATTAATGTTACGTGACAAGTTTCACACCCTGAACTCACTTTTAAATTAAAACTTGTCTCGCACTCTTCATGCCCTCATTCACACCACCGTGCACACGTTACCGAACCGAGCGACATTCACCTTTGGCATCTGCAAACGGGTAAAAGATGGCCACTATGACGTTGATGAGGACAGCTAGGTTGAAGGCCACCGTGCTCCAGGTGGACATGTGCCGGCTCACCCAGTAGAGCACAGGTTGTCCTGCAAGGAAATAGAAGCGACTCCGCACTGGAACGGCAGGTGTGGCTCGGCCAGTCGGGGCAGACGGCGTACAGGAAAGCCTCGCAAATTGGGTGCTTTGCGCTTTCCACCAACTACAGGGGGTAGTACTCCTCTTGTCTGGCACATCTTTGTAAGTGGATTAGCGTATGACAAATATTCAGAATGGAGCCATTCTGACCGGACTGGCATTTCCGGCAAATCCAACTGTGATGCTACTTCCGATAATGTCTAGGTTAGGAAAAAAAAGCCTTTTGCTTTGAGATGAAACAGGGCTTCATGCAGGCTAAGGGGACACTGACAGGGTATTTATGCTCCCCGAGGTTTTTATTTCTACATGACATACGTGAGCCAAACTACCCAGAACATAAATTTCGACTCAAAATTTGCTTTATTTCCACCCGAAAACCGCTGATCGAGAACTGGCCGGTTTGAGTCGCGCTCACTCTCTTCTCCGTTGTCACGTACAGTTCTCTATGGTTTAGACACAACCACCAAATATAATCAAAGTCATGGGTCGTTGAAGGCACACGCTCAATATTAGGATTGGAAAACATTTTCTTGAGGCTTCTAAAAACTGCAAATACATTGATTGAAAAAGAAAAAAAAGTTGCAGAACCACGTTTGCCCCCCCCCCCCCCCCCCCTACTCTTTCCTCCTCTACATTCCTTTTTCCTCCCCAATCCAGTTTCCGTTTCGAGCAGTAGCATTTTTTTTCTTTATGATACATACATATGACTGTCGCAAATTATTGATTGGGTAGTCTACCGACAACATAATAAATCGCCTGGCAAAAAATAGAACAAATTTTTTCATAGGGTGTGTCAGTGTTCCTTTAAGTAGGAATACAGCATCTCGGTGATCCTTGTGCATGCACAGCACCGCTCCTTTAACCGGCCCATCTTTTTGTTTTTAGGAAGTAAGTACAGACTCGATTCAAATGTCCAGAAACGCAACACCATTAGTGAAGTTTTCTATTGTTTATACGGTCACCGTGCCGATAAAGAGAAGAAAAGCACACGACAAGTCTCTCGCACCAAAACAGCCCCTCACAACACAGCCTGAACTTCTCAAGGTAGTGACTAATACTGAAAAGCCTGAACACATTTCTCGCAATGCTCGCAAAAGGAACGTCCACTCACCTCGCAGCTTCTTTTGCCATTTCATTTCGTTGAAGAGGTCCTCTGTGCGCTCGAAGAAGTCCGATACCTGCATCGTTCGTGGAAACGCTCAAAATGGGGTATCGCAGAGAACCCGGGACACAGCTCACCTTACTGCTTTGTTCATCTCGCTCCGTGGTGTTGTACACCTTCACCTTGGTCTCGCGCGTGAGGAACTCGCAGATCTGGGGCACTGGGAACACTATCTGCTCCATGGTGCGGTCGTGTCGCACAATCTGCGAGCCACAGGTACAAAAGAGGATACTGCAATGCCGCTCATGTTGGCGAGTTTTAGCATGGAATGTGATGTAGGTCCGGCCTTTATGAGAAAAGCAACATAATATGCTCGGCCGAAAAGGGTCAAAGACAGATAAGCAATAGTATATGTTGACGATGACAATGTTTGCTGGCTTTACAGCACAAAAGCTAGGGAGGCTATACTGTGCTAGACTGAACAAGACGTTCGAGCTAGTAGTATGTACATGGTGCTACAAAAAGTAACTTCAAAGCCAGCTGTGACTAAATCCGGAGTATAAGGCCGGTGCTAGTAAAAAGCCGGTACTATTTCAGAGGGAACGAGAGGACGCTCTCCTAGTAAGAGAGCAGAATGGAATGCAATGTGGTAGCAAAAAAAAATTCAAGAAAATGAGCGTTGCATCTCGCTTCGAGTTTTGAACAAAGTCACAAAATATGCACAATGCTAAGCGACTCCCCATGGCAATCACGAACCGACGGATCATACCTGAACAAGAGATACTTGCGAGTAACATAAGAGTGACCAACTTCAAGCCGACAGAACAATGCTTCATGGAGCGTACATAGTCGCCAAACGATTTCTCGAAATTAGCAGGGACCGAAAAAATTTCCAAATAATAAAGCAGTTCAAAAAAGCATTCAGCCTTTCCACTCTCGTGAAGAAGGAAGACCGGCGGAGCCATACTCGATACACTGTGTGCTTTTTCTTCGTCGTCGTTTGTTTTTCGCACTGTTTCCTACGATGAATTCCCACCAACGCGCCCAAGTATCCATTCTTCTATTATAGCTGGAGCCTGGAAAGGTTGGCGCCATCTACGAGCGATGGCGGAAACCATACTGGTTGTGTGCTTGCCGCTGTTGCTTATAAATGGCGGTAGCTGTCCAGGTAGGTTTGCGTCGACATACCAGACACGATCCTGGGGAACCTAGCCCTCAACAGCTCCGCTGTAAAAGCAGCAGATTAAAAAAATTTTCCTTCATTACGTCTAAGCAGGCTTAAAAAAGCCGTCAATAATGCCTTGCTTCAGGTTACGCCACTGCTTGCGTTCAGCCACTTTTTATTAGCTTGAGAATCGCTGCCTTCTTTTAGAGCGCAGCTCTTAGGGGCCCGTTCCCGGCTTGAGCGGCGTCGGCGTCGCCGTCGCCGTAACCAAGGTCATCCCAAGGTCATGTGACCCCCAAGGTCACGTGACTCCTCCCAAGGTCATCTCAAGGTCACTGACCCCCTGAAGGTCACGTGACCCCTAAGGTCACGTGCCCTTGGGGGTCACGTGGGGTCATCTTGGGATCACGTGACCCCCAAGGTCACGTGACCCCTCGAGGTCACGTGACCCCTTCCAAGGTCATCTCAAGGTCACGTGACCCCAAGATGACCCCACGTGACCCTTTGAAGGTCACGTGACCCCCAAGTCACGTGACCCCTCTGAGGTCACGTGGTCTCCTCCCCAAGGTCACGTGACCCCCGAGGTCGTGACCCCTTCCAAGGTCATCTCAAGGTCACGTGACCCCAAGGTGACCCCCACGTGACCCCCAGGTCACGTGACCCCTCTGAGGTCACGTGACCCCCCGAGGTCACGTGACCCCCAAGGTCACGTGGGGGTCACCTTGGGGGTCACGTGACCTTGAGGTGACCCCCAGGTCACGCCTCCCCGAGGTCACGTGACCCCCTCCCCGAAGTCACGTGACCCCCCCCCCCCCCCCCCGAGGTCACGTGACCCCCCCCCCGGAGCATATTAAAGAATGAGGGGGGGAGGAGGAGGAGAAGGGGGAGGGGTCTACCCTCCCCTCAGTACCCTTCACTCCTCCTCCTCAAGAGCTGCGCTCCAATTCGGCGTTACAGGGATTTGTAAACGGCTTTCACTTTTTTTTAGCATTATGGTCAAGTACTTTCCGCGCTTGTTAGCAACATTTTGCGGTGGCGAAAGAATAGATGGGGCCATGACACCCAAGCCAGCGTCGTCCGAAAACGCAATTCATTGAGACGAGATGAGAGGCACAAGTCCACAACTGCAAAATGGCAAATGAACGAAGCAAAATGGTGACAATGATAACGATAATGACGCGCAGCCAGAGAAAAAAAAAACTTTCAGCCTTTCCGCTTTGATGAAGAAGGAAGACCAGCGAAGCTGTACTATGATGGGACGACCTCAAGCACGACTTCTCGAACGACCTCACAGACGACATCTAGGACGATCTCAAGGACGACTTTTAGGACGACTTCGAGGACAACCTCAGGGACGACATCTAGGATGACCTCAGGGATGAAGTCTAGGACGACCTCAAAGACAATTTCAAGGACGACTTCGAGGACGACTTCTAGGACGACCTGAAGTACAACATCTACGACGGCCTCAAGGATGACTTCTAGGACGACCTCTAGGATGACCTGAAGAATGACTTCTAGGACAACCACAAAGACAACCTCCAGGATGCATCTAGGACGACCTCAAGGACAACTTCTAGGACGCCCTCTAGGACGACGCCTAGAGAAATTCAGTTTTTCCACTCTAGTGAAAACCAGAGTGGAAAGGCTGGAAAGGTTACCGCCATCTATGAGCGAGGCCGGCAAGCCGGTTGTCGGGTTGCCGCCGTCGCTCATAGATGGCGGTAGCTGTCCAGAGTTTTGTGTCGACATTTCTTTGTAGGGGACATGATTCTCGGGAAATTAGCCCTTAACAGCTCCGCTGTACAAAAAGTCGTAGCTACTTAGCAGTAATCAAGTAGCGCGGCCAAACCCGGAGCCGTATATTGGGAGAGTTTGGCCAGTGAGTGTGGCGACAAAGGCGCCGGAGAGGAGAAAAGTAAATGAAAGGGAGGAGAGCGCCGAAGGAGCGAGAGAGAAAGAAAGGAGCAGAGAAGAGACGGCCGCCATTTTTTCGCAACGCTGTCGGAGACTGGTCGGAGAAGAGCACTGCTGAGGCTATGCGTCGTCTGCTACGGGTCGACTACTTTTTCGCCTGAATAAAAGTTGGTGGCCCTACGCCGAAAAATCCTGATTTATTAGCTTTTTAACCCATCAAGGAATAACAGTATGTCATTTTCTTGCCAGAGCCAGCAATATAAAAGGAAATAATAGAGATTTAGATGCCGATCCCACGTATTCCGCCGGGAGAATGAACGAAAATGGCGGCCCTCCCCACTCCACTGGGAGCAGCCAGGAGTTCACGCACATGCGCTCACGCCTCTCGCTCTGCGCCGCGTGCTGAATGGCTCACTCGGGAGGAGAGCGTTACGGCGGCGAGATCATAGACTGACCAAACTCTCCCCATATACGGCTCTGGCCAAACCAAGTCAATCCATGTGCAGCCAACATAGTATCTAAAGGTGTTTCCCGCTAATCGCTCGCGATGATTTTATCAGAAAAATCAAATTTTCAGACTTCAAGCTGTCTGAAACATTGGTCATTAATATATGCACTATTTCTATCACGGTTCCTCCTTCAGGTCTGAAAAAACAAATGAGTCTAAATCATTGGCGTACGAAAAATCGGTCAGCTGATATGCGACACGGCGTCCGACGCAGGAGAGACCCCCACCACCGACAAAAAAACTTGGGGGATGCCTAAGCTTCGCCTTAAAGGGTGGAAAGCGATACAGTCAAACCCCGATATATTGAATTCAAAGGGTATCGTAAAATAGTTCAATATATCAATAATTTGATATACAAAACTATGTTAAATTAAGCTTGAGTTGAAATTTCCTGCCGCCTCTGCTAATACCAAAGGTCGCGACAAACGGGAGCTTACCAAATAGAGCATCCAAGAGCCGCTAAATACAGTAGAGCATAGCTGGCGGAGACAGAAAACATTGCCGCACTAACACATGCGCCTGGCTGGGACCTTCACACAGCATAAGCGACAAAACTCGAAAACAATGGAAAAAAAGAAAAACGGAAAAGTAAGAAGCATAAAAAAAATCTCTTGATCCATAGAAAAAAGTTAAAAAGGCAACAAAAAGAAAGCTCACTAAATTCAAGCAGCAAAAAAAAGAAAAAAAGAAAGGAAAAAAAAAAAGCGGCCAGAGCAATAACAACAAAAGGAAAAGGTAAACAAAAATAAGGCGTTCAAAGTGCGATTGCACTACCGTTATGGTCAACACACTCAACCTGCCGAAGACTTTTCTTTTCGCTTATTTTATTTTTGGGCTAGGGAGTCGTGCAGTGTTCGGGGAGGTGCAAGCTACTGTTCCAACAGCGGACACTCCCTACTTTCCCTATGCACGCACGCAAGTGCCTTTCCCCTTACTCTTGCCATCCTCCACTTTTTACAGCGAAGCTGTTATGTGCTAAAAGCCAGAAAAAAATGTGTTCATGGATTTTAACCAAAAAGTCCCGTTTAAACGGCACTCCTTTGTTGCGATTGGTCGTGGTAAGTGTAAATAAGAAGCATATTAGGACCTCACTATTTAATAATGACAAGGAAGGCTGACCCGCATTGGTCAGCCTTCCTTGACAATATTAGATAGTGAGGTCCTAATCCCTTGTTATCATCTACAGTCACACTTATCTCAGCTGAGAGTGCACTCTGCAGAACTGAGGACAGAACACGAGGACCTAACCTTCTTTTCTTTCCCTTCTGCGATGCTGATAAAGAGACTTTTGGTCTTTATCAGCATCGCTGATAAAGAGCCCAAGTCGCTGTAAAATCTAAAATAGTCATATACCAACACGTATACGTATACCAACGACCAACAACAGAATGTGTATCGACCTCACGTTTAGGAAGAACATATCCGAATTCAAAATACAACCAATGGCGGTTTACCATAGTGACCATAAGGCAATGATCACTTTAGTTACTAAGAATTAAACAAAGACAATTAAACAACGAAGTTGTGTATGTGTCTTCATTGCAATCCTATGTAAATCGTATAGATGTCTTATACCTACTTCAAGTTGTTGTAAAATTGTCGTAAAGACAACAGCTTCGCTGGTCCTCCAACTCCACGTGAAGTAGATAGGCTCTACAATTTCTTTTTTTACACTTCATTGTCTCTCCCTTCTTACAACTGCTCTTTCGCTGCATATGCATGCTGGCTTGGCAGTCTTCCAGCCTCACAACCAACGCAAGCTATGTGTTTGCCTGCTCACCACCGACGCAATCGGATCACTGGAAAAGCAACGGGCAGCTGGGCTTCGTTCGCTATATCGAGTGTTTCCGCCTTGGGACTTTGATACAAAAAGACAACGCTCTTATACTATTACATGTGATTTTCATGGGGATGTTTGGACTGTTTGATATAAACAATAATTCGAAATACCCCAGTGTGATATAACAAGGCTTGACTGTAGTATTATCGGGTCCCGTTCGCAAAACTTCTCATAAACGCGTGCTCATTGCCAAGCCGTGCAAGCGTGTGTGCGTGGTTTAGTCGGCAGCGTCACATGTCGCCAGACGTGGCTGCGACGTCATGACCCCATTGACCCGCCAAATTTGTCGAAAAACTTTTCCGCTAAATTTGGCAGAAAAATTTTAAGCTAAATTTAGTGGGAAAATTTTTCACTAAATTCGGCAGAAAATTTTTTAGTAAATTTGGTGAGAAAACATTTTATTAAATTTGGTAAGAAAACTTTCTGGGAAAATTTAGTGGGCAAATTTCAAAACGCAACGTGTGCAGCCACGTGTGACATCACGTGTGACACACATGACTGCGAATGTTGCACTATGGGATTTTTTGGTCCCACCGATGCTGACGCAGGATTTTCTGCAATGTGAACTCCTCAACGCTATCGCGTTAAACGAAAAGGCTCACCTCAATCTGGGCCGTGTGTGAGGCGTAGTACTGGAGGGCCTGGGCCGTCTTGCAGTCTGGGCTCTCATGGGGCTTGAGCAGGGCGGCCAGGTCCCGGTTGTGCTGGGCCAGCTGGTGGCAGAGGATGTAGATGTTGTGGCCCACCTCCTTTGGGGACACGCCCACACCCCCGTCCGGGCCCTCCCTCCCCTCCTCCTCTTCTTCCTCCTCGTCGTCCTCCTCGTCCTGGTGGTAGGCATTGCAGGCCACCTCCACCAGCTGCCGGGGACTCATGTTGAACAGGATGCGCTCCGCATTCTCACTGTCCCCCCGGCTCTCCATGATGGCCAGCAGCAGCTTGCTTGCGTTGTTCTGCGGGCAAGGAAAGCGGCTCAGACGGGCTCTCGGGGCGTAGCGGCGGGGTCGGTTTGAGCGAGCGAGAGGCGCGGAAGCGAGACCGCGGGTTGGGGGATGCGAGATGTCTCGAGATCGGTCCACACATTTGCACTCGAGTGTGCTCAATCATGTTGCATTCCCTCGTAAGCACACACTGAAGCCGTCTATGAGGGAAGCCCCAAGACTCTTCCAGTCTCCGTATAGCTACTGAAGGTTTCGCAGTATCTTCCAGATCAAATCCACATACTATCTAAGAGAAATGGTTGCTAATAACATTGTTAAAATTACTTCGAGTCCGGGGTAAAAGATTTGTGCATAAAAAAAATGATAAAAATATATACATACGTTGAAACGATTTCAGGGCTATTTGATAGATGGTGCCAGTCTCTCCTTTTTTAGAAGCTTTGGCAAGGTGGCCCGAGCCGCCACCCAATTAAAAGGGTTCAGCCGTATCCACCCATCCATCCATCTATTTGTCATAAGTGGTCGCCAGGAGATGCAACGTGCCTGAGCACGCTCAAACGCAAATGTGCGAAACAGCCCTTGAACTCGAGGGGGGAAGGAGAAGGACACGGACAAAACAAAAGCTGGCGACACAAAAGAGAAAAAGCATGTACAAACTATAAAAAACATATATTACGTACCGGCCCTTTAGTCAATGCTACAAGAGTACCCTGGTCGCAGTTTTGTTTGTTTCCGGTTTGCGTATAACTTCCAAAAAGAAGCCTCCCGGAAGGCACGTAGCCGCAGCTGACATTTATTGTATCTATTTGAATATCAATGCTGTTGTTTGTTTTCGGCACCGTCCTTTAAATTTAGGGGTCAACTCATAATTGGCACCAAAGAAGGTCACGCTACAATAGTGAGTGCAATTTCTGATTCTATCAAACTCTGAGATGTTTCTTCACGTCGACCGCTTCTTGGAACGAACCGACACAAATTGGTGAAGCTCCACATGAGCAGCATGGCAGGAGTGTTGCAGCACAAAGGTGCATTGCTGATTGTTCTGGACATTCGGACGAAGATGTCGCTAATGCAATATCGCGAGTGACTCTTAGCTAGGGTGACCAGGGACTCTGTGAACTTAATCTTTGCAGTAATCTCCTCCTGTTCTACTATCTAAAAATCGGAGCTAACCAATATTAAAGTATGTTTGTATTATTCTCAGCAAATTTTCTAGGATAGGGTTCAACTTACGTTTGAGTAAATAAGGTTAGCTAAAAGACTTGGTTAGCATCTTCAGGGATTCGGCTTGGAGCCGAGTTTCCCAACAAAACATTGAAGGGGAAGTTCTTCCTAACAGCTGCAACCACCATCAGGTTTTTCGTTACTTTCACCTCGACAATCACTGTCAAAATTGTAGTATTGAGTCACGGCTTCCTGTTTTTACTGTTATATTTTACCGTCATAAAAGAACCCTTTGTGCAATGACCTGAGGTGGAAGACTTTAGGAGCTAAAAACAAATCAATGAGTCGATTAATGCCCACACCCAACACAGAACGCAGACTCGTGCACTCACCTTGAGTTCAAGCACCAGATCCATGCGCTTCTTCCCCAAGGGGTTGATATCATTGAGCACAAGGGCAATGATGATGTCGATCCCATTGCTCTCGTGCATGGCAATGCAGTTCTGCAGTGTAAAAAATGGTATAGTTTCTGAACAGGCAGGCACAGAGGTGCAGTCACAAAACAGCAGAGACGGAAGAAAATTAGTAGGATGCGTTAAAGTAGAGAAAAGTACAATCATCAAAAATTAAAGTGAAGCTGGGTATACTTTTGAAACAGTTAGCATGCATTTCACACTTGAGACTATTGGCCCCCCTCGCTAACAGGACAGCACTGTGTCAGTGTCCCCTGGTGAGGAGCAGCCTCAAATCTCTCACCTCAGCGGCATCCAACTGACGCTCTGTGGGTGGCCAGTAAGTGCTGGAAACTTACCGAGCAATAAATAACTTGTGGCCACTTGCACACCAGCACTTCCATTCGAGATGACTGTACACTTACAAACTGCCAAACCATTCACATTGCAAAAAATTGAGAGTGAGGAACCAAGAAATGTGCAAAACGAACAAAAGGTGAAAGCTTTTCGTATTTTTTGTTTCCTCATCTTGGATTTTTCGCAATATTGAACATTTACCCATCACTTCACCATTATTTTTACCACACTGAACCACACAGGTTTGGGACCCTTCAAATGATGCCTTTTCTAAATGCCTTTGAAGATGACCGCGCTAAAATGCTGGCAAACCAATTTAACTCCCAAACCCATGGCCGAGACAATTTCTGCAAACGCGTCATCCGAGACATACCCTTTGGGAACGGCAATGCTTGGCATAATGAGAAAAGCCCAAGCCGAGAGCCCATTTCTCAAATAAAAACAAAATTAAAGGGCTTGTGAAAGAATCTTTCTATACCTGGTTCTCATGGCAGGGTCCTTGGCAGTATTCCGTCAGGGTTTCCAACGTCTGGTTCACAAGGTCGACGTTGTGCTCGTTTATGTACAGACCCAGTAGGCCCAGGCCACCCGTGGTACTTCCACAGAGGCAGTCCAGGAACAGCAGCGTTTCGGACACCAAGTTGTAGTTGTTCTTATTGCACTGGTTCCGCAGGAAGTCCTGTTGGAGGGGAACAAGCGAACTATTTAGACAACATCCTCAGGTCTTTTAACAAAAACTTTCAGCCTTTCCACTCTGGTCAAGAAGGAAGAGCAGCGGAGCTATACTATGTGCCACCCTCTATGAGTGACGGCGGCAACCAGACAACTGGCAAGCCGAGTGTCTGGTACCCGCCATCGCTCATAGATGGCGGTAGCTCTCCAGAGGGTTGTGTCAAGATTTATTTGTCCACGGACATGAAACTAAGCAAACTAGCCCTTAACAGCTCCGCGAAAAAAAAAAAAAAAAAAAAAATGTTGTTTGTTGCATTTTTGATAAGCAGAGTGGTAGCCTTGTAACTGAAGAGTACAGTAAACTTTCATTAATTCAACCTCTAGGAAGCCACGAATTTTTTTAATTATTGCAAGTTTGAATTACCAGAAATTCATCTAAATATGATGCAAAATAAAAAAAAACTATGATTTGTTATATGGACGGCTACACACACAAAGAAGATATCCTATGATTTCCTCTACACAGGCCCATACTCCGTTTCGCGGTAACTTGACAAACTGTGGAGGCTGCAGCCCCCGCGACCCAATAAGAGCGTCGGAGCAAGGCACGTGACAACACTCCATGGTCGAGGCCACGGAGGCCTCGTTACTGCCACAACAGCAGTGCCGTCTGCAACAAAAGTCAGTTCTAGGCTTTTTTTTCTTTTCACAGCAATTGAAGTTCCACAATTGCATCTCTATCAACACGACACAGAAGAAAGATGAAGGCATGTTACTTTTCAACTATACTTAGTTTGGATCAACCCTTTTCCGAGAACAACGTGGCTTTTGAATGATGCTTGAACGATCACAGCCTTGTAATCGACCGCTTCCGCTCAAAAAGGTGCCCCAGCACTAGCATCTGCCACAGATTTGTAGGTAAATTGATTGTATGGTTGTCTCATGAACTGTTCCAGAAGAGACTGCCAGTTAATGGACGGCAATGTTGCGGTAGTGGACGTTCATCCAAAGTTGGTGGGTTTCACAGCAGATGACTCTTGGCTAGCAGATGACAGTCGATTCTTCTGGGCCTCGCACTTGGCGCAGTGACACAAACGCTCCTGGGACAGGTGACACATGCCTCGCACCAATGCTCTTATTGGGTTGCAGGGCTGTAGCCTCCACAGTTCGCCAAGTTAAAGCCCGTTCACACTCTTGCGACCTCTTAAACCTGGGTTCCTTAAAACTTTTTAAGCCAGAAAACACACTGGCGCCATCTATTGGGAAGCAGTGTAAACTCGGCGGTCCGGCATATTTTTTTTTTATTTCTCGCACATTATCCTTTCTTTCTTGGCTTGAAAAACTTTTGTCAATGTTATAAACAAGCCTTTCTATGGGTATTACGCACATTTGACCTCGGAAATCCCGCAAAACCTTCGCTCTTGTGAAATGCAGTTCCAGGGTCACTGCATAGATGGCGCCACAATGCCAGTGTGTTCCCTCATTCTAAAAACATTTCTAACAAGTTTTAAGAGATCTCGTCTCTCTCAGTCGTACTCGGTCGCAAGAGTGTGAACGGGCCTTTATTGTTAAACGGAGTATACTACAGTGAAACCCGTTTAGAATGAACCCACTTACAGCAAATTATTGTCAATATCGAACTCACGAAAACTTTAAATAAAAATGCATGTAAAAAATACCTTTTATAACGAACAACATATTGGCTATATCAAACTCTTTCCCCCGGGAAGGCTTCCAAAAACGCACAAGCAAACGTCTTCTAGCCTGTCTCCCCCCCCCCCCCTCCCCCCCGCGAAAAAAAGTAGGAAAGAAAGATTCCAAAAGCTCAAGTTGCAAACAAAATTGAGCGAAGAGAAGCAATTCAAAAGGGGAGAAAGCTAAAAAAAAATTACTGCATTTCCGCGTGGTGAATGATGTTGATTGGGGCGAAGCTCTGGTGGTGCAGATGTTACTGATTTTGTTCATAGGTAGTGCTAATGGTGCTGATTTTTTAAAAATTTTTATTGCTCATAGGTAGTGTTGAGTTCCGGGTTGCGTTTCGACTCCATTAGCCAATGCATGCAAAGTTTAACGCGATTATATACGCATTTGACCACAGCGCCCTCTCCTGTATAGATGTTGAGCAGCTACATGCAACGTTTCATCCATGACATCCCCAGCTCTTGAGTTACTACCATATCTCAGAGCCCCCTACTCGTCCCGCAGTCATGGCTGAGTGGTTAAGGCGATGGACTAGAAATCCATTGGGTCTCCCCGCACAGGTTCGAATCCTGTCGACTGCGCAAATATTTTTTCTTTTTTTAAGAAGACAGATTGCATGGCAATCGATGTGAGCACGGACGCCGGACAAGGCTAGACCCTAAGGAGCTTTGCCCCTAAAAAATTAAGTTTGTTCTTCAGGCAAAAAAAGTTGTCTATTGTGGACCATTAGCCCCGTTGAGCACAATTTTTACCAGGCACCAGTGCATTGCAGAGAAGCAACACCTGCGAAAGCGAGCTTTGCGGGAGTTGCTTCTCTGCAGTGCACTCGTGCTCTGAAAGAAGCGCACTCAACGAGGCCACGAGAACAAAAATTATGAATTACACGAAAACGCCATTCGAATTGAGCGGCTTATAAATACATCACAAACATAGCAGGACAACCAAACTTTTAAGATTTGTTTGAATTAACAATAAGTATAAAATATTCGAGCTTGAATTATCGCGAGCCTACCACGTAACTGGCACCTGTTGGTCAAAATCCAAGCTCGAAAGGAGACCTCGCTCGCTGATTAACAGTCACAAGGCAAGCAAGAGTGAAACAATCAGGTGCTGGACAGAGAAGGGGTATGAAAGATACACAACAAATTTCGAGAAACAAAGTGGTTTTTGGGAATCATTCTATTAATATGCTTGTTTAACGCAAATTGTTTGAGGTGAAGGTCCGCAATGGAAGAAGAGAGCGAACCTTGTCTGAACAAGGTTAGACAAGGCAGCAAAAGCTTGCTCAGGCTTCGCACATCTCCCGGCTGGGGCACTGCCGGTTAAGGGGCCTCTCCGCAGGCGTGCGTGGCCTTGTAAGCGTGTGCACAAGCAAGGGTGGATCCTCGAGTGGTTTTCGTTGGCTTCCCACTACCCCAGACGTGTTGCACCATCCCACAGCGTTTGTCAGAAATGCAAGGCAGTGCATTCTGCACCCTGGCTCCCCCCGAGGCAGTGCCATTCCGATACCTCTTTTCTTCCACCGTGCGGATGTCTTTCACCGCAAGCTGCGTCACCATTGCGTAGGTAGCCTAGCGACAAACGCCCCCTCCCCACCCCCAAGCCCCCAAGGTCAACTTTTTTTTAATTAAAAAATTGATATACACCAGCCAAACGTTTAGTTCTTGGTGACATAGCAAATATTGGGACAACAAATTCGACCCGGGCAAAGTCTTGGCCGTAACGTCATACCTCAGCACTCCTCCACCAGCCAAATGCCTACCACCTAGCCCCAAGCCTGGCCCATAAATCTGCCCCTGGCAACAACGATGGTGACCAACTCGTCTCCAGAGCAAGCCATTCACAGTGCGAACTTTTTTCTGGCGCTCGCACCTGCAGGCTTCGGTTGTGGTTCTCGCAGAGCAGCTGCAGGAAGCGCAGCACAGGCAGCATCACCAGGACCTCGGCGGCCAGCCGGGGCTCCTGGGGCTTCTCTCCCTCCTCGCTCGGTGACACGGGGCTGCCACCTTCGGCGATAAGGGTGTTTACAGGTCACTCCAAAGCGGGGGGGGGGAGGGTGAAGACAGGAGCAGAGCGCGACACATTGTAAGCGCCGACATCGGTGATCCTGAGAGAAAAAGGAGAGTAACAAAAAAGCCAAGAAAGAAACCAGACAATGGGTTTGACGTCTTGCCACAAGTAGTGAAGTTGTTAGTGTGCTTGCCAGCTTTATTAATGCGAAAGCATTAACTGTCCCATGGAGCGAGCCGACATCATCAGCTTTGAAGCCGCACCAAACAGCACCTTAAATCCTTTCTCCAAGCGAAGTCAGCTGCAACTATGAAACCACGCAAAGAGCCTAGACAACAACACCTAGGTAGTTTCCCCGATCCGAAAAGAGCAGAGTAAAGCTGATGAATTTCTACTTCGGTCCCATTGGCTGGCGCGCGTCGATGAGGCTCCTACTGGCCGCTGCGCATCAGTTTCAACGACCACCACCCCATGGCGCTGCGTGTCCGCGAGGCAGCGGTTCCACCGCTCCACACCAAAGGTCAGCATGTCGAGGACGGCGCGCGGGCTCGATTGTTGACGCAAGTGTACCGCAGACGAAAGAAGAGAGCGGAAGAGTGGCGTGCATGCTTTCGCATTCACAACTTACGAGAAGTGCTTAGGTGTACCTCGAGCCTTTTTTGTTTCTTTTATACAAGACGTGGCACCGTTATTTTCGCACAAAATGAAGCTAGGAAACAACTAGGTACAGATCTTTCGGTATGGTTTGCTGCTTCTTTCTGTATAATAAAGCGTCACCAGCAATGTGGGCCACTCGGGACCACTGATGTCCGTATGTATACACCCCCTCCCCCTCCCCCACCCTGTATACTTGGGAGAATGACCCGGTATTGATAAGAGATGGAATAGAGATAAGGGGCGTAGTGCCCAAAGAAACAAGCAGCCCTGCCGACAGCTCGATGTGGACTGTATTTCCGGTGACCGCAAAATAAAACTGTAGACAGAGGTTATTTTTTGTGTGAAGCTAGGAGATATTTTTTATAGGGGTATGCGAATACTGCATAGTAGGTATTGAATCAAACGCCGAATCGAATTAAGAAAGAAAAGCCGAATACTGTCGAGACCGGTTATAACGAAGTCAACGGGAATCAGAAATCACTTTGCCATATCCGCTATTTCGTTATAACCGACTTCGGTTATAGAGAAGGCAAAAGGGAATGGGAAATCGTGATCGCTTCGCTGTAGCCGCTATTTCGTTATAACCTACTTCGTTATAACCGGTCTCGACAGTACTGAATCGAATATCGAATAGTGATTATATCTGTAGGGATTTTTCAAAGTGTGCTGTGAATGAGAATATTATATGTGCAGAGTATGCGCTTGGTGCAGAATATGCATCTCATATGGAACAAAGGCTCAAATGTATACAAGTTCTGGTGCAAAACAAAGAAAAAAAAGCAGCTGCTGATGGACGTGGAGCACTAAAGATTTAATTTTATGGGGCAAACATAATTTATCTATCCTAAGCGTCTCAAAAAAACCAAAAATACAGCCACGCAAGCTTTTTTTTTTTTAAAGCACAATTTTACAATGCGACATGCCCTTTTCTTTTCTTTTTTTTTTATATCTGTATATTATAGAAAAGGAGTATTTTGCAATATTTAGTCCCAATTTTAAGGGTGAAAAAAGGCATGTGGGAGTTTATTTTATATAAGCAAACAGATAGGTGCTAAATCTGAGTAGAACAGGCCTAAACAGTATACTAATCAGAAGAAAATACACGTGGTTAGGTGGCACGAGCCACCGTCCAACAGCCACTATGCATCCATTCCTCTGGCCATCTATCCCGTTTTAGAGAGCCTAGATTTAAAAAAGAGAGCAAGCGAAACTGAAACCATGGAGACTGCTCCTACGCAGATTAGACGTCAGTGCGCGTGTGTTGTGTTGTCGCACAGAAAGAAGGCGAGCAAACGGAAGAGCAACGACACCTGCCCGATCGACGCTTTTGTCTTTTCGTCACCTTCTCACAGTTCATATTTCAAACACAGCTATCGAACGGTTGGAAACCCTCTCAAATCTAGGCACACTACTTTTCCTTTCCGTTTTCAAACTTGCGGCTTTCAGTTCCAAAACGATGACGACAACGCGGCAGGTTTCGTTGGCATGGTTAACGTGGTTTTATTTTTGTGATCTTGCAGTCGCCGATTTCTGTTTGTGTGGCTAGTGTGTTGTACATCGACACTTCAGTTTGAAACGATGGGCTTTACTCGTGAAAATAACTAGAAAAGCGGCGCAAACGAGATGTTTCGGTTGTGATTCAAGGTTTGATTGTGTTACGATTGTGATTAAATTATTGTGCTACAAAGCTTGTGGCTTTCGTAACTTTTCTTTTTTCTAACCTGTGCGTTAAATTTTTGTGGAATGGTAGGACCAAGAGGTGTTTCTCGCATGATCTCTCTAACATCAACGTGCTAACATCAGTAGAAAAAAACGTCTCTTTCGTCAGCTCTGTGCCGACCGCGCATCTTTGGCCGAACATATCGAATATTCAAGTGACCAAATACTGGGAATTCGGTTTGAGTTTGTATATCCGAGTCTTCGCACACCCCTAATTTTTTATTCTAGGACAGTTCCAATTCCAGCTTTCAATTTTCACACAATTTGATAAAACCGGCTCGAGGGTCATTTATTGGGGTTTATCGGTACTTACTGAAAACATGACACTTAATTACTGTCACTCTGTAGCTATACTGATGCTTATCACTGTTTCTAATCATTGCCAACTTTTACCCAAAAAAACGCAGGAGGTGCATTTTCGACCATCCCGCTTTCTAAATTAAACGGCCCTCAACAAAGCAAACTGATATCACCACTGCTCTAACACCACATAAAAACCTTGGGAAAATTTCCCTTCAGGAGCTGCAACTAACGGTGCTTGTATTGCCCTAGGCAGTAAAACAGCAGCGCCCACGGGCAATTGGCATGTAAGCCGACACCACGAGCACCACACACGAGCGATTCGAGGCTGTCGACCATTGTGGGTGCCAGATGATCAACTCACTCGCCGGATCGCTGCTCAGCCCCCCAACGGTAGAACGCACATGGGCGTATGCTTTGCCCGTCACCTGGGCCGCATCCTCCAGTTGTGCCCGCAGTTCTTCCGACACCAGAAGACAGCCCTTGCTGCCTGCACAGGAGAAAGAACCATCTCTTAAATCCCGAGTCCCCCCTGCCCCACGGCGAACTGCCCGACGCACCCCTGGGCCGACCGCGGTTCTCTCGCAGGGTGTCCTTGCGGCCCAGGTCCTTCTCCTCGGAGGTCGCTCGGGCGGCCATGTCCGAGGTGCTGACCGTCACCGTCGACTTTATCTCCTGCTGGGCCGCCTTCAGCTTCTCATAGAAGACCCTGAAGAACTTCTCGGCATTGCTGCCTGAAGTCAGCTTGGCATGGATCGACCTCTGCAAAGGCCGGTCAAGAAGAGGCATTGGAAATGAATGCTTTCAATGCGCATGCATCCTCAAAACTACAGCAAAGTTTGTAAAATGCTGGTCGTGCACAGAAATCTGGATTAGGATTGTGGCAATAGACCCGTTGCAAAAATCCCAAAAGCCCACACGCGCCGCACGACGAATAATGGGAATCCTCGGTATGCCCCTCCTCCCGCTACCACACGACCACATGGCATACACGAGCAGGTGCAGGTTACCACGGCAACAACTTTTGAGCAGCCGAGTTGGGCGAGCAACGAGCCAATGGCTGCTCCTTTCTCATCCCTCTCCTTTGGACCGGCTCTGTCATCTGCTGCACCAACGCTTTGTCGAACCTGGTCGAAACCTGCCACGGTTGCGGTGCACACTAAATGGATTCAAACCCACTTCAATACGTTAAGGTAAGTTACAATGAATAACGTATTGCAATAAGTTCACCTGTCACGATGCCTTCACGCTGCCACAGATACGGTACGCCCCCAACGACATAAGACTCGGCGGATGGGCGGGATGGCAGATGGCTGCAACGGCTGCTGGCGGTAGCTGCTTGGACGCACGCACAGTCACGGAGGCACAACGAGAAAGCGCGTGATCTGTACCGAGGGTTCCCAAAATTTCCTGCCATTGTGGCACAGTACGTTTTGCAAAGGGTCTAAGACCGATCTCACCAGCAAGTTTTGCTACGCCGCTGCTTTTGCAAAGCAATTGCGGGACCTTAAGTCTCTGCGTGGCAGGGCTGGTGCAGTCGCGGGCAGAGACGCGGTGGAGATTTGGCTGACAGCCAGCCTCGCACGAATGGTGTCGTTCCATCGGATTGTTATTCTTTTGATCCGCTGTCATGGCGGGTTTCACATGCTGCGTCCCTGGCTGCAGCAACGACAGCACCAGACGCAAGGGTGTTGAATGTCACAGCTTTCCAAAGGACCGGCAGTAGGAGTAGAGAATTGATTGTCAAAGTTTGCCGAGCTGGCAGTAAGGGACGGTAAGCGAGTCTTCGCTTGTTCGAGAAAGCTAGGTAATCGACGTTGTGCGCGAAAACAAACTCGCGCAAATTCTAATTTTTCTGTTGTCAAGAATGGGACAAAACTGACTACCCACGGAGTTACGCCTAGGATGGAGGTGTGATCGTGCTTGCCTCCAACCGTGTTTGAGTCCCAATAATGTGCAGCACCTCGTGTTCGGCACTCATTCATTAAACACACAACCTGTCTTTACCGGTAGCTTTCCACAAAATTGTTTTCTAAGATTAAAGTGTTTTCAAGTTCGTGCCCATGACTGGTCACACAAACTTTTTTATAGCCTTTGCTAGCTTGCCGAGTGCACGCAGGTAAGTGGTATAAATGCCTCAGGCGTAGAGACCTAAGGACAAGGCTGGCAAGCTGGTACCACCAAATGTTTTAAAATTTGGATCGAAGGTGCAAGCAACGAACAAAACATGACAAACTAACATTGTTGAAGCACATTTTTAATCTGTAAACTAATGCCTCGTTTACAAAATACCCCAGAAATTTTTGCTAGAGTAGAAAGCCAAATTATGAAGAATAGAAAACAAGCTGTGCAATGTGAAATGCACCACACAGTAGAAACAAAGTGATCTGAATGTCCATGAGGGCAAACGTTGTTCAGCATGTTTGTCAAAAAACAATCCAAGAATTTAATTTGCAAGAGCTTACACTAAACACTAGCCTTATCTTTAACAAACAGTCCTGATGGAGCTTTCAAATTACACCAACAAATTTTGGGCACAAAACACTGTGCAACATTGATTGTTCCTTCCTGAGGCGTGTTTATGAACGAAACTACACACAAATGCAAAGAAAACCCACCACTAACATGCATGCCTACGAACAACCTCACGGCTCAAAAAGGGACTAAAGGACACATGCAAAGGAAAAAAACATTTTTTTTTAAACAGCGTAGATGGAAAAAGAATGTCATAAAATGATTTTACAACGAAGAAAAACAATTTTTAGAGCTATATTTACGGCGCTATACGAATTTGTAGTTGCCGCCCGCGAGAGCCGCCGCTGGTCACGTGGTAGGCCCGTGCGCCGCTGCGCTGCGTCGCCACCGCCGCAAAGTCACGCGCCGCCGCACGCTGAGCGTTGTGCAAACGCCGCTTCAACGCGTTTCTCCACGCCGCCGTCGCTGCCGCCGCACAAGTTTGTCTGCTTCGGGGCGCCGCCGCCGTCGTCTGACCAGTGCACAGGTCTATCACGTCTGCTCGCGCTTTTTCAGGAGTTTCCTTTGGGCTCTAAAAGTTACCTATTAATCTTACTTTCTTGTTATACTTCAAACAAAGATGAATAAGTTACTTTTAGACGCCAAACGAAGCTTCCGAAAGAGCGCAAGCGCCACGTGATAAATAAGGGCCAGTCACGTGATAAATAAGGGCCACTTTTCTGCGGCGCCGGCGGGCGCCAACTACAAATTCGTATAGCACCGTAAATATAGCTCTAAAAATTTTTTTTCTTCGTTGTAATATTGTTTTATGACATCTTTTTTCCATCTAAGCTGTTTAAAAAAATGTTTTTTTTTTCCTTTGCATGTGTCCTTTAAGAGGGGACACTACCCAAAAAAGTGAATTTTTGAACCACTTGTCTGATTTAAATGACATTTACAGGGCTTGTTTCTGTTGATGTTGAGAACATTTCTGCCAAATTTTGTTAACCTGGGTGAAGTACAACAAAAATTGCAAATGTTTAAAGATGAAAGTGGGTGTGTCTGCATAGGAATACTATCGTTTTGAAAATACTTATAAATTTTGTCATTTTTATGTGTTATATTGCTTTAGGACAGTTCAGAGCAGATAGCTATGGAGCTATATTTCTATATTATACCATCTTTCATAACAAAAAAGGCACATACACTCAAATACTGTTTTTTAGATTTCCATTCTTTGTCCAAAATTTTCATTCCTGAGCATGAAAATATTACAAAAATAAAAAATACAAGCTCATAGCGATCTTTCCCTTTAAATGTCACTCTAGAAGAACTCATAAAAACAAATCCAAGTTATGTAATAACAAAACGATAGTTTTCCTAAAGTGAAATTTATGCCAAAAAGTGGAACGGAGAAAAATGTGTTCAAAGTGTTCCAACCCTTGCCTTTTCTTTAGCATCGGAGGACCGAAAATAATTTATAAAAATTAACTATGCAGTGTAAACTAATGAAACTTTCTGGGAATACTCTCTAGGTGTAGGTGGATGTAAATGGTATGACATTTTTTAAAATCAACTTTTTTTGCCGAAATTGTTTTTTCTGGGTGGTGTCCCCCCAAAGGGGAACTGACGCATCAAAATCATATATTTTCTTTATTATGTGAAACGAGTGAAAACTATACCCGGACATCACCCTCAAAATTTTAAACTTGGGAATTCAGTATTTGTGAAGTAAAAAAAGAATTTCCAAATGCCGAGATCGTCGCGGACGACAGTGAGATCATCCGTGACGACGACATTTAAATCGCTGGAGCTGGTCGTTGATGGGTCAAAGTCAAAACGACCAACTTCCAACATCCTTTGATAACAATAACTCTCATTGCTGCTACGATCAGTGTAAAAGATACCAATGTATCATTAAGACGAGTTTTGGGTTGCCTTATATCTAAGAGTACAAGCTCATCGAGTTCTACGGTCAGGAACATGTAGCGGCATCCTCCGCAAACCTAAGAAGTAGAAGACACTGCTGCCGGGCAAGAGCCAAGTGTGCACGCTTAAAAACCCAACCACACGGGACGTTTTCACACGCTTCGTCCGCGTCAATGTCACCTCGCGTCGGTGCACATCACTCTGTGCCGGTATCTGCCCAGGCGAAATTCCGGCATCGGCCCACACATCGCATCATTGTGGGTGGCCTCGTGCGACGCGCGCCAACGCCGACACAGCGCATGAAAAAACGCCCCGTGTCGGGATTTTTTTCGTCGTCACGGGGCAGTGCACGCGCAAGCGCACGTGGAATGGAGTGCTCTGCCTGGCACATTGCCGACGTCACAAATTCAGCTAGGAAGTCCCCGTAACAGCGATCGCCGCAAAAGGAGGAAACCCGCTCCTTAGTGCGCACCTGTATGACGGGGTTTCCGCCCCGCAGCAGGGCGATGCCCAGTTCGACACTCTCGAGGAAGATGGACAGGTTGGGACTCATCATGATGAGGTCCACCACAAGGTCTGAGGCACCCTCTCGGTCCAGCTGGCACTGCACCTCCATCAGGGGGCTATGGGGCCTCGGAGGGAAAACCCCCGGGGCCACTTCGGGGCCCGAGGAGCCCCCCCGCTTGGTTGGGGGCTGCCGCCCCAGGTAGCGCACCAGCAGGCTCTGCCGCAGGGCCTCCCCCTGCAGGCAGACATGAGGGGGCCTGGTGGGCATTGGGGGTCCCCCAGGCACGGCGGGGGGGAGGGGGCGGCATTCCTCACCCGAGCCAGGTCAGAGAGCTCTCTTTGAGTGAGCAGGTTGACGTCAACCTGGAGGTCCGCAGGTCGCAGCGGCAGCACAGGAGAACAGAGAGCTGAGGTGGTTAGTGCAGCATGAGAGAGAGAGAAAAGAAGAACCGAAACCAAAGCGACGGCAAACAAGCGGGCGGGCCAGAGCGGCCGCGCACACACAGAGGGGCAGGACAAAGAGGGAGAGGGTGGCCTCACCTTCTCGCTGTGCTCGCAGTCCGACATCATCTGCCGCAGGGTCTGGAGCACACGCACGCAGAGCCCCTCTTCGCGCTCCTGCAGCAGCCGCTGGGTGTGCTGGACCAGCTTGGAGACAAAGGAGGCGCACTTGGCCTGGGCCTGCGGCCGTGACGGGAAGAGCAGCTGGGGCTGGTGCAGCACGTCCACCAGCACCGACAGCTCGCTCTGCACCAGGGGGCGCAGCTGTTCCTCCAGCAGTAATACCAGCTCCTGGAGCACCTCAATGACCGTGCGGTCCCCAGGGTGCGCCCGCGGCTCCTGTGGGGTGCCAGCGCGGTCGGTGGGAGGGGCTTGTGCGAAGCCTTCCGCTCTTTTGGCACAATCACTCACGCTGAGGCGGGGCGGGGTTGGCTCCGCCTCCCGCTTGGGGGCCCTGGCCGACGACAGCCAGGCCCGGGTGTGCTTGCTGATGAGGGCACTCTTGTCGAACATGTTGCCCACTTGGGTCTCCAGGTCGACGGGGATGGCGATGCCGCGGGTCTTCGCTGCAACGACAAACAGATGATTACGGTTCTGAAGGCGGAAAAGCCGCGAGGACACGACCAGGGTGTCTAGCAAATTACTTCTCTTGAATTTTCTGACTGCTGCAAGTTCTATCCCCGACTAGTTCAATTAAATCCCATGACCATTAAAAAAGGAGACTCTGGAAATGATTCTGGATTGGTATTGCTTAGGTTAAAGGGCAACTCTGCTTTATTTTTGTTTTTGAAAAACAATGCAGTCCTCTTCAGTACTGTCGAGACCAGCTATAATGAAGTCAACAGGAATCGGAAATCACGTCGCTATATCCGCTATTTCATCATAACCAACTTCAGTTATAAAGAAGTGCAAAAAGGTATGGGAAATCGTGATCGCTTCACTGTAGCCGCTATTTCATTATAACCAACTTCGTTATAACCGGTCTCGACAGTATCACCAAGGAAGGCCACACGTCAAATATTATGACCTAGTTCTGTCTAAATGCTTCTTAAACAGTCCGGCAAACTTTGCAACTTGCCAAGTTGCCGAAATCGGCTGACTCGAGCGAGCGAATTCAGGCACAACCAACAACGCAGTCAAGGCTACGGTGTGGACGTAGCCAATGTTGAGCTAAACGTCATCACCATTGCCCCATTTTGCTTATTTTTACTTCTCCGGGCGAGCGCAACGGGTGAGGTCAGTAACGCTTCCTCTCGGTGCTCAGCGGTGTCCACGTGATTGGCGTAACATGCCTGCTCAGCACGCTTCTTGGGAGCCGTCCGGCCGTTACCGCAATCTGCCGCATCACGACCGCGCCGTCGTCTCACTGTTTGTGATTGTTGTCTCTCGGAGTTTTGCTCACACTACGGACACTATCGTGTGCGGATTTAATGTCATAGACACCAAAACGTGATGAAGAGTATGGTGCAGATGACACTTGCACCTGGCTCACACTACGCCAATCCCGCCCGTCGTTGTGTAGAGAATAACGTGACATATGTACCCCGCGATAGCCATGTTGTTGGCAACCCGAGGCCAATGTTGCTCGATGGAGCCAAAGTTTCAGTTCGATTTCTGCTCGTGTTTAAAATGAGATTTTACAATATATATCCCATTTTTCGCGAAGCAAATGGTGTAGTGTCTTTTACTAGAGCTTTTTAATGTGAAATCACTCATTATCCCGAAATCTTTTGAATTTAGCGGAGTTGCCCAGGAGCATCACGAGATTACAGCCCAGGACAGCTGTAATGGCTTTTTCCAGTGTCATGTGGAACAAAGGCCCTTTTCAGGGCCAAACAAAATTATGTTTGGAGCTTGAAACTCTTGCTCGCCTCTCCCGTTGTCCAAAGTTGTCGGCTCATCACTTTAGAAGCAATTTTTAGCCTATATCAGTAATTCTTCACCATTTTTGCAATCTTCTCAAAAACAAATTATTGCAATTTTTAAAATTATTTGTTCAGAATGCACTACACTACATCTTGATAACTATTATTGCATAAGGGTTTTCACATAATTTATTGTAGTCAGCGTCGAAACAGGAAAATGTGATTTTTATCAACATTTCACTCGTTCTTTACTTCTTTCATATTTTTTTCCTAATGTTCCCATAAATGGATTACATCATCTTTTATGTCAAGTTGTTCATGAAGACTTACACTACACCTTGGTGGCAATTATTATTTATCATTGTTCACACAATTTTCTATGTTCAATGTCAAAACTTTAACTTTGATTTTCTCATCTTCATGTTTTTTGTCAACGTGCTTAGCCCTACGGGGGTTTTCATGAGGTTTTTATCGTAGCATTTTGAAACTTTTTATACCATTTTATTCAGAAAGGACTGGACTATGGAGTAAAGCTATTTTTTTGCAGTTTATAATGACAACGAAAATTTTATGATAAATAATGCGACCTCATTAGTGTCATAATTAGCATAATTAGTACATTTTTGTATTATAATGTAATTTTGTGAAAATATAAATAGCTTTATAATGCATGGCAGACCTTTAGCTATGCATCTACATCAATAAAAAAAAATATTTTTGTTCGAAATGGCCTTAACGACCCGTAAGAAATTAACCAAATTAGGCAACACTATTTTTTATAACTTGAAAACTAATTGAGGTATTTTGAAACTGATTCCATATTTGAAGTGAGGAAGAAGGAACACATATGCACAGTGATTTTCATTAGTATAGCTGCAAAAATAAAATAGTCCATTTTAGAACCAGTGTCTCGCCTTAAGTGCCTTGGACGAGCTGAGCTCATCGGCCGCTTTTTGGTTAAAAATGCCATGGATGAACTCAGCTGGTCCAGTGGTTTTTCCAGTAGCCCTCAATACCACGGACGAGCTAGGCTCATTCACGTAGTTTGCGGCGCTGATCACAAATGGCAACACTCATTTTAGTTGGCGCCTTTTTTTTTTTTTCTTTTTTTTTTTTTCCACTGCTCATTTTTGCGTAATAAACTTTTAAAATTTTATCTGTTATACTAGAGCAGGGGTGGCCAGGCTGACCCGTCCTGAGAGCCGCAAGCAAAGCCACAAAAATTCCAAGAGCCGCAGAGAGGGGGGAAGACGGGGGAGGGGGGGAGGGGGCGGGTTAAACTTTTGTTTAGAGCAGTAACCGAAACTCGGAACTACTTTGAATCTATTCGAGTCAAAAGCTGTCCAACTGTACGTAACTTAGCAGCAGCACAGAACTACCAAACCGCAACCTGTCTTTTGATCTAAAACGCGTTTCCATTTCTTTTTTTGGATAAGTGCTCGCGTGTCCGGGAGGGAGGCGGGAAGTGGTGGGTAGGAGGAGGCGGGGTGGAATAGGGGAGGGAGCCGTGAGCCGCACTTTAACACGCGAAGAGCCGCATGCAGCTCGCGAGCCGCAGCTTGGCCACCCCTGTACTAGAGGACTGAAACTTCTTCATAAAAATATATGACATTTTTAGGATGCTTTTTTTTTTTAAAAAAGTGGCACGTGAAGGGTTAAAGGATTCTCACATAGATTCACATCAAAAAACAACTGCAGAAAACACGAAAAACAAGCACACCTTGCATTCATAAATAGTTTTACAGGTTCAAAACTAATGTAAGTCCAACAAACCAATAGGTATATGTGTCCTACTTGCCAGAGAATACAATTACGGAGGCTGTTTCCACTTTATCGGGTTAATCAGGGGGTGGCTCCAGCCATCTAAGGCCCCTTGATAAAATTCACACGTTCCGTTTCTTACAAGTACCGTCAACCGTTGTTCTGCAAATGCACGAGGCACGTGGCCTGGGCGGGTGCTCCGCCACCATTCACTTCCTAGTCCACTCATTCTAGTGCATCGCCGCAGTCTGCTTCCAAAGGCTGCATGAGGTATGCATCTCGTGCATTGGAGCATTTGATGCTGCTTGTAGGAAAAGAGCAAGCTCATTGAGGGGCTTCAGTGCCACCTAGTGACGTTTCAGGCAACAGTAAAGACATTTTCACCACCACCCGTGCCACTGCATGTTGCGTCCTTATGCTTCGCAGCGCATCACGGTGCCACTCTCAGTGGTTATTTTTTGCGACTTTGCCAACTGCTTGACAATTTTTTTTGATAATTCCCCAACTTTCCCAGGTGCATTGAAATTTCTTCACAATTCAAGATTTTCCCGGTTGATAGACACCCTGACAATTTACCGATTTCCGCCAGGGTACGGATGCAGCCTTCGACGTTCATCCGCTGCTGCAGGTTCAGCCAGGTGCAGGTGGACAAACGAAAGGCCGCCTGCAGGAGCCTCACAAATACTGGCTGGTGTGTCTGCAAAGACGGTCGTGTGCCGTGAGACAAGACACGCCGGGCTCAGCGTTTTGGTAGATCACTTACCTGACCCTAGAATTTCCATGCAGCAGGAAGCAAGACAAGAACAATTAGAGGAGAATAGAACATGCTCACGAGCCTTCATATGAATTGTGAAGAGATTCCTGTCAGTTGCGCTCGTGTTTACATAGGGCAAACAAAGCGCTGTTTTTACACTAGAGCACGAGAACACCAACTTGCAGTCCATAACGTCTCAAGATGCATCTTGTTGAACACTGCAAGCAATGCAGTTGCAAAACACTTCTAAAATCAACGAAGTTTGTCATGAAAGTGAATAATAAGACTGCAGAAAGAACAACTAAAACTTTTTCATCAACACTTCAGCCAAAAAGTGCATTAGTATAAGCCTTAGATTTAAAAGAATCAGTATCCTTTTAAATGTCTTTTTATGAAACTGCCATTTGATATGAAGTTTCCTTGAAACTAAAATGTTTCATTCTTTCGCCGGACCTGGTGGCTAGATAGGCAAAAATCGCTGCTGCCGCTACAATGATTCTCAAAGAAATGCATTAGCATTTTGCACCGGTTATATATAACAAAGCATGGTGATTGCAGCCTCCCAGCACCTTTTCATGGAGGTGAACATTCATGAAACCCCTCTTCTCCTTTGAGAACATGATAGTGCTTCAAGACAGGGACGAGAGTAAGAATGAGGCAATGCAATGCACTAACCTCGACTGTTTAATCCTCAGAGAAGCAAGGGTATAAATACTCTGCATCATCGCGCCATTTAACAAATCCCATGCCACGCCAATGCTCGCAAGAACGGTCTCTTTTTATTAGAAAACATAAAGATAAGACAGTAAAAGAAATTATAGAGGTAAACCTGATAAAAAACTATGGGGATCGATGTGTCAATGTGGCGTAGATCGATTTGGGCGACAAAGAGAGACAGTTCTTGCGAGCATTGGCGTGGCATGAGATTGGTTCAATGGCGCGATGATGCAGAGTATTTATACCCTTGCTTTTCTGAGGATTAAACAGTTGAAGTTAGCGCATTGTGCCGTCTTGTTCTTACCCTCGTCCCTGTCTTGAAGCGCTATCATGTTCTCAGTTTCAGTACCAACTCGCCTAAGAATCCAAATTACCCTCTTCTCCCTGGTGCAAACAGATCACTTTACTTAGCATGTGCATGAAGAGCGACCGCGGCCACGGTCCGCATACTGTTGTCTTTGGAGGGTCAATCAGCCAATCTGCTACCGAATAGGGGCGGTTTTCGCTCAAACAGTGTTGTCGGTCCTCTTGAGCTTTACATTGCCGCGCATGTTGTGCATACAAGGACGACGACACCATGCGCTTACGGCCCAGTGACATGGTAAGAGGACTGCGCATCAAGAACGACATGGGAAGTGTGGCAGGTCGAAGAACGGTACCGGAGTTTGCATGCATCCAGTCTCCAAAGCCAGCGGCAGGAGCTTCCAAGGGCATCCAAAGCACGCACCCGCACCCCACCTGTTATCTTTCGGCACTCGCAGAAGGTGTTTCCTGGCCAATTTTCAGAACCAGCACGGCTGTGGCGCCATCCCGTGGCAATGTTGCGAACTTTGGTTAGTCCAAACCAGTCCAAAATCAGTGCATGTACCAAGGCACTAATGCTAATGCATTAAAAAAAAATTGGCTGCATGTTTTGTCCTTCTGCCAAACGTGCGCGGTAGCTTTATAGACTGGGTGGTGCTCTTAATTTGGATGATGCTTAATGCAGAATGACCCCTAGTCTTTCAGTGCCTGGGGGAGTGGTACCCTTACCGTGAAATACCGCAAAGTAACAATTTCCTTCAAGCACCCACTATTAACCTTTTACAAACTTGAGAGTTCTGCAAATTAAATGTTAAGTTCCCGATTTGACCACACAAGCGCCCATGTCTGGATTGAACCAGTTTTCAGTGAGAGTGCAATGGACGCTCCCCCAGTATTTTACGGTAGTTCAGGGGGTGCATAAGGTAGGGTTTTGTATGGAAACAAATTATGCAGCACCATTCTCTCTTTGTGATGCTGCGTGTGCTTCCCTTCAGCACCACCTGGATACAAAGTCTTTGCAGTGAATTTTCAAGTCACCAAAGGAGGGGAGGCATGCTTTCCTGCCTTTTCCACTCCTCCTCATTCTGCACGCCCTTTTTATGCTACCTGTTTCTGCTCCTCTCTTTCTTGCCCTTTCCATCCCTCTCTGCTTTGCACACTTTCTCACATCATCTACTTCTGCTGCTCCCGTTCCTGAGTGCTGGGACCATAGCTCAGTCAGCAGTGCACTCGGCTTCGTAGCCGGTGACCGAATTTCAATCCCTGGCACCAGTTGCCTTTTTTCTTTTCAAAATTCTTTAGCAGTTATGGACCGACCAACTTATGCATTTCGTGCTTATGCAACTTCTGAGGATGGTTGGCCCTATAAAGCTACAGCTTTAATAAAATTGTATGTATAGGGTGGCATGAAAAGAGGGGCTAGCTGTGGAACGAAGTAGAAAAATATCCACCTGCACACAGAGCGACTTTGATGAAAGGTGTATTTTAGTGGTAGATTTTACTTTATGAAATTCCAAAGCATCCTGCAAAAAATGCAAATCTACAATCATTTGCAAGGACAGGCACCGATGAAGATGACAGAGTCACACAAGAGTCATACCTATGGCGCCACCTCCCATCGAAAGCAGACAATGAATGTTGTGTCGTTTGCTTTCAATGAAGTATGTGCTGCACCCATCATAAGATGTCACCACAAGTGCCATCTCAGGAAACTCTGTCGCCTGTGTCATAGTGTGCCGTTTAAAATCTCAAGGACATTCCAATTTTTACAGACCCTAAAATTTCACAAGGTAAGAGCCACCACTAGATAATGCTTTTCATGAAAGTTTCAGCTCCTTCTATTTATGCCTTCCTACATACATGTTTGAGTAGCCCTGCATTAAATCCGCTCAAAGTTAGCACCTGACTGTACTGAAAAGGTACCTTATAACTATAAGGTTCCGTGTTTTCTGAGTTTATTGCTTGTGAAATTCGAAGGGTATTTTTCAGTTTACTTTTAACGAAAGATTCGGAGTCTATCAGAGTTTATATATATGATAAATTCACGATTCTCCAGAATTCAAAGTTTAATTTTGCTGTGTGCCACATTTTTCCAAATTCAATATAAAAACAAATATTATCCGGACACAGCTGCCCTAAATTAAAAGAACTTACCAGTGTCGAACGACATTTCTTCACATGAATTGGGCATTCCCACCTTTGCCATTGGTAATACTAACTGTCCCACAACAAAACTTAAAACAAATTTTTTCATTTCATTTATTCAACCCTTAAAGGCCCAATGGGCATTACATAAGGGGGGGCAAGGAATATAAAATCAAAAATACAGAACACCGCACGAAGCGAAAAAAACAAACAAAAAAAAAACACATCAATTATACATTTGTACACGCTATAAAAATAGCAGGGAAAATCCACACAAACAAATGAAGTCAAAAATCACCAACATATCGTCTATGTAAGCACTCGACAAACAACAAAAAAATTACAATATTAAAAGAATAAACAAAATAAGAAATATATAATAAAATATAAAAATAAGGTAGCCAACTATGAAAACAATGTAGAAATCGCCTCACGGAACAGGCCGGTGTCACTAATGTCGACTATGGTGTTGGGAAGGTCGTTCCAATCGCGGATGCCTTGCGGGACAGCGGAGTTAATAAACGCATTAGTTTTACCGGTTAGGTGCTTGAAACTTTTGCTATTAGTGGTTCGATGGGAAGATCTGTTAGGAGGCTCAAGAAAAGGTATATTATTATCGTGATAGTAGAGCTTATGGATGAGACACAGAAGAGCAATTTTACGGCGGTTTTCGAGTAAAGGGAGAGAACACTGATCCTTTAGAGTAGAAACACTTATGTTATACGAATAACTCGATGTTATAAAACGTGCCGCTCGATTTTGGACGGCTTCAATACGTTTGGTTAAGTAGACTGGATGGGGGTTCCAGATTGGTGAAGCATAATCAAGTTTTGGGCGAACGTAAGTTTCGTAGGCTAGTTTACGGAGTTGAGGATGTGCTGCCTTGAGGTTACGCTTAATGTATCCGAGGGTTCGAGAAGCATTAGCAATTACGTTGTTAACGTGGGTGATCCATGAGAGGTTAGAAGTGAGGTGAACTCCCAGATATTTGTAAGAAGAAGCAACGCTAACAGGCGTGTTACCAAGAGAATAGGGGAATGAGGAAAGGGTTTTTTTGCGAGTAAAATTAAGTAATTTGCATTTTGACGTGTTTAGGGGCATTAACCATTTGTCACACCAATTATGAATATTGTCGAGATCTCGCTGAAGGATTAGATGGTCATTTGGATGATTAATTTTTCGGTATAGCACACAGTCATCTGCAAACAAACGTATGTTAGAGGACAGCGAATTAGGAAGGTCGGTAATATAGATAAGAAACAGAAGAGGCCCTAAGACGGTGCCTTGAGGGACTCCCGAAGTTACGTTAGAAATGTCAGATCGAAAATCTCCATTGACAGTAAACTGAGAACGGAGAGAGAGAAAGTTTCGAATCCACGAGAGAGTTAGAGAATCAAGATTGAGCGAGGACAGTTTAGATATTAAACGACAATGAGGTACGCGATCAAATGCTTTAGAGAAATCAAGAAATACGGCATCGGTTTGAGAGTTAGTGTTCATATTAACATGAAGGTCATGAGTGAATTCGAGCAGTTGCCTATCACACGAGAAGCCTTTTCGGAAACCATACTGATATTTATAAAAGAAATTGTTAGATTCAAGGTGTGATGCAACATGAGAGAATATTATATGTTCCAACAACTTACATACAACACTAGTTAGTGATATGGGACGGTAGTTTTCCGCTGAATGACGATCACCGCCTTTGAAGATCGGAACGACCCTCCCAATTTTCCACTCATGCGGGATGCAGCCGGTGGATAATGACTGTTGGAATAATAGACAGCATATTTCACCTGCAACTTCCTTAGTATTTTTTAATATCTTTGAATTAATTGCGTCGACTCCAGCAGAGGTGGAAATTTTAAGTTTATCTATCAAGTCTACAATCCCTGATGGTGTTATGAGGATAGGCTCCATATACCTAAAATTGAGCTCTGGTACGGAAGGTACGTTCAAAATATCCTCATTCGTAAACGTTGATGAAAAGAAATTATTAAAAACCGAGGGGCATTCGGCATCGGGGATAATATTACCGTCGATGCTTGTCAACTGTGTTGAACGGGATGGCTCGTTAGGGGAAATAAGCTTCCAAAACTTTTTTGGGTTGTTCTTTAATATTGTTGGGAGGTCGCAGCTGTAAAATTTGTCTTTAAAGAAACGCAAACTATTAATATAAAGTTTGGCCCAGGCGTTATAGTTAGACCAAGCTGTTTCAGAATTATAACTTTTTGCCACCTTAAACCGTCTTTTCTTTTTGTTACTCATTATGTTCAGAGTTTTATTATACCATGGTTTATTGCTGTTGGTACGAATGCGAACACGTGGAACAAAGGTAGTAGTAAGTTCGAGTAGCTTATTTTTAAAAAGACTCCAGTTGTCACCAACTGTACGACAAGAAAAGCCCATAACATAAGATTCAAAAAACTCCAAAAGACCAGCATTAATCTTATCGAAATCCGCCTTATTGTAATCCAATATAAATTTGGAACCAGTAATATTCCTACTAGGTGCAAGTGATACAGTCATACGAATCAGCTTGTGATCACTAAACCCGTCGATGACAGAGACAGACTTAACTATCTCAGGGACTGATGCCAGACAAAGGTCAAGAATATTGTTTACACGTGTCAATTCATTTATCATCTGAACAAGGTTGAAATCAAGAGTTAGATCGACAAACATCTGCGCTTCTTGGGAGGATGAACTTAGAGTAGACCAATCGACGTTGGGAAAATTGAAGTCGCCAAATGTCGCTTTAACAAACTTCGATACTTTAAAATCCCTGAAATCCTTGACATAGTCTCTGGAAAGCTTGTTTTCTTTCCATACCGTTCCACCACTCCACCCTGCAGCTAGCTGCATGGGGTGGAGTGGCGAGAAAGAACCCTCAGCTGCCCCCACCTCTTACGATCATAGCTTGCATTGTTATAAAAATACAACCTCGCCTTCCTCCAAAAAATCCAAATTGAAAACTAGAACAGTGGCTTTTGTCGTGTCCCAAAATTACAATGACCCGTTGTCCTCTATTGGAGAAAACTCAACTCAGAACCATTGACCCTGTGCTACGAGTCGGATGACCAAGCTAATTTGTAGAATACCAGCATTTTCGCTGTCTTCCGCCATCGTAACGTCGAAATTCCGAGTTTTTCAGACAAACCCGTATTGAAAAAAGTTTTACCGGCAAGAGTCTTTTGGATTCTATCCAATTTATCCGAAAACACGGAACCCTACTTATTGAGTCAAGTTCGGTATGCACATTTGAGATCTTTTAATTACAGTAGAACCTCAATTATTCTATCTCAGTTTATTCGGAATCCCGGATAATTCGCAAAACTTCCACGGTCCCGTGGCTCCTCATGAAATAATGACCGGATAATCTGAGCGCTCCGCGCGTGCTTACCCGGTTAATTCGCCGATTTGGTCTTCCACATTCAATTTTTAGTTGCTAGGTGGCGCCAGTTGGCATCCAGATTCAGCAGCAAAAACAAAGATGGCGCGAGTCTTTGCTGATCTATTTCCTGTTTGCTGGTCCACGTGCTTAGTAGTCCCTTTGTTTTATTGGGCTTGGTGTCTGGGTAATCTTGGCGTCGAGCCGCTGTGGGGCTGTGGTTCGGGCCATTACTGAACCGCATGTAAGTGATTTTGCGAGCGACGAGACGAGCGACGGTGAGAGCCAGCGACAAGCTACAAAGATTTCTCACTGTCGCCCGTCGCGTTGCTCATTGCCTTGGTCGCTCACTCCCGTCGCTTTCATATGGTTTGCCTCGTCGCACGACTGACCGAGCAACAGTAAAGCGGGCCGCCGTCACTTGTCTCATCGCTAGCCAAATCGCTTACATGCGACCAGCTGTGGAGCAGGATACAGCCAATGCTAGTTCCAGTAATGTCCCTGGGATTGACGATGAGGGAGAGGAGCTTTGCTCCTGCATTTGGGATGGTGACGGTGAGTCGGTCGGCGTAAGTTTTACAGACTACTTAAACATAGAAGAGAATGAGTAAACCTGCTATGCGGACCTCGAGAGCAAAATCACTGAGTGTGATGGCAGAGATTGATGACAATGATGAAGCGCTTCGGGCACCCGCTCTATGGGAAGTTATACAGTCGCTGAATGTCGTCCGCAGCTGAGTGGATAGTAATGCCGGTGATTCTGAGATGAAAAGTATGACGGTCGGCGCCATTAATTACAGAACGCAGCAGTCCCATATCGCCGACTACTTCAGGTGATGTTCTCTCGATTTGACGACTCGTTTTGAATAAAATGTTTCCTTCGAGATTCAAGGCTTTGCGCACAATCTTCAGTCGTTTTCTTTCGCTCGTGGATAATTCGCAAATTCGCTTAATTCGACAATATTTCGCAGTCTGACTGACTTTGAATTAACAAGGTTCTACTGTAGTATAATGCAAACAGAGCAGCCCAAGCAAATGTTCAAACGCCCACCTGCACGGTGGCGCTCTGCTCTGAGAAGGGAGAGTTGAAGAAGGTGGTGATGATGTTCATCACCGAGTTGGTCACGTAGCCCTCCAGCAGCTGGTCCGCATGCCGCCGGTCGTGGGTGGCATTGCACACCTGCGAACCCAAGTCACTTCTTCAGAAACATCGCCCCTCCAGCAACGACCTTGACGCGATGCTTGGCACGAGTCTTTGACTGACGCGTTTGCCGTCCTACCCCGCCCCTGCATCAAAAGCGGTCCCAAAGTGGCCACGAGTTCCGTCATGGGAGCTGCCACGTCTTGCTTTCGGATGCCGTGACGGTTGGTCGTAGAAATGGTGGCAAAAAGGGTAAGCAGACGCGAGAATCGCCGTCGTGGTGGCATCCCAACTCGCGTCTGCTTTGGTTTCCGTCGACTGTCTGGCTGCAGAGGTACCTGCAGCAGAATGGCTGCATCCCCTTCTGCGGCAGTGCCACAGCCAAGATCATGGCATGCAACGCAACACTTGTAAGACGTCATCGGGTGGAAATTGAGGGACCACTTTAGAGGAAGCGGTAAGTGCATTAGTCCACTCACCATGGCCACGTCGACGAGGAAGTTGTCGAACAGCGTCCAAATGTGGTGGGATGCGTAGATCTCCTTCATCTCTACCTCCGTGTCGATGAAGCAGTGCGAGAGGAAGTTGATATAGGCCTCCTTGACCTCAGGCAAGCAGTCCGGGTGGGACACCACCCGGCAGATGTCGTCCAGGGAGAGGAGTGAGTGGCACTTGATCTCGGTGAAGACGTTCTTGCCCTCCGTGCAGCAGGCCAGCAGCCGCACCAGGTCCACGTGGTAGCGCAGGGGGCCGCCGGGGTCCAGCCGCTGGCGCTCCGACCGCATCAGCTCCACCAGCTGGCCCCACGAGCCCTTGTCGTTGTACAGCACCAGCGCCTCCTCGCCGGCACCCACCAGCTGCGTCGAGAGCCCCCTGTTGTTGAGACGACTCCCGAAGCGCTCATCAAGCTTGCTGTTCAATAATAAAGCTTGGGCCAAAATTTGGGTTATTCCACTATGTTTTCAATGTATTTACGAGCCGCTAATTCGAACGGCGTTTTCGTGTACTTCATACTTTTTGTATTCGAGGTCCCGTTGAGCGCGCTTCTTTTCGAGCACTGGTGCACTGCGGAGAAACAACACTTGCGGAGCTCGCTTCCGCGGATGTTGCTTCTCCGCAGTGCCTCGGTGCTCGGTACGAAACTCAATGGGGCTAAAGCAGAGTAAAGTCATTGGATTCTGGGAAAGTAACGCCATTGCCTTCCCTGCCTGCTAGCCGAACACAAACAAATGCTAACATACAGACGACCAAAATTCCGCAAGGCGATCGGCTAATCGGTCTCTGTTGTTATGGCAATCACCATTTGGCCTTTTCAAATCTTCTAAGCTTCGAGAGGGTCGTTTGAATCCAGTCGCACCAAGACCTCCATGAAGCATCATCGTACTGAAGGCGTTCCTCGCCAATAGAAGTGTCTTTGGCACTGTGTATACAATCATGGCCTCCTCCGCAGGTCTCGTACAATTATATTGTTCTTCATGCATATTTTAAAACAGGAATATTATTCTTCAATGCCTCCAAGAACCAACACCGCCTGTGGTGGTGGTACGAAGATGTACGTTTGTTTCGCCAGTGAGTGAATAGCAAAATCTCAGTATACAAGAAATGTCTCTATAAAGCTACCCGTCACCAGCAAATTTAGATTGGCTCACCAAGAATGAAAAGGTCAAAGGGAAATTGCTCATTTCATGAGCCAAAATGGCGACCATACGGGGAGCTTGGAGCTACTTTCCCATGATCCAGTTACTTTAAAGCAGGGGACACACAAGCAGTGAAAACAGAGGCTGTGCTGCAGTTTCCATAGCATCTTATGCCATGCTGCCACATCACGGCCTCTGCACACGTCCACGTCACAGCGTTCGTGCAAGTTGCTATAGAAACTTTCACGTGGCCCCCGTTTTCATCGCTCGTGTGCCTCCTGCTTAATAGTCTACAAAAGACAACTTTTTTTGCTGGATCAACAAACTTAAGTTTGTTTTGAAGCGTCATGTGCAGTCTGAACAGGCCACGATAAAGAACATTTTTGAGGGCTGAATAAACTTGTCGTACGTTTCACCAATGTTTTGTGCATGGTATACCTGCTTATGATTAGTAGGCCTGTGTAGAGGGAATCATAATATATCTGCTTTGTATCTGTAACCAATCATATAACAAATAATAATTTTATCTTACATCATATGTAGATAAATTTCTGATGATTCAAACTTTCAATAATTCAAACAAACCTCGTGGCTTCCTGGAGTTTGAAATAACGGAAGTCTACCATAACAAGGTGGGCTATAGTCACCAACAAGATGAGAACGATGGAGAGGTGTTCAGTGTGAGCTCCCTACCTTCAGTAATGCTTCGGCATCTCCCGAGCCTCTAGAGCGTGCATGCAGTCGAAGCACGGAGAAAGGCAACGAGTGGACGTTGGGGGCCGAGCGTTCTAGAGATACTCTCTGTCTTTCTAACTTTGTCAGCGACTGTAGCTAGTTAAGCATAATATACGTAAATAGTGAAAAAAACAGACAAGGACATGAGCACAGAGACGGGATTTGCACTAGTCCTGTCTTTATGTCCGTGACCTCGTCTGTTCCTTGCGCTATATATGTTTATTTCACAATGCACTGCTTGCATGCCATTAACTCGCTCGGCCCATAAGAGCACGCTATAGCAAGACAATTAGAATGTGCCAATGGAGCCACGTTACGGCCATTCGTGAAAACGTGTAAAAGTCGTTCACACGATAAGGAAATTTCGGTTTGTTGCGTGGATATCGCAGCCAACCATCAAAATGTCGAGCAAAGTAGCTCCTGGAGGAACTTGTGGGCTAAGAAACATCCAAAAGGACCATGAGATGGTAGCTGGCAGTCAGAAATCGGGTGGTCTTTCTCTCCTGCGTTCGACAACCAGGTCCCCTCTGCAATGTTTGAAGAGCCGAAGCTCCTATCGGCTGCGGCAATTTTGTTATTTTTTTCTTTTTTTTGTTCTACTAGTTCTGATGCTTACAGCCCCTTTGCATTCAACCACAAGTAAGCCCTACAATTTGGATTATTTGGCACCGAGAAATATCCTCTTTCTATGCTTTGATAAGAGAAAATATGGGTAGTTGAGAAGGAAAAAATGAAAGACATTTACAAATCTCTGTAACGCGAAATTAGAGTGCAGCTCTTGAGGAGGAGGAGGGGAGGGTACAAAAGTCTCTCCTCCTCCTCCTCCTTTTCCCTACCCTCCCCTCCTCCCACAGTTCCTCCACTAAATTTAGCTGAAAAATTGACACCACACAACCTCAACACCAATTGTTTCCCCGCTAAATTTAGCGGGGAAAATGACGTCACGTAACCTCAACACCAATTCAGTTTCCCCGCTAAATTTAGTGGGGATAATGACGTCACAATACTTCGTGTCACGTCACCCATGAACAAATTCAGTATCTGCGCTAGATTTACCAGGAAAATTGACGTCACGTGAGCTCAACACCAATTCAACTTCCCGCTAAATTTAGCGGGGCAGTTGAAAGCTGACGGCGACGCCGCTATATGCAGAAACAAGCAACTAAGGGCTGCGCTCTAAAAAAAAAATGTGAGCCTCATAAAGGCATCTTTTTCCAAAACCCAGCACATGTAAACACAAACTGACATCCATGCCAAACTTTATGAATGAAGGCCTATTCTGAGCACTTAGCTAAATAAAAAGTATAATTTCATGGTCCCTTCAAAGTAGGGGTGTGCCAAGACTCAGGCTTCAAATAAATTGTGAATAGTGAAATTTGCTATTCAGTTAGATTTACAGCACACTTTTACTATTTTAAGTACTCCAGCTTATTCGAACATTCAAAAATTATGAATAATGTCTTCAGAATTCCCAGATTTTTCGCATCAAGCTTCACCACTCTGCAACAGCCCTTTCTCATTGAGCTTCAATGCTTAGCACCGGAGCGTCGTGCCCATTCTCACTGCTATGCACGGGACATGATCGGAGGAACAGCTGATGTGACGAAGCATGTTGGTTTTCTTTGTGGTCTCAGACATTTCTTCTTGCTTCTCATGCAAAAAGCTGTTTCTTTTCACAGTTACAGTCGAATCTCGTTAATTCAAACTGACGCTGTGGTCTGGTCCGCACCATATGTATTCCATTGTGCGAAAACGCCCGGTAATTCAAACGCTTAAGCGTTCGCGCCAGCTAATTCGAACATCCCGCGCCACCGACCTTGCTCTCAGGAGCGGGTTAACTCACGTGGCAGCGCCTCCGACCCGACCGTGTGGCCGCGCTACGCCGTACGCCAGCTGCTACTCCCGATTTCAGTTCCACGTAACCATGACAACCAACCACGTGGTGACCTTGAATGCTGCGATGAGCGGTGTGGTGCTGGCAGGGGCTGTTGCAGTGTTGCCAACCGTAGGGTAATTACCCTACTTGTAGGGTATTTTAGGCATTTATGGTATATTGTAGGGCTGTAGGGCCGTCCGGCCATTTCCCCGCCAAAAGTAGGGTATTTTCAGACGTTGCTTCTTCAACGGCGAGCATAACAAAAAAAAAAAAGAAAAAAAAGAAAAAAAAAAAAGCTGCCGCACAAGTTTTGCATAGCTTTACAACCCGTGTGCTGCCACACCACAACATCATGCCAAACGAAAGAATCCAAGTTGCACGACCTGCTAACTGAGAGCACCACACACCAATTTGGAGTATGTAGGCTCCCTAAGTTGGAGAGTATTGGAGAGCTAGAGCAAGTGGGGGGTGGGAGGAGGTGGAGTTGCGCTTAGGAAGTTTGGAGCCAGAAGAGGTATCTTCCCAGTGGAAATGGTCCCGCCAATTTTTTTCTGATGACTGGTCCATCCGGCGGTCCTTGTTACACCTGCGAAACACGTGACACCGCAGGCGGAACCATCCCGAGCCCACCCAGGACAGGTCCATATCGCTTGAGCGAATGATGTTTTAGCGAACAGCGACATTTGAGCGAATCGACGTTGTAGCGAATAACGGGGGCCGCGCTGCGCTCACGCCGTTTCGCGGCGACAGTCTGCGGCGCCTCATTACAAGAATGTGAACCCATTTGGCCCACCCGAACACGCCGCTTCGCGGCGTCCGACTATTCGCTAAAGTGTCATTCGGTGCAGCGTGGGCGTTCGCTAAAACGTCATTTAATTAAGTGAGTGCATCCCGGGGACTGGAGGCGTTCACTTGAGCGAACGACGTTTTAGCGAACGAAGCCGAAACAATGACGTTTCGTCGAATGACATTCTAGCGAATACGGAGAGCCGCCGGTTTCCTATCCTCCCCTGCTGTAAAAACCTAGTTTGTCGAAACTGTACCTTAGTATGACGAATCCCGAGGCGGTACTCGGATTAGCTTCTTTTGTAATGAGCCGCCTTGTCTGTCGCCACGAGTGCTGGTTCCGCGTAGCCCAGTTTTTAATTTCACGACAAATCGACTAAACATGTTGGTTGGGGATGTCTGTGCGCTCGCTACATCACTGTTTTGCTGATGCTACACAGCGCACATTGCAAGATGCAAGCATGGTGTTCTAGAATAACGCAGGTATGCGCTTCCATGCGTGCCCTGTCGCTTTGTACTGTATTAATATTACCCTGTATCATCATAATCCATGCAACAGTATTATTTGAACAAAGATTTGCCTCGTGGGGTAAAACGTAGGGTAATGAGAAACATTCGTAGGGTAATGTAGGGTTTTCTGGACGCTGCCGTGGGGTATTTTTGAAAAATAGGTTGGCAACACTGGGCTGTTGTCGTTTTCTCTCGTGCCCGTTGACTAGTGATGGGACGAATCACCGGAGATTCGGATTCGGACAGATTCGGAAATTTCCGAACTTTTCGCGACGAATATTCGGCAGATTCGGAGATTCGTCAGGTTCGTCGCTGGATGCAGGCGGCAGCACGAAGCTTGTCGTAAACCTCGCGAATGCGGTCAGTTGTGCTCTTCTTAGGTACTGTTCCTGCATATAACCAGATTTCGTGTTGTTTATGTCAGCGTATGGTATGTACTGTGCTGTCATTGTAAACCCTGGCACGCGCCCAGGTCCAGCGAGCTGATCGGTGTGGTTGGCGTAGGCCTAACCAATGCACGGTCTCGCTTTCTGTGCGATTTCGCGGTGATCGGTAAAATGTAGCGAAACGCTGTGTATTATATGTAACCTGGCGCAACGCACAATAAATATATATTCAGGCAAGGAAATGATTCGTCTCCTTCTCTAGAGCTGCGTATGTCTATACCTGTAAGGCGTCACAACTTAGGCCGCGTACTGGCAACGGGGGGGGGGGGGGGAGAACTCGTTTCTCTGTTCTCGGCAGCAAGTTTTGTATACATGAACTTTATTTGATGAAAAAGAAATACAACAATGAAGTCTAACGCAACTTCATTGTTCGTAAACAAACACTAAATCGGAAAGCCTGCATTAACCAGGAGTTTCAGATTGTTTCCCGTGTTCCAATAGAAATACCTCAGTGGGCACTCGTTAGAGATAATCGAATCGAACATACTCACTTATGTGGTGTGTGCCACTGCGACAGTAATTATGGGCAAAAATGTGTCTGTACCGAACAGCATGTACGGCATCGATCTCTTGCGGCGATGAAAACATGCGCTTGTATTTCCACGTGCGTGCACCAACATGCCTATTTGGGTCGTCATCCAGAACCGAAACCAATTTTTCCGCGATGTCTGGCTAGGCTACCGTTCTCGATAAACATCCAAAATAATATTAACAAAGCGGAACATTTTATTTATTACTCTGATATTATATTACAATATTATTTCGTGAACTTTGTAGAATTTAGTGAATTTAATGTCACGAAAAGTTGAAACACACATCGACGTGATTTGGCAACCATGACAACGCTCCGAATCTTTCCGAACTTTTCCGAATCGCTTGAGATTCGGCTACTTTTCCGAATCTTTCCGAATCTTCAGATTCGGCTCCGAATCTCGATTCGGATAAAGATTCGTCCCATCACTACCGTTGACGGTGCTGAGCCGCTGCTCTTCGGTGTGTTTTCGGTGGGAGCGCGACAGTTACGTTTCTTGCCTTCCACTCGCGCATTGCTGCGCTTCGGCGTGTTTTAGGCGGGAGCGCGACAGTTGCGTTTCTTGCCTTGCACTCGTGTGTTGCTGCGGTTTGGCGTGTTTTCGGTGGGAGCGCGACAGTTACATTTCTTGCCTTGCACTCGTGCGTTGTTGCGCTTCAGCGTGTTTTCGGTGGGCGCGCGACTGACGTTATCTGGATTCCAAGCATCCCCGAGGTCATTCAGGCTACGTGCCCTCAACACACCACATCTGAAGACCCTTCAGCCCTCAGTGGCGAAGATTCTGATGCCAGCGAAGAAATTCCCCCACCTAGTGCAACTGACGTAGCGTCAGCGCTGGACAAAACCGCGCACTACTTCCAGTGCCAAGAGAATGCTGATGCCATGTTAGAGCTAGTCTCCAAGCTCCAAGCGATGTTTGGACCGCGCACAGGCGTGCATCACGGGTTACTTTCGTTGGTGATCGGTGTAAATAAATGTCCCGGAATTCGCCACTGATGTGTTAGCTCAGTGCACATGCGCCGCCCAACACAGTGCTACATGTAAGTACTCCCTTTAATGAGCTTTCTTTAGTTCGAACTCCGTTCAATTCAAACAAATTTTCGGTCCCCCTCAAGTTCAAATAAACGAGATTCGACTGTATATCAACACTCTCAACACTGACTAATTAAGGTATTTCTGCTCAAATCACATTAAATGCAATCTATTCATATATAAACAAATATTCTATTCGATTCGCAATCGATTCCTACTAGTATTTGTATTCAATTCACATTCGAAAATTTTATTTTTACACATCTCTGCTTAAAAGCGTGCCACAAACTTTCCAAGTAAAAATTAAAGAAAGGTACTGGCAAAGCCGTTTAAACAATTCCAGCCCTCAGCTTTATGCCAAACGCCGATAAATGAGTGGGGCAGCAGCTTGACAAGTTGTATCCTTCGCCCGATAACATGAAGCCATGCTGGGCAGCCATGCTCCTCTGCCCGGCCGGTGTGACTGAGCTCACCTCTTGCATCACCATGTCCTGACACTTGCGGATGTACTGTCCCTCAGCCTTCACCACTGTCTGCAGAAACTGCAGGTACTGCACCTGCCGCCCATGGGTCTCGATGCAGTGCACAAAGTGCTGGATCACTCGCTCTGTCACTTCACTACACAAGGCCACGTTGTCCTTGAAGACGCTGCACAATGTCTGTGCCTCCAACAGCTGGAACATTTGCCACCAGAGGAAACAGAGGTTAGCAACAGCAGAAGGTTAAGATATATATGTTGGTACAGCTAAACTCTCAGAGGACAAACATTGACCCAACAAAGTTCGCCATGTAACAAGTTCTTGTCAAGTTCTCATTCTATTCCTCGTGAAAATGAAGCAGTTTTCAGCAGCAGTTTCAAATTAACGAAGTCTGCTCCGGGCATGTACAAATCAACAAGCTTGGTGTAACAAATAAAAATTGCTGAAACAGCTGAAGACACTCTCATCCCTTGTAGGTCCTTAGGCGTAGAAAATCGCAACAAAAATGTTTTTTTCGGAAAGGAATTTTCTAAATGTACAGCTATTTTTTTTTCCGATTAGCAAACTATTTAGATCAATATTTAAGACATAATATCAATTGATAAGACCCATGCACGATAAATTTGCATCGAAGTTGACTCTTAAATGGTGCTTCTACCGCAAGACACAGCTGCCGTTCCACGGTCGCGATCGCAACCATCTTGGTCTCATTTGAAAGAGCACCATTTTGTCTTCAATTTCACGTCACCACTGCTTCCTTCATCACGTTAGTTGCGCAGAAATACCGCACAAAGGAAAGGTCCAAACGCGCAATCCTATTTGTTGCGGCAGCATGTGCACACAAGCACACGTCGGCGGAGAACATGCAACGAGCCCTCTAAAACACCACTGAGGTGCCAGCAGTCAAGTGGACTACATTTCTGGTGCCTACTAGGCATTGGGCAGGTGCCAGCAGTCAAGTTGCCTATGTTCCTGGTGCCTGTGAAACTATTGATGGTGTGACAAATATGTACATATTTCTTCCTCACTTTTTCAAAGCACAAACTTTGTACTACTCTGCAAATTTGGCAGAGGGATATCTCAACCTCTAAGGCAAGTAGAACTATAATATTTTCTGTGACATGTGGGTAGATGTACAAAGCATACTATGTTGGAAGTAGATTTTTTTAATTCAGGATAACAAAATATTTTAATTGCCCTATTGTTTATCTTTTGCCAACCACAGACTGAATGCTGAACTCTCGTGCGTTCTAAAAACGCCAATAATGGCCCAATCTGAGAAGTACTTCTAACATTGTATTCCTTATACTGTGTAGTATCTAACCACATGTTATTAGTACTTCCAGTTGAAAAAAATATTTTTTTTTTTGTTTTTCCAAACAATGGCCAGAGATTTTCAATTATCTCGAGAAGTAATTGTCTTACTAAAAAAATTACATTTGAAATCAGCCCCAAAAGCAAAACAAGACTAAAAAGTTTTATTGGATTTTATGCATAACTAAGGGAAATACTTCCAATTGACTTGGTACTGATTATAATGAAATATCGCTTCAGTGCACCAATATTTCACGATACTCAAATCTATTCCTAATACTACATTTTTTCAGTCCAGGGCTGCCAAGAAATTTGTCGCTTCCTAGTCTCGAATAGCTGTCATGTAAAAGATAGTTTTAGAACAATAATGTTTTCTAGGCTGTTTGCAGACTGATGCAAGCTGGTGATTTACTGAAGTCAACATAATGGGTAACGTCATCGGCTGGAGAGTGAGAAAGAAGGAATGAAAGACCACTGCAAAACAATCGTAATAAAAATATGGTAATGGTTGAAAGAAAATTTAAAGGCTACACTAAATTTGCATCATCATTATATAAATTACATATGGAGGATAAATAAAAAAAAACATTTTTAGAGAATGAGATAAGTTATGTGTGGTAGAGATTGCGCTACATAATGTGATGTTTTCGAGTCTTCATGGAATTAGAGCATTGATACAATTGTTTAGTTTCAACATTTCTGTTCAGTAAATAGTGGATAGTGTTTATGGTTGTTTCTTGTGTCACCCAGAAACAACCATATCACCACAACATGTAATTTGATTTGTGTCTTTGGGTGTCAGTCATGGGATGAAGATTTCTTCGTAAAGAAATCTATATTACAGCACAACACAGTAGTGTTAAAGCTTTTGTTTCCTGCTCAGACACGCATTTTGTGCCAGAGATCCTTTACAAAACACAACCAAGCCACACTGGAGTTTGTCACAGTTTAAGCATCGCTTCCAGCACCAAGCGTGCGACTGGACCTCGGTTCACGCCTAATGCTGACGAAGCTCTCCTGTCCAATATGCATGCTTAGGGTGCCTGCCCAAAATATAGTGGCCTCTATGGCACAGCGACTACTAGATGCGGTACAATTTCAAAAAGGATCTACTGTGCTTACTGTGAGCTCTGTGTGTAAGGCAGAAGAGAGGGGAGAGGGAAAGGGGAGATGCCCACTTCGGAAGAGACGTCCTCCATCATTTCTCTCCTACCGGGCTTGTCAGTGAAAACGCAAATAAGCTTACAATATGAATGGGACACGGCCAGACTGGCACAGGACAGATAGGCTCACCCCTGGTGTAAGGAAGAGGTCGATGTGCTTGTGAAGCAAGCCCTGATTCTGATGATTGCCGAGGCAGAAGTGCTGCAGGAAGTCGTGCGCCAGCCGCATCACCTCATTCATGCGCAAGTCTTCCTTCTGGAAGAGAACAGTGCCACGATGCTGGACGTGCAGGGTGCCTCTGACTTTCCAAAAGGGTTTATCCTGCGACATCCTTGACGCCAGGAAAATGTATCCATCGAAACCTCAGCAATGTAAATATGGCAGTGGGACCACTATAGTCAGTTAGAGGTTAAGAAAAGTTTTCGAGGGCAAGGAAGTTTGGGGAGGAGGAAGCAGACGGAATGCTGGAGAAAAGAGGAGAAAACCTCCCCCTCTCTTCGGCGTTTAGTCTGCTTCCTCCTTCCCATCCTTCCTTTCTCTCAAAAACGTTTCTTAACCTGTAACTGAATATAGGTCTCTCAAAAACGTTTCTTAACCTGTAACTGAATATAGGTCTTGCTGGCTTTTCTTGAAGCGTCAGAGGAGGTGTCTGGGGCACAAGTACGATCAGATGCTTGCAATAGTCGTACTAGAACTATAGTAGTACTAACACTAGTGCTAGTGCTTATACTATACACTGGTACGCAATTGTGCTAGTGCTAGTATATATGTTCTCAATGATGGTACTACTAGTGCTAGCACTATTAGTAGTACTAGTGGCCCAAATAGTGCTAGTACTAGTGATAGCGCTAGAGCTGGTAACAAATACCAGTGCTAACACAAGTACTATCACTAGTATGCAATAGTGCTAGTGTACCATTGCCAATGCTGGTACCACTAGTGCTAGCACTAGCACTAGCACTAGCAGTAGAAATAATGCTAGTACTAGTGATAGTGCTAGACTAGTAACTAACACCAGTGCTAGCACTAGTATTATCACTAGTATGCAATAGTGCTAGTACTGGTACTGTTGCCAATGCTGGTACAACTAAAGCTAGCATTATCACCAGTAATAGTGGTAGAAATAGAGCTAGTACTAGTGTCAGTGCTAGAACTATTGCAGGCAGTGATGTCAATCGAAACACTTCTACTTGCTTCGTTATTACTCGGTAAAAAAAACACCAAGACCCTTTCATCAGGTACGCTTACCCGCTACATGCACATTAATTGAAGGAGCGCACGAATGCCCACATAAAATTAGCTCACAAGACCTGTTTCGCTTGGAAACATCTTGCGTATCCAAATATCCAAACTTGGAAACATCTTGCAAGTTCCGCACAGCAAGTGCCCTCGTGAGGATCATTTTCCAAAAATATGTAGCAGTGTGCAACCATTCTTGCAGGTTCTAATTTTTGTCTTGATTTCAGTCCCTCTTTTTCAGACGCAAGTTTCCTTCCTCAGTTCAGACAATTCGCATTGTCTGGCCAGTGGGAGTGCCCAGGTCACAGAAGCGTACGACCCAAGAGTCTTCAAGGTAGGTGTTCCTGCGAACAGCCCCACATGACGAGACGTTCCCCTCACCCTGTCATAGGGAATCTGCAGCAGCTGCAGCACCACGGCGTGTGCCCCCATGTTGCGCAGCAGTCGCTGCTCGTGCTTCCGCTGACGCTTGGCACCTCCGGGCCCCGTCTGGTAGCACAGCCGCGTGAGTCGCTCCAGGATCTGTCCGGGGCATACCAAGGTCTCTGAACTGGCGTAGAATCTTCCGCAAGTTACAAGTTGTTAAAGCGGAATGCTTTTATAGGCTGGTTATTAAAATCTTAGCATCATAAAAAGTTGCTACAAAAATTATACGGCCTCGATGATGTAGATTAGTGGTTTCGCAGACCCCCTTTGGGGTGCACAAAAGCATTCTAGGGATCTTCGAAGCCCTCCCTCATCAGTCAAGCCCGGCAATAAAGGTTCTCTTTTTCAGATTGGGAAGAAACATTCCAATTTTCGTGTTTATGTCAATGAGAGAAGTCTACTTCAACTACCCCTTAGTTATATTCATTTATTAAATCATTATCATAATTAACCTATACCTTTCCCTTCCGCTCACCAAGAGCAGGGTCCTCCATCATCTCCGCCGATCCACAGGGGCTCCGCAAAGCATCAATAGTTGGGAACCACTGATGTAGACAAAGACTAGGGAGCACAGTCTTTGTCTCACACAAACTACACTCCGTGTGTCGTTTGTGCATGAATTCTCAATTTTTCTTTTATCTATTTCTTCATTCATATTTTTTTTTACAGCGAAGCTGTTAAGGGCTAGGTTCCCCAGGATCGTGTCCGGTACCAAAATCTTGTCGACACAAACCTCCACAAACCTCTGGACAGCTACCGCCATCTATAAGCGACGGCAGCAAGCACACAACCAGTCTGGTTGCCGCCGTCGCTCGTAGATGGCGGCAACCTTTCCAGCTATCATAGAAGAATGAATAGTTGGGCGAGTTGGTGGGAGTTCATCGTACGAAACAGGCGCGCAAAACAGACAAGGACAAAGAAGAAACACACGTGACGAGCGCAGCGCTCGTCACGTGTGTCTCTTTGTCCTTGTCTGTTTTGCGCGCTGTTTCCTACGCTTTTATCAGTTTCGGTTTAGACTCAGGATGGGCCGTGCACGTGCCCTTTCAGGGAAAGGAGACAGGCTGCGGAAGGAGCGGCGACACATGCAGCAGCGCTAATAAGTCCGCAACTGACGTGAAGCCGCTGTCGCCTCAGCTTCCACTGCATCCATCGTTTCGGACTCTTTTGTGAAAGAAGAGCACGTCGCTCGCCTGGAAAGCCGCCACCAAGAACAGAACCAGCGATTTAAACGGCGCCGGCGGGCTACGGAAGCCAAGCGCAAGCGCGAGGCCCGGCGACAACAGCACTCCATAACGGCTGAACAGTTCCCGAGTGCGACGGCGAGCTTCCGGAGGGATTTCGTCAAGGACGTTTAAACAGACAGGACCCGGCATGACGTCAGCCTGAGTGAAGCCGGAAGAGGTGTTTAATCCCAGACTGCCTTGCGCACCCGTTCCGAGGCCGTGGGGTAGCGCACCGGCGGTTCGTCTGCTTTCTAATCTGCTCCGGCGTGTGCTTTACGAGGCTAGCTTGCGATGCGGTCAGCGTCCGCCGTCGGCGTCCACGATGGAAATGCTTTGCAGCGTGAGTGTTTATACTTAGTTCCACATTATGTGCGAGCGAAGTCAGAACTGTAAGCGCGAGCCCGTTGTTCTGTGCGCTCCTGGCTTGCATGCATGCTCGTGCGATCTGCTGCTGCTGTTTATTAAAAAATGTGTTGCGCACCGCCAAGTCCTTCACGGTGCGTCGTCTGGAGCGTCTCAATTCTAGTCACTTTCTTCCTGCTGGGCAACCAGGCGTTCGTTTATAATAATCTCATCCAATTCCGACCATACCGGTTTAAAAGTCTCCCGTTAAGTGCTGTTTCAAATAACAGTGGGTGCCGCCATTACTTTCGGTGCACACAGTCGCGTTGCCACGGAAATGTCATGGCAACGCGGTTGTTTGCACCGAAATTAAAGGTGGCGCCCACTCACTAGGCTTCCCATTGGTCAAGAAATGCTCGTTGCGGCTCGTGGCCACGCCTACTTCCGTTACACTTCGCTCCATGCATTGGGGATAGGGCACCACCTCCTGCCCATTATAACCTCCTTGGATTTCGTGGAGAACCCGTTTGGCGTCACGTCCGCCGTGTGCAACCGACTCTGGTTTGCCGGAGATTTATCCACAATCGGCGGCATGTCGGACGAGAAGAATCGGGAAACGGGCGCATGCGCGTTGTGGCAGTGTATCGAGTCGGCGGACGTCTACAAAAAACCGGCGTGCAGAACGTGCCGAGATTCCCTGCTCAAAGGCACGGTGCCCTGATTCGCGACCATGAACGGCTTCAAGTACCCACCCATACCGAAGCACCTACCGAGATTGAACGTGGTAGAGGAACGACTAGTGGCTCCTCGACTCCCGTTCATGAGCCTTGGGCGGTTGACGTGGTATAACAAAGACAACCAGGGAAAATACGGTTTTCACATAACCAAGTACCCAATCACACCTTAATCCTTACATTTATAAATACTTAATTTCCACCATAGTACAGCTTCGCTGGTCTTCCTTCTTCACGAGAGTGGAAAGGCTGAAAGTTTTTTTCTCTTTGCTTTAGTATCCTACTTCTATTATTATATTTACAATTTTTACTTATTGATTACTTGTTAGTAATCAATCAATAAATTTGCTTACTTGTTAGTTTTATTTATTTTTACCTAATTTATTCCTGATTTACTTTATTCCTTATTTATTTATTTTCCTTTTGTATCTATTTATTGATTGACGTTTTTATTTATTATTATTATTGTTATTATTATTATTATTATTATTATTATTCTTTATTTTATTAATAATTTTCATTCAAAACCTGCCACTGTTGCCAGCATTTTTACATTAAAATAAACCCATTCACCCATCCATACCAGCTGGGCTGGTAGGCTGCTCAGTGGCTACAGCATCCGACTGCCACTGCATCGACTCAGGTTCGAGCCACGCTGGGGGTTTGAACTTTACACAGCTTCGTTTATAATCTTAACATCTGTAATGCTCCCAGCGTGTCACTGGTCCGTGACAATTTTCTCATAGAAAACGTAGCATAAAACACATTTATGATAGCATGGTCAAGTGTCTTTACAAAAAAAACCTTGCCAGGAGTTGAACCACGGGTATTTCTCACCGCAGTCTAATGCTCTACCACCACGCCAACAAATTGGCTTGAATCAGTGTCGTTAGAGCTGCCATGTACTCGATTTGCAGCAAAACATTTGCCGCCCTGATGTCAGGAGAGGTTACACGACCAAGCGATCCCTGTAGGTTATGTCATTGCACAAGCCTAATGGATTAGTGATACGTATAGTGTAATCACTTTAAGTAGTATTATCTACCAGTTACATGATCACGCTAGTACAAATTAATTATGGCGTCACGTGACGTGACGGTGTCATAGGATTTTGTGTGACACCACAACATGATACTGTGACATCACATGACCTGACCTTCGCATGACACGCTCATGACATCATGTCAGCACAGACCGTTAAGTATAGTAGGAAAAAAATATATCAGCTCATGACAGCTCCTCAGTCCAGATTCGGTGTATTTCTGGCATGGAGGTAGGAAGCTTCTGGAGGCGACTTAACACCACCAGGGCCCGTTTTCTCGAACGCGAACCGTGGTTTAAAGTTAACTATTGTCCCAAGAAGGGAGAATTCTAGGTCACGTGACTTGGAGAGCAGGGGCGCCGAGGGAGGAGCAGTACCTAGAATCAAAATGGCCGTGGCGTCGCTCAACGAGAGCTAATAATTCTGCTTGGTTCTGCTGAACATTCATTTCGATCCGGCTGTTATATTAATGATGCACCATCAACTTATTAGCACGTCAGGCAAAGCGGTAGTTCAGAGGGACTACTAAACTAACAGACGGCAGCATTCTGCGAACGCATCACTCTTCAGCAGTCCGGGATCCAAGACATATGACGGTACATAAGCCTTGCAAGTGTTTTTATGGTGAGTAAAAAAATGTTTTGCGAACAAGTGTTGGTATATATTTATACTAACATGTTTAATTTGTTACGCTATGCACACCAACTCATGAGCAGCGATTACTTTGCGAAGAAAGGGGGTTATCCTCAATAAAGTCTTCGTTCCTGGTGAACAGCTGGGACATTATACTGTTTTTTTTTTTGTTCGCAGTGCGCCCACGGTACGCCGACAGCTTCAGGGTTTCTACATATCCCCGGTGGCCAGCGATTCAACGGTGACGAGAAGCTTAGCTTCTCGTCACCGGTGGATCGGTAGGGCAAATGGAAGAGAGGGCAAACAGTTGAGATCAGCAGGAATCGCAGAAACGTGCGTTGCAAGGAACAAAAACGAGACTACAGCACCGGCGTTGCCAGACTAGAAGGAACACGGGAAAGTTATGCGTTGTTTATGGCGAAACATATTGAAGGAAATGTTTTTTAGATTTTCGAATATTCGTCGACAAACTATGGCATAGTAGCTAAAATTTCTTCGTACCATCGGAAGCAAATAAATTGGTTTCAAGTACAACATTACTATATTTTGACTTAAAATACCATGCTAGATCGATAACAACCAGCGGAAAAAGAGGATAAACAAAATGATGCTTGTTTCACCGATAGATGGCGCATCTTATTGCCCAATCAAAAATAATTATTGTTGTTCTATATCCAGCCGTTTATTACAGTACCTAGGTACTTTTTCCTTCCTAGGCACCATGGTTTACCAAAATGGGTTTACCATCGCTTCGAGAAAACCGGCCCAGAGGTGAAGCCACAAGTGTGGAGGGACGCACCCCCAACAACGGCCAAAACCAAGAGAGGGGCCCCGAGGGTGACCAAAACAGCTGTTAAGTCAGCTCTCCTATTCGTCCAATAGCGTCTCTTGGTTTTGGTCATCGTTGGGGGCATGTCCCTCCCCACTTTTGGCATCACCTCCTCTTGTGGTGTCATGTCACCTCCAGAAGCTTCCTACCTCCATGATTCCTGGCTTTATACGTAGGATCAAGGTGTTTTTGCCGTGTTCTAACTCACTGATTCAGACGGCAGATCCTGCCATCACCCAAAACCCTTTTGTTTTTTAGGAAAGTGGGAACAACTGTAAGGCGAGATTCTAGTTGGGGGGGCCTCACCTGACGGATGGTGACGTAATTGTCGGCCCTGGTTGGGCTCAGTGACGCCTCAAGCTCCCCCGCCTCTTTGGCTGGCACCAGCTCCTGTAAAAGGCACGTCCTGTCAAACCTCGTATTCATTGTGGCCCCTCTACGATGATTCACTCACGGGCCGCAGGGAGTCTCCCCGCAGGATCAGACGCTTGTCCATGTCCGTCTCCTGGTCTGGGTCTTCTTCCCGTGCCTGAAATTCAAGTTTCAATCGAGGAGGAATAAATTGGCAGCATCCTCCAAATAAAACCTGCTATGAACCAGGGTCAAACAAGGACTATACTTTGTTTCGGTTCAAGTCCAGATGAAGCCGACGCTACATGGTAATGGGACCAATCAAGCAGCGTCAAAAGCAGGAGTCACTGTGCCTTTTTCTGTTTATGATTGGTTAAGTGATGATAGAACATGTACAAAAATATGATGAACACCACGGTGGTGTGCTTTTGACGCTCTCAGATTGGTCCCATCGGCTCATTGCGTCGGCTGCATCTGGACTTGGGGGTGACAACGCCTTCAATTGTCGATTTTTAAACCAGTCGCCCAATATTGATGAAGTTTAAAGGGTCTATTCATCTTGTTGCCTAAGTGCACTGCATGACGTTTTATCTCTGAAGGACAACTTCTTGATAAGCTGCAGGGGGAGGTATACAGCTGCTGATGTAAATCCCCTCACTTGGCAAGAAAATGTATCATAAAAATTGCTGCAAAATATTGAGCATTCCTAAGCTTCAACTGTAACTAGAACATTTGGGGGGTGCAGCAATCTATTTTTACTTTGAAATCTGCCTTTTTTCTATACAAAATGCCGATTTGAAAAGCATTTCACATAATGGGGCATTTTGTTTCTCATCAAAACCATACTTTCTGGCAATAAGAACTTCATTTAAGTAGAAAAATAATTATCTAGCCGCATTCCTCATTAAATTTCAGTTCATAAAGGTCCACAGCGAAGAATAAATTTGGCAGTTCATTGAAATGATAGATTTCCCAAAAACAAAAAGTTGCTGCAAAAAAGAGAAACTGAGAAAAAAAAAAAAAAAACATTTGAAGTCTTCACATCATTACATTTTATTTTACTGGCTGTGGTGGCAACTAAAAGGTACCAAGAGCAAAGGTTGTGCCTTCTGCTTACACCCTATCTCCTGCACAGCCTTGCTGAGCGAGCCGAGCTTAAAACACTTTCTTTGAGCGTCATTTTGTTGTCGATATGTGGACAGTGATTATGAAATGAGTGAGGAATTGGATATGCTTGCAATACACGAACGAGCGTCAGCAATTAGGGGCAGGGCAAGCAGTGTCGAAATACAAAGCAGACAAACCCGCATGACTTTCTATAAACGAATGTTGGTTTCAGTTAGTTTTCCGTTCAATCGGGGTGGGCTTTTCGATCCTTGGCCACATGTATAGCCTCTTCCACGGCAAAGCTGGACTTTTATGGTCTTCTTGCCCAATAGTGTTCACTCTCGAAAACAAATATGCTTAGTACTAAAACTGTGAAGAAATGCTCTTTTCAACGAGAGTATGACAATCATTTTAGGGTGTACCGGTGTGGAGCTACAGTTGTAAGAAAATAGGAAACATAGAGGCTTCACATTTCCATAACATATGATTTTGCATCGTCGGATTACAAAAAATGTTTTATTTCTCCATAAATATTTAAGATATTGCAATAAAAACTTGCAAGAATGTGCACTATTAGTTGTTGAACTACAATAAATAAAATTAAGAAAAGTCAAATTTTTTTCTCAAAAAGAGCACATTGAAGGTGGTGTCCCCCCAAGGGGACACCACCTTCAATGTGCACCTTAAATGTGCACTTTTTTGAGAAAAGAAATTGATGACTTTTCTTATTTTTATTATCTCTACACTACCCAAAAAAGTGAATGTTTGGATCACTTCTCTTATTTAAATGACATTTACAGGGCTTGTTTCTGTTGATGTTGAGAACATTTCTGCCAAATTTTCTTAACCTGGGAGAAGTACAAAAAAAATTGCAAATGTTCACAGATGAAGGTGAGCGTGTCTGCGAAGGAAAACTAAGTGAGCGTGTCTGCATGGGAAAACTATCATTTTGAAATAACTTATAAATTTGTTGTTTAACGTCTTATATTGGTTTAGGACAGTTCAGAGCAGATAGCTATGGAGCTATATTTCTATATTATATCGTCTTTCAAGACAAAAAAATCTGTATAAACACAAATACTGTTTTTTAGATTTCTATCCTTTGTCCAAAATTTTAGTTCTTGAGCATGAAAAATTACAAAAATAAAAAATACAAGCTCATAGCTATCTTCCCCTTAAAATTTCATTCCAGAAAACCTCATAAAATGAATCCAAGTTACGTAATAACAAAACGAGTTTTCCTAAAGTGTAATTTATGCCAAAAAGTGGAATGGAGAAAAATGCATTCAAAGTGCTCCAATCTGTACATTTTCTTCAGCATCAGTGGACAGTAAATAATTTATAAAAAATGAACTATGCAATGTAAACTAGTGAAACTTTCTGGGAGTATTCTCTAGATGTTGGTGGATGTAAATATGACAATTTTCAAAATCAACTTTTTTTGCAGAAATTGTTTTTTCTGGGTAGTGTCCCCCCCATTAAGGTAAAAACAAAAGTATAGGACTCAAGACTTGGACCTGGCCCTCAAAACCTGGCCCGCATTCTCAAGACATATGTTACTGGTCCTTAAGATCTGGTCCCGGCCCACAAGACCTGAGCCACGAGACCTAGCCTTCAAGGCTGGTTTTCAAGACCCGTCCAGCTCAAGACAGGTCCTGGCCCTGAAGACTTGGTCCTTATTCTCAAAACCTGGTACTGGTCCTTAAGATCTGGTCCTGGCCCTCAAGTCCTTGTCCTCAGGGCCTGGCCCTGAAGACCAATCCTCAAAACCAGTTCACTTCAAGGCAAGTCCTGGGTCTCAAAACCTGGTTCTCGAGACCTCGTCCTTGAAGTGCTGGACCAGGACCATGTCCACAAGAACAAACGTTTTCGTCTTGATAAATACCTGCCCACCTTCAAGGACAACCAAGGAATATCTCCCCATCTCGACAACTTGCTATAAAACAGTACAAGATCTTAGATACTTCGCTAGCAATAATTGACAAAATAGAAAAAAGATGAGGAAGCATTTCGCTCATAGTCAATCATCAATGGGTAAGAGAGTTGCGGAGTTGCCACTCCGGAGTTGGAATGAGTTTTGAATTATCCTACACATTCGCGCCCCCGGAATGGAATGGGAATGGAGTTTGATGCCTCTCGCCCAGAATGGAGTGGGAATGAAATGGGCTCGGTTCTTATGCGAGCTGTGTCGATCTTCAGCTAGGGCCTACGGCCTGCTGCAGTGGCATAAAAAGGGGGGTGGTTTGGGGGGTCAAAACACCCCTTTAAGTCATCTTTTTTTCTTCAGTAAAGAAAGACAGCTATTGAATGTCTACTGAATTGTTGAATTGTTCCAGCCAACGAGGGGCGTTGGGGCCGGCCATGTCCGTACCCGTGAATTATACAGTACATTGACTATAAATTTCCCTTCCAGGAATGGAAATGGGCCCGGTGTCTCCATTCCTAGGATTTGAAAGAAATTGAATAATTGGAAACTCTAATTCTCCGGAATGGAGTTGGAATGAAATGGGGGTGCCCATTCTGCAACACTGATGGGTAATATTGCTAAACTTGAATCATACTTAAGCTACTGAAAAAACACTACCGCGAAATTCTGTATGAATGCCCTCAACCAAGAGGTTGCCCATCAATTTTTTTTTCTGGCTAAATATCTCTAACATGAAAATTCTGAAACATCACCTACCACTGTATGAATAGATCCTTCGCGAAAATCCCAGAAGCCCGCGCGCGCCGTGCGACAAATGATGGGAGTCCCTGGTGCACCCCTTTCAGTGTCTCTCCTCCCTCTACCACGTGGCACACGAAGGTGCAGGTTACCACGGCAACAACATTTTAGCAGCCGAGTCGGACGAGCGACGAGCCAATGGCTGCCCCTCTCTTATCCCTCTCCTTTGTATCGGCTCTGCCGTCTGCTGCACCAATGCTTTGTCGAACCTCGTCAAAACCTGCCACGGTTGCGGTGCGAAATAAATGGATTCGGTGACACTTCAATACGTAAAAGTAAGTTACGATGAATAACATAATCAAATAAGTTCACCTGTCGCGATGCCTTCACGCTGCCACAGATGCGGTACGCCGCCAACGACATACGACTCGCCGAATGAGCGGGATGGCTGCAACGGCTGCTGGCAGTAGATGCCGGGACGCACGAAACGAGAAAGCGCGTGATCTGTACCAATTAAAAGTTCCCAAAATTTCCTGCCGTTGTGGCGCTGTACGTTTTGCAACAGGTCTATTCCCGTGGAACATCATGTGATGTTCGACGAGAATCACATGAACCGCACGATCGGCAGTAGCGATATGTGTGACAAGCGAGTTCATAGCGGGTTCCCCTATGTTTTTCGCACCGTGACAAGCGAATCTGATGCGTCCGCAATCTGCGATATTTGTTCCTGTCACATACAAGCTTGTAGTGGGTTCCCATATGTTTATCACACCGTGACACGTAAATCTGTTGCATGTGCGGTCTGCGGTATCTGTTCCCATGAGACGGGAGTGCATATAGTGAATGCCTACGTGTCTATATCACTGTCAAATGGGAATTTACCGTGTCCGCGATCTGCAGTATCAGTTCCCGTGCCACATGGTTTGTAGCAAGTGCCCCAATGTTTATAACTTATGTTTGATCAAATTTTGCTGTTGCGTCCGCAAGGACCACCCACCCTATATATTTCATCCTTTATCTCTTCATGCTGGGTGGGCATTCTTACGGTATTTTATGGTAGTAGTACTTTAAGACAGAGACGATAGAGGCACAAAGGATGTCCAAAGAACTATGGAGGTGTGCCAGGGAAGTCCTGGCTAGAAAGCCCATTTTGATAACCAGTACTTTGAACAGTTGTGTCACCAAACATTGATGTAGCATATTCATAACAAAGAAATCCAAAATCGAGTTAGCATGTAGATAAGTTAACTGCACCCTGCATCAGCATGAGAGAGAATCCAATGTTTCTAGTGGAGACTGCCAATTTGTGTGGTTACAGCAGGGAAAAGATATGGTTAGATTGAAACTGTGGTTCAAAACTACCTCGATAAAGGCAAAGATGTAGGATAGGAATACGATCAAATTTTTTTATACCGTGCATTTCGACTGCAGTTAACTGTATAAGGTATTGTTATTTACATTTAATTACATTGAAGGCTATTTACAGATTTACAGGTCAGGTTAGCCGGGACAATCATCGTGGATCAGCAGTTTGATCAGGGTCGAGCTGCGCGAGCGATCTCGAGGGTTCGCCGATCGTCATCGTCTTCTATATGACGCAATAGCATGCTCACAGTGGCGATGAGCAGGCACAAATATTATAGGTATTAACCAAAAAGGAAACCTTTTAAAGCGATACTTTACAGAGATTTTGAGGCCGTCGGCTAAGGTCTCCGTTAGGAAAAAAAAACCTAGCTTTTTCCCCCCTCTCTTGGCACGAGGCTAAGGAAGCCGGGTCTTCCCGTTGGCCGTGCTGCGCGAGGAGCGGAAAGAGGGGAGCCTCGGCAACCCGAGTTGCTACGCGTGTTATTGGATAGTTTTAGAAACTTCCACCGCTCTTACCCACTTTCTTCACGAATCACCGAGCACTCATGGCAGTCATCGGTGGCATCGATGACGCCAATTGCAACGGCTATGAGAACTAACATCACCACACCTCCGTCCTTGGGTACACGACATCCCCATTCCACCCGCACTGCGCGACTATGCTATAGCTATCGCTTTCGTTTCTTCGTACATGGTGGGCGAAAAATACAACTTTTTTTTATCCCATAAATTAATAAAGACTTACCTAGGTGCAACTCAACTCTTACTTAGAAAGGCAATGACTGGGAGGAAGGCCACAAGAAAACAAGTCGCGATAGTGCAACACACTACTAGTGATATGGCTTTGAGAGAAAACAATCTCTTCTGTCTTGACCCTAGCCGAACTCGGAGATGCGCTCGGTTCCCGACGGCATACCTTGAAGACCCAGAGCTCAGACTTTTCAACCAGGTTGCGCAGCTTGTCCAGGTCAGCCTTGATCTGCTTGTAGTTTTCGACATCGCTGGCAGACACGAGGAGCTGCACCTGCCTGAATGCCTGCAGCACCTCTTGCCTCTGCGTGAAGTGCTTGAAAAGCAAATGCAGGGCTCCGGACACCAGGGGAGGGTAGTCATGCATCGTCAAGTGCAGGAGCACACGGAGGAACGTTCGGCCGCCCTCGCCGTCTAGGTCCACGTCACCCAAGTCCTCGCTGAGGAAAGAAGGAAGGTCGACGGACGGGTTAGGCCACCTGCCCTCCGTAGCGCTCCAGCGCATTAAAGAACTTACGTGCCACCAAAGATGGCCTCCGCCTCTCGGCCAATGCGCTCCATGTCGATGCCTGTACAAAGGGGACAACGAGAAAGATGTCTTTGAATTTTTGTGGTGGCATTCATGGGCCCTTAGGTTCCAGTTTGTCTCTGTTGACCATCAAATAGCACAAGAACTGAGGAAAACACTAGAATACTCATCACACCAGCATGCTCTACTAACTATTTCGTCGGTTAGGGTCATATAGTATGTAGTCTAGACTGAAGGTGGCAGTAAGGCTTATGGAATCTGAAAACTTCTTCAATGCAGAGAGCAAGTCGTCTGCTTCTTGCGCAGGCGCTGCGGTGACGTCAGAATGACGCAGAACTCTAATTGGCTTTGATTGAAAGGATAGTGGGTAAACCTCAATGCTAGATGCCTTGAGGTTTACCCACTATTTTTTTCAATCGGCCAATAAGAGCTTGATGTTCTGACATCCTCGCAACCCCTCTGCAAGAAACAGACGAACTTGCGCTCCGCATCGAGTTTAGGCACACCCACGCAGGCATACACAACCCCGGGGTCCCATCTTCCTTCTGTTTACCAGCAAATAGGAGGACCTGAGAAAAAATGCTAGAATCCCACTGGCACTCTCTGCTAACTACTCATTTATCAGAGATATGTCTATAGACTGAAAATGACAGTAAGAGTTACTGCCCTAAAAATTTTGCTTATTAAGGGGGGACATGGGCCTGAGTTTCAAAATTTTTTGAAAAAATTAATTTTTCAATCTTGAGGTTTTCAGTTTTAGAGACTAATTATACACCCTTATATTAAATTTCATAACCATGTGCCAAATAGTTAGGTTGATATATAATATTTTCAACACATTGTAAGCCAGTAACAAGGTAAAGGAGTTCAATGTTTGAATGCATTTTTCTCAGTTCCACTTTTTGCTGCAAATTTCATATGAAGGAATCTTTTGTTCGAAGGTAAAATTATTCTAAAACCACAATCAAGATGTTTCTGAACTGAAATTTACTGGGGAATCGGGCTATCTACTTTATTTTGTTTTACATTAAAATCCTCATTGAGAAAAAAGTATGTTTTGAAAAATTGACATAGGACAGATATGCATCTCAAATTTTGAGGTAATCACTCTTCCTGAAATATTTACATTTGAGTTATCAAAACTAGATAGCCTGAAGTCCCACATCCCCCACTTTATATTCAAGCAGTTAAAATGGTGCTTAATAGGTTCATTTGCATATCATAGATTTCTTAACGAAGAGTGACACATCTTCTTATGCAGGTATGTAAAGTTGTCCTAGAGAGCTGAAAGTTTGCACAGTACGCCTACATCTGAAGTTAAATCTCCCCTGCAAATTTTATTCCGATCACATGAGTAGTTCAGAAGTTCAACCTCTAGCCAGTGTCCCCCCTTAAGTTCAAGTGCAGCCTCTCAGATGCACGCAACCATAATAAATTCTCCGGTGTGATTAAAAGAAAGTTTGCATTAGGCGGCTTTTCCACACCAAAGAAGGCGTTGGGAAAACCAAAATCTGAACAAGCTCTGAAGCACTCAGCATAACTTTCCGATCACAATAGTTTGGGTCGTACAATTTTTTATATGAAGGTAATTGAAGCTAATAGAAGGAAGAGCTTAAAAAGGAACTTTCTAGAAGATTCCAAGAAGCAGCCGAAATTTCAGATATAAAGTGCTTCATCAGGGCTAGGTTCTTCAGCTAAGTATGCTGGCTCTGAACAGCGATGAAACATCAGCTGCCACCTTGAAGTATTTGGGAACTTGTTTTTAAAATGCCTTTTGATAGTTTATGAAAAACTTACACAATGCCTTCATCATACTGAAATTAAAAGTAAACGCAAACAGACTAGTGTATAAAATGTATCGGTATCTGTCTTTAAAAAAACAGATGGTAACAATCGTTGCGCCCTCAACACAAAAAAAAACATGGTTATCTGTTTATTTATTGACCCTGACACCATCAACAGACTGCAAGCACACCTTTGTCGCCAACGATGAGCGTTTCATCCGCTTTCTCGTGGCTCTCGTCAAACTCCCGCTTGAAGATGGTCAGCAGTCCCGTGATGCGGTAGTCGAGCCGCACATTGAGGATGAACTGTGCGAGATCCGACAGGCAATCAGAATCCAAGCCGGACCAGTCTAGCCAAGCTAATCTTTCGGCTGCTTGCCTGCAGGATCTCGATGATCTTGAGTTTTGTGTCCATGACCAAAGTGTCCTCCGCGGGGCCCTTGCGAGGTGCCGGCGCGGGCGTCTTGGTGAGCGTCGTTGATCCAAGTACCATGTTCGTCACCACCGTGCCGACGTCGCCCAGAGACTTGAGCACAGTGCCCTGAGCTGTGTGCACAAACATTTCGTGCTCAGGTCCTAAGGGACTGAGCAGAGATAGAGAAGAAACACGCAGAGCACCATCCTTTCCTAAATCTGTTACCTTCATTTTTCCGCTCAGCTTGTTTGAAAAAAAAAATGTTTTTTGAAGATCACGAAAGACGTTTTTGAGGAGCATTGCTCGAGGAATCTTTCTACCCACCGTTGGCAATGGCCGCCTCGGGAACGCAGTCCAGGATGTTGAGGAGCGTCTTGGTGAGCCTCAGCAGATCGCTGAAGCTGTAGAAGCCAAAGTAGATCAGCTCTCGTGCCAACTTGACCACCTGCGGTGGGGGGGGGGTTGTTCCTGTGACAGAGAACTGCCGAAGGCCTCGTACAAAAAGAAAAAAAATCCCATCCGACACACGGACCTCGTAGGTGAGCTTGTTCTGCTCTCGGTCAGCAAAGGACCAGACGTGACCCACGACGTTGCACAGGTAGTCTTCAACGAAGGTTATAGTGGGCTTGAACTTGCGCTGCACGGCCTCTTTGCTCAGATCCGGGTGCCGGTTGGCGTCGTAGCTGCGTGTTGCAACGTATGCTGCTTCTGAGGGACAATGGCAATCGCATGCTCCCCCTTTTTACAGCAACAGCTGTTATTTGCGAGATTCTACGGCGGATCCCCTGCACGTTTTATGTATGCAATGACCCGTCAAATTGAGCGGGAAAATTTCTCCGCTTATTCCAACGGCAATTGTGACTTCATGGTGCCACGTAACGTCAGTGTCACGTGATATTGTGACACTATGCGACGTCAAACTGTCATGTGAACACCGTCCACTGCACTTGGCGAGACGTAAATCCACTAAATTTAAAACCACCAGTGTAACCGTGTGTAGTGTTTCGGCTGCCGCCCCAGTTCATTCTGCAGGACATGGCAAGAGACCAGGAATTTTTCCCGTCACTTACTCATGGATTGAGAGGTGCTCCGGAATTTCCGACCACAGGCGGGCGTATTTGACAGGTGTGATCAGCTCCTGGGGATCACGGTCCACGTGCATGTGTAGCATCAGCCGGCAGAAGGCGGCTCGCAAATCGTACGGCAGGTTTTCGTCCGCCATGCACCTGAAAAAGCGCCGTCATACAGACGTCTGTCCTTGAGAAGGCAAATGTCTTTGGGTGTAACGGCTTACAAGACGAAATATGTGCTAAATCATTTTCGACAAAAGTGAAAAACCAACAACTTCTCTCCCACCTATATTTCCGAACTTATCTAAAGCCATTATATGCCAATTACTTTTGAAAAAAGTCAGAGGACGCTTAAGCTGTGCCTCTAAGAACGCGATAGCGTCATCGAATCCTCAGCCCACTTGTGGAGCATCGCCTCTGCATGCCTAGCCTTCATCTCTCCACCTTCTTGGCTTCAGCCTCACGTGCCCAACCCCGTCGCCAAACAGGAGCAGAAGTTGATTCGGCAACCACACTCGTAGAAGATGACGACTCAGAAGAGTGCCCCGCACTGGTAGACGGCACCGTATCCATCGCACATGTGTTCTCTCCCGGCGGCCTATCAGCGGCCCCGCGGCTAGGTACGCATTCTCCACAGACGAAAGATGACAGCAGGGTCGCAGCGCCACTGGGCGGACTTGGCGACAAACAGAAACTTTCCGCTCCTCCACGACGGATGGAAACTATACGCTTTTCCGACAGACGAGCCTAGGTCATGTGGCTGTGACGTCATGACCCTATCGACCAATTAAGATTTTTGTGTCACGCTAGCTTTTCTGGCACACCACCAAGGCCGGCATGACACGAGCTCCTGGACTCTATAGGGTAATTCGCGTCACGCCGGCTTTTCTGGCACACCACTGAGCCCGGCAGGCCACAAGCTCCTTAACGCTACCGCATTATAACTATTCCAAGACATCAAGGTGCACTGCAATCACTAACCAATAGTGTGGTTACCAACAAAGATATAATGGCATTTAGATTCAGCACTCTGTTTACGGTAAAGTGTGAGGCAGTGACAACATGCAGCGCTCGTGTTGAGACTAAACTAATGTATTATAGTTTAGAAACACTTACACTATAGATCTGATTTTTTACTGTGGAATCACTCACTTGTGAATCAGCTCAATGTGTAGGTGTGGCGACAGGCTGTTGATGGCCAAGTACTGCCTGTCCAGGGACATCCCAGAGAAGAGGTCCAGTTGGTGCCTGGAAAAAGAAAGAGAAGTCGTGCAAAGAGCAGGAACACAGGCAAAGCACAAAGCCTCACCGGTAGTAATCAAGGGTGGCACGAGAGGCCTGGCAGTCACTGGCCTGTGCCAGCTCGACGATGCCCTGTGCCTGGCGGCCGCCGTCCCAGAGCAGGAGCACCTGCTCTTCTTCGGCAAGTGCAGGCGGGCCGCCCTCCATCTCCAGTTCCACTTGGCTCCGCACCAGCCTGCGTCAGAGCACGGGACAAGGACATGCTCTAGAAGGGGCTCACTGGAGTCGGGGCAAGGGGTCACCTGGTCTCTATGAGGATGTCCGCGTTGTGGGGCGACAGGACCGCCTTGCAGATGAGCTCCTGGGTGACGGGGATGGCCATCTTGTTGGAGATGCACAGGTCCGATAGGTAGTCGAGGAAGCGGCTCTCCCGGTTCTTGCGCACCAGGCTCACAAACGTCTCGATCTCGGCGGCTGTGATGTGCTTCTCGAGCAGCTTCCGGTTGCTGTGCAGCAGGGCCGTGATGGTGTCCTCCGCCAGGACATCGTAGCCTATCTGCTTCTGCATGAATCCGAACCACTTGGCGATGTACTCCTGGTTCTTGCGGTAGTCCTGCTGAGAAAGGCGGAGGATGCGGTAGCACAGGCGGCACATGTGCTTGTAGGGCGCGTAGCGGGGGTCTGCCAGGTCCTCCATGCGCAGCAGGGGCCCCTGGCCATTGTCCGTGAAAGGGGCCTGCAGGATCTGGAACAGCTGGCGCAGCACGTTCTGCTCGCGCAAGAGCTTCTGCCGCTCCCGGTGCGGCCGCGTCACCACGAGCTCCAGGGGGTCCGGCTTGTTGGGGTCCCCCTCCCGGTTGGCCGTGAAGTAGACCACCTCGTGAAGCAGCTGGAGCAGGAGCCGCCGCTCCGTGGAGCCCGCCCGGGTGCCCTCCAGTGTGCCAGCCAGCAGCTGCAGCACGCGGCACGCGTCGTTGGCAAAGTCCAAGTCACGCACCTCCGATGCCGACACGGGCACCACTGCGAAGGCCTCCCGGTCCTCCTTGGCGGCGGCGCAGCCCAGGCGCCACATGACGGGCCGCTCCTCGTCCCGGTCGATGGGGATCGCCGTGCTGTGTACCCACGTGTTGGTGCACAGGTGGCGCAGGCGCACGTACGACGACTGGGGCACCAGGTCGTCGGCGCGCGACAGCGTGGTCGCGTCCAGCTCGAAGATGGAGGCAATATCGCTGCTCTGGGGCACTGCCACCAGGCAGTAGACGGGGCTCCCGGGGGGACCCCGCAGCTTGGCGCGCGTGGGGTCCGGGCTGGGGTCCTCGTCTACCTCGGCAGCCAGGTACTGTCCCGTGGCCAGGTGCTTGAGCCGGAACAGGCTGTTCCAGTGGCCCGCCCCGCCCCGGCACGGGTCATGTTGCACCACCTCCACTTCCCACAGCGCCTTGGAGCTGGTGGCCGCCGTGGCCGTAGTGCGCCCCGTAGACCGCAGGAACACGTACTGCTTCTTGCGGTATTCATCCATCGTGAGGAACTTCTCCTGCTCCGCATGGAACAGCCGAACCACGTCGCCCTACAAAGCAAGGAGTCGCTCCATACAGGTCCCCGGCTAGTGTTACGTGTGCACTCGCGCAACGTTAGAAAATAACCATGACAAAGCCCAAAGGTGGGTGCTTTGCTGCAACCGCATCTAATGTGCTGGCCATGCAGTTCTAGGCTTCTAGGTTAGAGAGTGGCAAACACGAGTGCCGGCATGTGCTCCACATCAACCGTACAGACATTGTGTAATAAATTCCACATGACTTTCCTCGCAGACCTGGAACATACCAACTCCCTAAGATTCACTTTCCCACCTTTGGCCAAACATTTTGTGGGACCTCATTCTCCCACCGAAGCTGGTACTACGCTATCCCAGCAAAATTTCCTCAACCAGCCATGAGATGTACGAGGAAGCGCATGCCTGAAAACTTGGCCATCACAAAATTGTCTAGAAGCTCTCGACGTAAGGCATGCGTGTCACATTTTTAATGAAAATCAAGCCTTCTACAACATCCTAATTAGTGTGAATTTCACCGTGATTCTGAACAAAATCTAAACCAGCACCAAAAAAGACGGGAGAAAAAGAAAACAAGAAAAAGATGTACAACAGAAGTGGTTGCACTTTATTCCTGCCTTCTTTGGTGCCAATTTAACTTTTATTCAAATGCAATATCTGCAAACGATTTGAGCTGGCGCAGTATGTCTTCCACCACTCCGTGTCGAAACTATGACCCAGTTTGGCATATACAGACCCCTTTGAGCACATCGTCGACGTTCTCCTTGTATTCCATGAAGAGGGAGATCTTCCAGTTGGTGTTGGAGCTGACGGCGTTGACCTGTGAGAAGGGTGGCTGGTCGGCAAGCGCCTCGCTCGCAGAGGCGGCTCCGCATTACCTCCTTGCAGCCCGGATTGTCCGGCAGCTCTTGGCTGCTTGCATGCAGGGGCTGACCAGCGTTGACCGGCGTCAGCACCACCTTGTCTCCCACCACCACCTGCAAAAAGGAAACCGCTCGGTCATTGTGGTAAAACAATCTCCCGTCGGGCACGCATACATTGTCGCCCGTAGAGCGCAGCTTGTAGAAAGGCACCACGTAGAACCAGGAGCCCTCGTTGCCGTTAGCGTCGAGAGACACGCGCATGGCGTTCTTCTCGAGCAAGGCCGGCAGCCGCTTGTTCACAGTCAGATACTTGTTGCTCTTGACGTGGAGCAGCTGGACGACACCGCCGTACTGTACTACCTCTCCGACCAGCTTGCGCTTCTCGTTCTCGTTTTGCTTCTTCTCCAGCTCGGCCGCATGCTGCAATGGCGAGAGGCAGGGTCATCATGATGGTTCGTTGTTGCTCTGGAGTGTAATTATAATTGTGTTCCTTTAGACAGCGGGAAGTTAGCCAGCCCCAATGGGCATCTGCTGTCTCTACTGTAGATGAGAAATTTGACCAGTGTGATATCGTTGCTAGGCTGGGGTCTTTAACATATATCACATAGTAGTGATACACAACCGCATGCCAGTACGATGCTCATACAGATAAAAACAGGCAGGGGCAGGGATTGAGCTCCCAGGGTCCTTGGGTTCTACAGAGCTGAGCTGCGGTGCACTAGCACACTCAGCCACTGATCCCTCCTTCCAGAGGGTTGGCGAGGGCTGAACTCACGTGAAGTTTCTTGAGAAGCACAGCGTCGGTGGCGCTGGTCGCACTCTGCCTGGCCGCCTTCCAGAACTGCTTCTGTGCCGAGTACCGGTTCATGGGACACATCTTGAAGAGGCAGTCTGCAAAGAACAGGTGCCACCCTCCCCCAGTCTAGGAGCAGTCGACAAAATGGGTCCCTATAGGCCCATACCTCTGAATTTCTTGGGCGGGTTGGCCAAGTCTCCGGCCTCTGGTTGCACCACGCATCGGTCATCTACCAAGCTGAAAGAGAAAAGGGTAGAAGGAGAGGGTTGATCACTCACCTACAAAGTTACGAAAACGTAAAGCCTTCGACGTCTCCTGAACACCAAGGGACGTTTCGCGAGCATTTGGGAGCACCTCGGAGATGCCCATTAGTTGCGCGAGAGAAAAGGGGGCGCGGCCATGCGCAGGAAAGTCAACACTCACCCCAGAGTGCACAAAAAGCCCGAGACGCTTCCCTCGGCGTAGAGAGAGACTATGTCCCCGATGTGGAGCAAGCTTGACGCTCCGATCAGGTCGCACATACTGTGTAGCTCGACCCGCAGCGCACTGAAGCGCTGAGGCAAACGCGAAGAGAAGGGGGGGGGGCGCCTAACGCTGTAGCACCAACCAAGGACGACTGCACGCGAGCGTCGCCGCGCCCGCGCGCGCGTGCAACGGTCTCGGTAATGAACCCTGTTTCCCCGCAACGAGCCGACGAACCCGGTGGGGTGTTCCGCTCAGGAAGAGCGGGTTACGAGCTGCAGACGAACCAGCGGAGCGGCCGCCGCTGGCACCACCGACTCTAGGCCCATGGTTTAAAGGGCCACGATGGGCCGCGTAGTTCGCGGAATTCCGAAGACTGGAGGCGACGCGGACGCTCCGATTCCAACGCGGGTTCTAGCAGCTGGCTGCTAGATTACTTAGCAGCGCGGAATGATTTATCTCCTTCGTTTCCCGGCTGATTGCTTTCGATGAGTCGAGGCTGCTGGGCCCCTTTCGGCTGCTTCCGACTAGGTTTTGGCTTGACTTGTCTCATCACGTCTCATTTGACTTCCAGCACTAGTCTTTCCTGGAACCGAAACGGGAAACGGGCCAGACTGGCATAAACAACCGCTCGTGTGATTTCCGGTTGAGAACTTCGCGGTTTGTGCTGCGTTTGATTAGTACGTCGCTCGTTTTCGAATAATATTTCGTCAGGAAGGTATGAGCGAAACGATCTGTTACATTTCTGTGACATTACTGACTTCAAAATCATCCACGGAAGCGTAGAGTGGAGAGTAATCGTTTCTGTAAGCGGCTCAAAGATAGTTACCATGCCGTTACCTCCGGCTCTATTGGCCAGACTCAAGAAGCGAGGCATCGTCAAGCAGGCAGAACCAGAACCATCTGCAGGTGAGACCGCAAAAAACGATCAAGCCAATAAGGGCTCCTTATACCGTTCAGGTCGCCGACGCACACTGCAAGAAAAGGGCAGCAACCACCTCGGACCGAAAACCCCTGCACTGCCGGCGCACTGCCGATTGCCTTGTTTCACATCGATTATCCCGACATATATTAAACAAGCAACTTGCATTGGTAGAATGTGAAGTTCCCTTTTTTATTGTTATATTCATAATTTTAAACAGACCAAATGCTTGTTGCTTGACACAAAGCCGCGAGTAAACGCCACTTATAACCCTTGTTTATCCTTTTACTGTATGATAACAAGTAATGTTTGCCCATAGAAACTGTCTTTTTATTTATTTATTTATTTTGTAAGCAAGTACTTACGGGCACTGCGCGTGCGCAGTGAACCTTTTTTTTTTCTTTTGGAAGCGTAACTTTTTGCACACGCTCCATTACACAGTCAGTGCCCTCGTTAGTACACTGTCATGTTTCCTGGCTCGCACTCGCGGCTACTCGACTTGCCACAGACACCGCTTCTCCTTCTGTTTCCAGCTGACCAGCCCGAGGAAGAGGTGATCGCCGAGGACTACGATGACAACCCGGGCCGGCCCGCGCCAGCTCCGGACAGTCGTTCAGGCCCTTCGCCCGGCTGCCCCAACAAGTGGAACATCTACCATGAATGTGGCCACTTTTGTCACCAGCACTGGGGCCACGGAAAGCAGCGCGAGTCCCCCCGGACGGAACGCAAGAGGTTGCGCATGCTCCTCAAGTACCCACTGCCCGACGGCTGGGGAGAGATCTACGACCCCGGCACGTGAGTGGGGCAACTTGTGCCATTCGTTTCGTAGGGGACAACCGCCCATTCCATCACGCCAGCAGGACAGACGGACATTGCATGAAACCGGGGCTGCGAAAATTACCGTAGTCGGTGGCAGGTTAGGAGCAAAGTGGAAGCCCCTCCCACCTCTTTCCACTTTAGTGGAGCGAATGCGGGAGAGGAGACAAGCTCCTCTCCGGCGTTCACTCCGATAAAGGGGAAAGAGGTGGGAGGAGCTTCTGCTTTACTCCTAACCTGTCATCGACTGTAGAGGGTAATTATGTTACAGTCGCTTCAATGATATAATTGAGATACAACTAAAGTAAAGCTTGGTGGTGGTGGTGACACTGCAGCACGTCGTATGCGGCACAGCACTTTGATGGTGTTGACTGCAGAAGTTTCAGGTCACCTTATTAAGCTGCAGTCGCACTGCCAATACACCACGCAAAAGACGGTCTGCCGACACTGTCTGAGGCCTTCCTTGTATGACGGTCACATTTGTCATACACAAAACTGTGCAGCAAGCACTGTGTCCTTTGTATGACGTACAAGCGGTGTAACAGTGGCTTTATGGAAAGCACCGCGAAGACGAGCTGATATCACCACGATCTTTCGACTTGACTTGAGGCAGGGGCTAGCGTAAAAAGAAAGAGAAGCAGACGCCGTCAGGCACCGCGCCTTGGTGGCCCCACTAAGCCCCATGTGGTTGAACCTGCGTACGTTGAACGCTTGTTGTTTTTTTATGTTGATATTAATATTGGATTCCTGCACTGTTGCACATAAACTACCGTGAATGCAGGCAAATAATGTTGCGACTTTGGCAATGCAAGCCTGGGTGGTAATAATTATCATAGTAAAACGCCAAAAACATGCCGTGAAAAGTCAAAATTTTGAACAATTCTATGGCTAGGCGCATTCTACCACATTGAAAGATGTGCGTTTTGCAAACAAGTGAGAACAATATGCCAGCAAAGCGATACCTATCTCTTTGAGAGGCATGCATCACTGCATTCTTAGCTTCTCATAAGCTATATAGATGCTCCTTCTCTCTGCTCACCACAGACCAATGTGGTCAGTAGTGCAGGTGAAGCGCACAGTCAGTTTTTTTGTACAAAACATTTGTTTGTTCTTGTTCATTTTTGGGGGGTAGCCCAAATTAAAAAGCAGTCACCGTTCGACCGCTAGGGTATCATGCAAGTGTATCGTGAAGATGTCATTGTTAAGTTACTAGGTTGCACAAGGTGGAGGCTGCAATAGCTTGATGAGCCATCATCTGGATTTATAATTTCTTTCTGCTCATAAGGCACGAAGAGATTATCACACGCCCACGGGCTTGCTATTATCACCTGCCTTTTTCAGATACCTTACTTAGCTTGATAATCAAGTGATTTGATTGGATTTTCGTGCCATTTTTGCCATGGTGTTATTCTGCCAACATCGTACCAGAAGTTCATGCCAGTGGAGGTAACGAAGATGAGACTGGAGTCATGCTGGAGGAGGACAAGACAACACGATTACATTTGCTAGTGTAACTACTAGAGGCTAGATCCAGCGCTGCTGAGATCCCCCGATACAAAGAGGCTAGCCCCAAATCCAATCCAAACCCAAAACTAGTACTCATTTTTCTACTGCCAGATCATCATTGCAGTAGGTTCTAACATTTTGATTATAGATATTAAGAACAAATTATTCAATTGAACTTTCACGAACACTTACACATAGCATACAGTACTCGGAAGTTTTGCAGCATTTTTTCATTGTTCAAGGTCTGTTGAAAGGGGGTGGGTGGGGGGATAGTTGTCTCTGTTGAATGCATTTCTCACCGGGCACTGGTGCACTGCGGAGAAGTGACGCCTTACAAGTGGACACTGCAATCTTATATCTTGCTTTGCCCCAGTGCAGCTATGGGATTAGGAAAGAAGCACTCGTTCTGGAACTTTGTGACTACAATTTTAGAAATGGGAATAGAGCTTTTAATCTCAATATACGTTAGACTATGGTGCCTGACATGATGTGTGCATCATTGGCATCCTATGTAAAAAATACTTTCTGTAAGTAACTGCAAAATAAACTGTAGGAGGTTGTAAATGGCTCATGATAAAAGTGTACAGGTTCCTCTATTCGGTTTGTGTGATCTTCCGCTTTTTACACATCTCCATGTCATCACAGCGGACGCCACTATTATTGGAGACGGGGCAGCGAGGATGTGTCATGGATGCCGCCACGTCACCCAAGAGCCAAGATCTCTGCGCCGGCTGAGAAATTGCGTGGTAAGATGCCGCCCCGGTGGTTTGCGCGCCGACCATCGAAATGATTGCTGCTGTTTCCTTTGCAGAACTTGTGTATGATGCCGATGACGGGCAAGAGCTCGACAGTGCGGTGAGTGTGGCATCCTTTTCTGGTGACATCTTTAGAAGGCAAGAGAGCACACTTTGTTTTGTTTTGTTTGAACAGGGCTCCGAAGACGATGACAAGGATGAAGAGGAGGAGGAGAGGCCGCCACGCCGTTCGGCACCCCGCGAATCGTTTACCTCCCGGCGGCTCCACAGTGGCATTTCGGAGCGGCGTGGTAAGGCTCTTTGGAAACCAGTAGTACAGTTTCTGGTCTTAATTCTTCCTTCACAAATAGAGTGCAGAGTAGCACACTCTAGCATTTGCAGTTGTCGAAGATAAATACTCTGCTTTTGAGCCTGCAAGCACCGAATAACATCAAACTGTGGTGCTTTGTCTTGCCTTGGCATAATGGCGTAGCAAAGTTAGCAGTGTTTTGGCTACACGGGAATGTGAGCTGCTTCTCAGGGAGCTATGAGTGTGTTTTTTTGAGCCGCAGTTTCACTACTACTCTAGGGAGTGTCAGAACATGCAGTCTAAGGTCATCTGCTCCCACAGATCAGACTGTAACTTTTGATTGTGCAGTTTGATAGGCGGCGTGTTGTCCTTGAAGCCTATCACTATGACACCTGTGCATGATTACCTATCCAGCTTTCCACCTGGATGGGTTTCCATGAATATTTCCAATCTGAAATGGAGATTTTGATATTCTTAGCCATGTAACACTGGAGAGGAACATATAGACAATCTGAAGTTCCCATTTTATCTTTCCATATGTTGTAATTGTATTTCAATCCAATGTTTGTAGGCATAATCGGATGAAAAGTTTAAAAACTTTCTAACCATTTTGAATGGCACCGCTTACTTTGCGGTGCTGCTCATAACGTAATTTGCAGTGGTATCCTGCCATAGTAACTCGTAAACGAAGCACGATTTGCTAAAAGGAATAATTTAGTTTGACAAGTCAAGCCCAGAGCACAATGCTCAATGAAAATGCTATGCTTGCATCATTCCATTTTAGGGGAAAAGCTGCAGTCCAAGAACGACCTGGACCCCATGGACCCTGCAGCTTATTCAGACATACCACGGTAGGTCGCCCGCTAAGGCTGCACCATCAGGAATTTCTACTGCACTTGTGAAAAATCTAAGGCAAGTGATGTTCCAGGGGCAAGTGGTCCACGGGGCTGGAGAAGAGCAACGAAGCCAAGACGGGAGCAGACACCACGGCCAGCGGGCCGTTGTACCAGATGCGGCCGTACCCGAGTCCCGGGGCGGTGCTGCGACTCAATGCGTCGGGGCGTCGTCCGCCGTCGGACGACGAAGACGAAGACTGAGTGTAACACTGTGCGGATAATAAATGTGACTAACTGCGGAATAATCTGTAGACCCTTTTGTTGCATATGCTGTGCCTTGGAGAGAATAGCCAATGCAACCACAAGCGCGTTTTGAAGGTTTACTGGCGTCGCGTTTAACGCGCCGCCCGGTTTGGCGGCGCGACCGCCAGGCGCGCCCAGCGGAGCCTCGCGTGGGCGTCCGACGTGGTCTCCCCTCGGTCGGCGCGGCCATGGCTCCCGAGCTGCTGCAGCTGCTCCTTCTTTCGGCGTCCGTGCTGGCCTTTTCGGTGGAACTGCCCTGGGACCGGGCCGTCCCGGGCGCCCGGGCCAGCGGCTGCGAAGCAGGCCGCGAGCAGGTCGAGCGGACCTACTGGCTCCGCGACGGACAACGCCTGGCAGCGGCGACGGACCGCTTCTGGGAGCCGGGCACCTACGTGTGCGTGCGCGAGGGACCCCGAGGAGTCCGCCTAGAGAAAGCCCTGCTCGTGCAAGGCGGACCCCCCGAAGACGCTTGCTGGTCGGGCGAAGCCGGCGCAAACCGCAGCCGGAAGCGGCGGGTTGCCGACGGCGTCCGAGCGCGCCACGCGCCGTGGGTGGCACAGCTACTTCAAGACGGCCGCTTCGTGTGCGGCTGCAGCATCGTTGGGCAGCGCTGGGCCCTGACGGCCGCCCACTGCCTAGCTGGGGAAGGGACCTCGTTCAGCGTGGCCTTAGGTCCCCTTCGCCCGGCCGCCGGACCCAGAATCGCCGTGGTTCGAACGCTGCCGCACCCGAGCTACCGGCGCGGCACGCGCGCCCACGACATCGCTTTGTTGGAGCTGGACACGCCGTCGACAGAGCGACTCGCGGTCGTGTGCCTGCCGCCGGGGCCGGGCTTCCTGGAACGCTTCTCGCAGGGCCTGCTCTTCGGCTGGGGCAAGGTGGGGCCCGGCGGGGGTCCGGCACGACGCCTGCAGGAGGCCCTCCTGCCCCTGGTCACCCGCGACCGCTGCGAGGCCGCGTTGCCAGACGTCGGGCCGAAGGCCTTCTGCGCGGGGTTTGGCGAGGCGTACCGCGCGGACGCTTGTTCGGGGGACAGCGGGGGCCCGCTCGTGGCGCTACTGGACCAGAGACCCGTGCTGATCGGAGTGGTCAGCTGGGGACGGGCCTGCGCAAGACCGCACACCTTTGGGGTCTACACCCGGGTGGACAGCTACCTGCCTTGGATACGAGACCACGTGCTCGGGGCCGGGCCATCGGAAGCCCCCAGGGAAGTGCCGCCCGCATGCCCCGTCTGTCCCTGTCTGGGCGAGCAAACTGCGAGCAATCGAACGGACGGGGCGGCGGATTGACGAGATGTTCGAGAACATCCGGGGGGACTGTGGCCAGTCGCTTTTTCGGCATTTGCGCGCCCGCGTTTCGCTCGCTTCCTAAGCGCGACGAGCGTTCTGAACTATAGTTATACATTGCACGCTAGGCTCATTGTGAAGTCGTATCGCTTGACAACGAAATGAGTGCGCGCGAACGTGCTAGGACCACGTGGTGCGGATTAATATGGCAGCGTCCTGCATCGCCGAGGATGTTCGTATAATGAAGCGCTAGTGTAATCACGCAACAGATGAGCGCAGCATTGCGCTGTTCGGGATCACCAACTCCTAGTTCAACGTTACGCAATTTTCCTTTATGCCAGTTTGCAGCAGACGGGATCCGAACGAAACGGTCCCATGCGCGAATACTGAACTTTGCAGCTGTGTTTGCACGCCCTCAGTAATTGTCTGTTGCTCTTACTGAATGTAAACTAGACGTATATACAATGTAATCTTTTTGCGAACAGGATAAGTTGTGAGGACCATTCTCAAATTTATGTGTTTCTCATTTATTGATAACGCTTTGAAAGGGTGTACAGTAAATATTTTACACCCTTAAGAGTGCTTTTCGATTCGCACCATGGATAACCACTGCGAGGACGCGAGAATCAAACGAGAGTGTGTCTTGCGGGTGTTAAACTTTTACGCCCTTAGGGGTGCAAAAATACTCCAAAAGCCGATGAACACGTGATAAAAGTTAAAAGGAAAACGGCTTGACGTAACAGTTTAATAACGTTTAGAAGTAAAATATATATATACACATAAATATATTTTTAAGCAGCGTCTTTTTTTTCATTTTTTTTTTTGCAAAATAAACATGGTAGTTTGCCAGTTGTATTTTACTCTATGAATGCGTTCAAGGGAAACTGACTTGATACGTCACAGTAGCGCGATCTTCTAATGAGCATCCTGCACCTTCGTTTTCTTTAGCACCAAGCAATCCCATACTCAAACCAGCTTAACGATATATCCGTGACGTGTAAAACACTACGTTCAATGTCGTTTTGTGTGTGTGTGTGTGTGCGTGCGTGCGTGTGCGCGCGTGTGTGTGTGTGTAAAGGATTTATGGATATTGTAATACGGGTAGAAACTAAAGGAGAGGAGATGAGAGCACGCGGGGACGTCAGAACATCGAGCTCTGACTGAAACCATTAATGGGACCCCTGTAAAGCTGCCTTTGCAGTGAGTGGACACAAAGGCAGCTATAGCGTTGTGTCAATACCCACTAACCATTCCCTGAAGTATATGAAGCCGCTCGAGATCCGTAACGAGGCTTCAGCGAGAGCTAAAAATAGGTCATGAATAAGTTCTATCCCATCGAAGGGTATGTTGAATGGTCGTTAGAGGTGAAACAACTGCCACCGCCGAACATGCAAGGAGAGCGGGCGGGTAGCTTCGACTTGTGCTCCTGCTGCTCGGGGGCTCGTGTAGCAGGGGCGAAACCGAGAGCAAGAAGCCCGCACTCGTGTCCGCCATTGTACAGGGATTTCACAGCTTCCAATAGAGGGCGCACTTTGGAAAGGGGTCTTGTAGGCCATTCCATGTTCGGCGTTCGTGTGTGTACTTTGCTCGCCTTCTGAAGCGTCGAGCATGCGCAAACTGGGTTGTGGAGATCGCACGCTGTGCTGGGGTTTTGTAAGTGATGCATATATGGAAACATCCACCTTGGGATCATTTTGATCGAGGCGATTCCGTCCGGGACCGTTTTTATCCGACACCCAACGCAGCGAAGGGGGCTATGAGTGGTACGGCGATCGCGCGGGCGGTAGCCGCCCCGCGATTCGAGCCCACTGAGCGAGGCGAAAAGTATGTGCAGGAAAATCAATCTTTGCAAAAAATCCAAAAAATTTTCTTTCTTTTTTTTTTTTGAAAGGTTGGGGTGGAGAAGCGGGAGGGTTGATAGGTTCGAGAAACAGGTTCGTGAGGCTAGTGTATAGACATCAACGAATAGTACTTGGAGTGGACACTCCACTGTCCACACTCTGGAAAAGTGTGCGCCCCGGGGAGAACAGTGGGACGTTTCACCGACGTATTTTCGTCCACCATGTTTGTTTTGTTCTGAGGTGCCTGACGCGTGTCGAAGGCGACCATTCCAAGAATTCACATGACACCTTCAAATTTGTAGTACACATGTGCAAGTCGTATCACGCTGGCATTTATAACGACGAAATGGGAGATTTGCTTCATGTAAAAACATGCCATTACACTGATCAAAGGAGAACAAGTCTTTGGTAGGATGATGTGTTGGATATAAGTGACATTTTGCGACACCCTCCCCCCCCTTTTTTTTTTTTTTTCCTGTACGAACCGGGATACTTGTTGAAGGACGCAGGATATCCACTTTTGCATTTAATTCTATATCATCATCCATTTTCATGTTTTACTAGCCTCCCCCCTCCCCCTTCCTCTCTTTCTTATATATACTTCTGTAGTTCCTGCCACTATGCACTTCAGAGTTAGGAGATGCTAACAAAAATGAGCCGACTGAACATTTTATTACACCTTTTATTTCTCATATATTTTTGCCTGCATGGTCTGTTCCGCTCAGAACCAAATATCTAAGTAACTAAGTCTTTGCCGTTGTGGCACTACTGCCAGCTTAGAAATTGTACGTACCATGTGGTTATCGTGGTGATGATGACTTGCGGCTTTCGGCTGCTGGGAGAAACCAGCGATCGCCACACCTTCCCTTCTAGCCAGGGTCCACCTTTAAGCAAATTCGTAATAAAAAGAAAACAAATTGGATTGTCGTTAAACGAATCAATTCGTTGCATTTTCTGCCCTTCGCATGTACATATTTTTACGCAAGACCTATAGTCTCAAGACGTGGAAGTCATCTGGTGCTTACTCCGCACAGATGAGCAGTCTTTAACGGGGTCGGTGTTATGTGCGAACTCCAGCGGCGAGACATTACAAGGCGGATCGGCGGTCAGGGACGTCCGGGCAGATATATTTTATACATTCAGCCGGGAGCCGTATAGTGCAGGCAACGCGGCCGACCGTAGCGAGCAATCCAAATGTGACGACGGGCCCTCGTTCGTGAGACATGCTTAGAGAAGCATATTCAGTATTTCGAGCAGTATACTATATACTCGGGGACAACTTTGTGTGGCCACGTAGGCGCTCGCGCACATTGAGCGCCGACCAAAGCTCATTCTTCACTTATTCCGATATGCCACAAAAGTTTTCCGCGAGTTTAGACGATTGCTGCATATTGCTTTCACGTAGACATTATTACGCTTTGTTTCGTTTATATAGACAAACTCACTTTAAAAAAAAAAATTTTAATTTTTTTTTTATTTATTATACGTTCCCTAACGCTTAGAGGGGACGTTAGAATCGTCAAAAAACTTATAAAAAGATAAGCATGTCTTGATTACATTTGATGAACTATAAAAATGTATTGTAAATGAGCTGGGCCATAGCCTCCTCTATCCAGACAAAGCCTGGAAGATCGCCACGAGACGCGGCCGCCGAAAGTGAAAAGGTAGACCGGCAGACAAGGGGTTCAAGAGGCATGTAACGGGCGCCCTGCTGCGGCGAGACGCCGAAACACACTTGTCCCGAGCGATGGAATGTCCGCTCGTGCTTCTCGCGTTCCTCGGGCTACCGCTTCTTTTCACGTCGGGTTTGAAAACCATGTTTCGGGTCCTCACCGCTGCAAAAACTGTGCGCTGACGACCAGGTTCCCCGAGAAATGCTCTGTGCTACCAGATCCTCGCGCTCTAAATCTGCGACCGGGCACTATGGCTCCGTCATCGAACTGCCAGGCTTTGTGAGTATAGAGGAGGCTATGGCTGGGCACATGCTGTGTGTGACATCATGTGACATCAGGAGCTCACGTGACCGACGTCAGTGGGGATATGGCGTCACGCGACGCGTCAAGGGCTCATAAGGACCATCGTATGGACCACCGAGAGCGGGGAGGGGGGGGGGGGGGGGGGGGGGGGGCTGCTGCTGCCCCGGGTGCCGCTGACCTTCGTGAAGCCACTGGTTGTACCGCACTGGCTAAATTGCCCATTTACAGCGAGTGACTCGTCGCATCTTTGAAATGGCTGACCAACGAGACGCTGTCTAAATATCCCCACAACCATAATTTTACCCACACACCTCTGTAATCCCCCTGGGGCATTGAAAAATTGGCTGCATAAACCACTATACTGTTGGTTGTCTATGAATTGCGATAGCATTTGTCATGAGACTAATGACACAGCACACTGGATACGACGACGCTATCTCTGTGTAATCGTTTAATCTGTTTCTGTGTAATCGTCTAATGTTCAAGCTGTTTCCCCCTTAGCATTGCAGCTTCGTGTGCGTGTCCTGTTCTGTCTCTGTGTAATCGTTTACCGTTGAAGCTGTTTTACTATCATCATTGACCATGTACCAACTAGCTCAACTCAAACCGATAGTTGCTTCGTAGCTTGCAACTATGAATGTGTGCGCAGGGCCGCGGGCCTACACCATCAAGAGTCCTTGGCGAATTCCGGCCGTGGCTGCCCACTCCCCCTTCTCGGCGACCCCACTCTTGATGGTGCCCTGTGCGACCGCACAACCCTAGAGCCAGCCTTGTTTGTGTTTATCTGATCATGCGCCGCATTCGTGAGCGATTGCTTCGTACCTTGGGCGCAAATGTGAATGTCTGCGTACTGCCGCTGCGAGTATGCGCGGCGAGAGTTTATCTGCTTGCTAGGACGACGTCCTAGAAAATGACGTCAACGACGACGTCTAGAAGGACCTCTTTGGACCTCAAGAACGATTTTGAAGGTGACGTCTAGGATCACATCGAGGGCGATCTCTAGAATGACCTTAAAGGGCCACTGAAAAGAAACTTTTTAAACAGTCTGCGGTTGGGACACGCGTGTCAAACTAATTTTATGCGATTTTTTTTTTTTAGAGAAATATTGAAGGCGTAAGATTTATTTTAAATTTTGCACGCAAAGTCCATGACGCCATGGAATGGTCCTACACTCTTCCCACCTCAACAAGATGGTCATAAACACTCTCCACCTCAAATGATGGCCAGGGCTTGGCATAGATACTTAGAAAAGTATTTCGGGATAGGAATACTGAGATATATTAACGAAGTATTCTGGAATAGAAATACTGAGATATATTTCTTTTTGCTGTATGGGGATATTTCGGAGATACTCTGAAAAAAGAGGAAAAATGTATCAGAGAATACAGATAATGAAGTACAGATACTGAAATACTTTTATTCCTCGAATGACGTCATGTTCCGCGAAACTATTTAAAAATGCACTATAAGCTACGCAATGACCCATAAAACGCGAGTTCCAAATGTGGCGCAAGAAACGAACAAACCTGAATTTTCAAGAAAAAAAAAACATTTCTCTTTATTCATGAAAGGTTCTCGCAAACAGGGAAAAATGAAAATAATTGCACTTGAGTAGGAGGAGCTTCTCAAACAGTTCGTCGTCAAGACAGCGACGGTTCGGTTTTAGTACAAGACTCGCGAACGAGAAAAGTCTCTCCACCGCTGCAGAGGAGCATAAGTTCGTATTAAAACGACTAAATACCGCCTTAATGGCTGGGAATTCCTGGAGCATGGAGACATCTTTTCTCGAATCATTAAGATAGTGGAAGACCTCGCCTCTCACGCGAGTCTGTTCAGACCGTGCCGAAACCGAAGAGTTGCCATCATTAGAGTCGTAGAACTCGTGATTCATCGTTGAGGAAGACACCTCGTCGCTTGGGTTCTTTGGGTCTGGTCCGTGAGTCTCGGCGGCGCGTACGAGCAAGTTCTCAAAGTTGAAAGTGTTTGCCACTTCACTAGATGGCCATCGCAGTTTGAAGAAGGGGTGCGAACAGGTGGCGGGTATCGCCTCATTATTTTTCATTTTGAAAATGATGAGGTAATACCTCATCATTTTCAAAGCGAAGGCGAGGTTGACATTTTCCTAAAAATAGGGTTTTCTGTTTGAGCCCTTTTCATATCATCGATCTTTTGGTGACGTCTTCAAAACGCTCCCCCCCCCCCCCCCCCCCCCCCCCCCCCCCCCCCCTGAATGCAGCGAGATACCTTTGCCTGGCCGAGTATCGCGTTACAACCGATACACAGCAAGTGCACGTATTCCACTACTGAGATACAAATACATTTTTGAAATGTATTTCGATACAGAGATACAGATATACTCAAAAGTATCTCTGAAATAGTATCGCGATACATTTGTATCGCGATACTGCCCAGCCCTGGTGATGGCCAAGCCCACCTCTCCTCCACGCCCCCGAAATGCCGAGAGAAAACAAGTGGAAAGGAGGTGACTGCCGACTAAATCGCGTCTCGCGCCGTCAATATTGCTCTCTATATTTTTTCTCATGAAATTTATTTAACGAGACATGTGTCCCAATTAGACTGTTTCAAACAAAACTTTTTTTTTTTTCAGTGGCGACGTTGAAAACGAAGTCCTAGATCTAGAAAACGACCGCGAAAACTGAGTGAAGTCGCTAAAGAATGCTAGCGCAGTAATAAATAAATAAATAACTGGTTTACGCGACGTGATGTGCTGAAGTTCTCTCTTTTAGGCAACACTCTTACCTCGCATTTCCGAAAAAAATGGCGTGTCGCCATATATTCATGGATGGACGTTAATGACTATGCCCTTTGTAACGGGCGGTAGCTTGCGCCACCTATATATCCTAACAAACATATGATTCCTCCCGCCCTTCTAAGACCAATTTTCTTTCCCTAACCATCGCCAGGCAGTGTTGGATATCACAAGGATGACCTTTCGGATTCGGGCAAATAAACTAAAAACATTCCCCCACCCCCCGCTTCTTCCCCCCGGAGATGGAGTCGCCAATTTTCCTTGTCAGCGTTATTTCAGCACCGGACCCACTGGGAGACAGGTTGAGACATTGGGCCAGAGCCACGAGGAAGGGAGTCCCAATTTTCCTCCGTCCCGCCTGTCCTTAGCTGTGCTAGTTAGTTGTGCATAGTTCAGTTTTCCCTAGGTAATTTCCACCAATCTTCTAATCGCCTTTGTGAGCGTAACCCTTTTCTCTTCCGCCCTTCCATCGTCGCCAGTAGAACCCAGGGCCCCGGCCAAATCCGTTACCCCTTCAGGGAGGGCAGGGCGAAGCCCCGTGCGCACTTTAAAACTAAGTGCTCTAGTGTCTCGCTCTCAGTATGGCAGGCGGCACATAATATGTCTGCCTTTTGAAATTTAGTCCTATAGGTTGGTGCCCTCAAAACTCCTGTTTTCGCCTCAAACGCTAAATAACTAGTGAATTGTCAAACACATTTCCCTTTCTTATGTCCTGTTTTACTTTTCCTGCATTCTTCCCTCCCACATTTTCCTTTCTGTCTCTTTCACTCCCTTTTCCACTGAAGTAGTCTGCTCAGCCCCATCACTATACTCCGTGTCACTAGCTGTGTGCAGTGCAGGCGAAAGCAACGCCAGGCGAAGGGAGAAAAGGCGAGCACTAGGGATGCGGGACGGGAGAGGAGGGCAATGGAGGGCGATGGGAGAAGGGGAGAGCACTAGGAACGTTACCGAGGTGAGGAGGTTTCTCTCCTTTCCAGCCTTCCTAGCGCTTGCCCTTTCTCCCTCGCCTGGCATCACCTCCGCCTGTACTGCACGCAACTAGTGACACGGAGGGTGGAGTGTAAAAAAAAATTGGGTTGTGTGTGTTTATACAGCCTAGAACTTGGTCTGCCTCACAGGGGCGACAAGTCTCCCAGCTGTAGATGAGAAATTTAGCCAGTGCGGTACAGCCGCTAGCCTGGGGTCTTTAACGTGCATCACGCAGTAGTGATACACGACCGCACGCCGGTACGATTCTCATCCAGATCGAAACGGGCAGGGGTGGGGCTCGAACCCAGGATCCCTGGGTTCTGCAGCGCGAGCTTTCGCTCCACGTGCTCCGAGCTGGTGTGCGCTAGACCACTCGGTTACCGATCCCCCAGGGTGGAGTGTAGGAATCTAAATGTAAGCTTTCGGGCTCTGTTTGTCCCTTTTGTGTTTAAACTTTTCTTGAATACCTTCCGTGCGCACCGCGTATCATCCATTTCGGTCAACCTTTGCTCAAATTCCAACTTATTGATTGCCTCCCTGCTCTCAAAGACGACCAGCCCATGTATCCCCATGTACTCCCTCGTTTGGTATATTTCCATGTGCTCCCAGTGCCAATCTACCTACGCTTCTTTGTCGAATTTCTAATATTCATTG